TATTATCGAGTTTCTGCAGATGATGATGCTCTCCAAAAACCATTCTATTTATTTTCTAAGTTTATTTTATCCTTTGCAAACGTTAAAAGAAGAGAGTTTTTATTATCTGTCGTCATCGTTCTGCTTTCTTGATGGATAACTAGAAACATTTGCAAAGGCTGAGATATAATGATTTGTTTTCGTAGCTTTTTGGAAATGATGCTATCAGTTTAATAAGGTCTGAGTTTTCGAGGAAATATTACTCCAAGATCTGAAAGAGAGATTGAAACCAGAAAAGACGTCATTTTGTGGAAGAGATGTTTTATATCGTAAAAGGAAGATATGCAGAACGAAAAGAAGAATTATCTAATATTTCTGCATTGTTGGAGGATTCTCCAGAGAGATAAAATGGTTGAAATATGTCGCCATTTTCCTGCATGAAAAATCAAGTCAAAATGCATTTCAAAGTATGGCAAAAACCTAAGAGCAGCCCTTCAAAAATAAAAACAAGTCACTAGCTCAAAAAGAATTAAATACAAGCTTCACCGACAAATAATTCTCTTCTGGAATGAAATTCTCCAAACTAACAAAATTACTGAAGGATAAAGGATAACAAGATATCCAAAAAAGAAAACTTTACAAATCGATGAAAGGAAGAGAGCGTTGTTGGAACGCATCAATACTACAGTGAAAGCCAAATAGGTACAGAGAGAATAAAGACTCAATCAATATAATAGAAAAGTCCAAACTCGTTTGAAAAATAGCATGACTCTGACTCTTTGTCGCTCTGCTCCGCTATTGTTTGTGCTACGAAGTTTTTGAAATTGCTTAATTGTCATTGCGTTACTGAAATATAATTTACAGTTTCTTGTACAGAAGCACCTTGAAAGCAATAAGTAATTGAAATTTGACAGCTTAAAGTAGTATCGAAGTACCGAAATCTCGAAGATCCCAACTTTTTTACTAGCACTGATACGAATAAAGTGTTAGACACCATCGAAGTCATGTAAAGCATAATAAGCATGGCAGAAGACATGTATTTAAAGCTCTTAGAAAGCGCACTACAAGATTTCGACCAAGAATAAATAAAGGGATCCATTGAATATGAATAAATCGGAAAATACTGGAGTCAAACCTAATAATCAGTAAAGTATCATTCGAAAAGCTTGCAGCTGGGTGATTCTATTTGATCCATTCTCCTTCAATGTCACCAATATGCCTTGGAGGTAACGATTGAGGCTGGATAAACTGTAACCACAAAAGAAGGCAAAGAGCAGTGAGTGTCTCTCAAGAACGGATGCTTACCACCTACTTGTCTATATAATGAATGATTCATTTTCGGTCACGACAAACTTTTTTGATTTCAACAAATATTCATCAAAAGCTTCGAATTCTCTTCTTCATAGAGGAATTGTCAAACACGCATATAACAACGTGCACTTGAGGCACAATATATCGGCTTATGATAATACAAGTTAACTTTTCAGTTTGTTACAACTAGAATGGGTTCATAAAAGCAAACTGTGATACTGCTTCCAGGGTATAAAAAGTAAAAATATTGAACACTTTTTGGAACAATCCTTAAAGGGAACGCAAAATATGCAACTTCACTTGTCACTTGTAACAATGCGATCAGAAGCAACTTTCCAGCGAACCCTTGGTTCGTCTCTTTCCTCTTAAAGAAATCACCTCTTCTTGTGGCTCAAAATTCTGTAAGAGTTGCTTCCCACAATATGGACAACTCTAATACGATTGTCTAAAAAATCATTCAAAGTTGAAGTTTGCTGTTACCACTTTTTTGAATAACATTAACATTGCTTTCATTAAAAAATGGGATGAGGAGCAAAGTCGACTTGTTTAATTCAATATAAGTTTACTTACGAAATGACAATTCTAGAAACTTGAACACTTGAGCTCGATTGGATGATGGAAATTGAACTCATTGCTACTGGACGCCTTGTAAGCCTTGTCCACATGTACGACTCATTTTTCTAGAAAGCAATGCATATCTATAGCCTACTCTCTATATTCAAATGTTATATACAACAATATTGTATTTTAAATATCCTTTAATACGCTCCTACTCATAAAGAGAAAAGAAGGCATTAGTTGAATCTTCGCACAAGGCTTTTTTCCTTTGCTAGAATGAGCGTCTCATCTCAAGACTTGGAAATGAACATCTTCTCTAAAGAAAAGGTAAACAGATAGCACTCGAGTTTTCCAAAAATTCTCAATTCTATCGCCGATTCTGCGTCGAAAAGGGTCCATTGCTTGATGTTTGAAAGGTAGCATCATACAGCCAACTTGTTCTGCGGCGTACAATTGAAACAACTCGGCAAGAGTTATTTTCAACCAGAGTTATGAATACAAGCGTAAGAGAGAAAATATTCTTTCTATTGGAAAAAGCATTCCTTCATTAGGCTCAAACCATAAACCCATTGTTTGAAATTTGAATTGATTCCTTCATAGCTCAGGAATCTTTCAGCTAAAAAACATGAAAGTTTTTTCAACAAACAGACTGCTTTTATATCTCTCACTCTTTGTTCTCAACATTAACTTCTTCAAAATGCTGAACTATCTGGTCACTTGAATTATCCTTCTCTTCATTCATCAATGACCTAATATCCATATCATCCTGCTCCAAAAGCTTGCCTTTGTATTCAGGAATACCCAATATAGAAACCACTAAAGCAATAAATGCAATACCTCCATTAATGAAAAATACAACTCGAGCACCTAAAATGTCACTATGACTGCCATGATTGACTGCTCTCTGAATAGGTTCAAATATTTGAGTTCCAACTACAGCACCTGTTCTTCCAAAAGCAGCAGATATACCATGACAAGTACCACGAAGGACGGTAGGAAATACTTCAGATGGAATCATATAAGTTGTGCACTCTCCAAATATACTAAAGAAGAAATAAATTCCATAAGTAATGATGAATGCGGCAGGCACTGATTTCAAATAAGGCAAAACACCCCCAATAACGATACTTATACAACCCATCATAAACAATCCAAAGATTTGCCAAGTTTTTCTACCAAACTTATCCACAGCAAATAGAGAGACATAATACCCTGGCAATCCTATCGCAACCAATGCTAATAACAATTCTGCCTTTTTTAAGATAGTTGCATTGGGCACTACGTTTCCAATAATGAGTGAAGAAAAGAGACTATTGGTATAGAATACAACATCAAATAGGAACCATACGGAACAAGTTGCAACCAATCTCCATCCAAAACGTTTGAAAACAACTCGATAAGGATGCTTTTCAAAAGTTCTATAGTTGTTCTTTGTAAATTGATTGGGATCCAACATCTTCCATCGATATATTAAGATGATGAGGGAAGGTAAAACAGGAAGTGCCAGAGTCACTCTCCAAATCACCTCCAGAGAAGATTTAGTCCAATGAGTTCCACCATCTGCTCTAAGCGTTATGCCCATTAGAGCCACAACAATACTTGTAGCAACTAAATTGCCGATTCCTTGCATAGACAACACAAAAAGCACTATCCTTCCTCTTTTCTTTGGAGATACTTCTTCACTCGTTTCTGAAGAAGTAGCAGCAGTACAAGGCCACTCTCCTCCAACGCCAAAGCCTAGAAAACCTCGACAAATCACTAAAGACCAAAGAGTACCATAAGCAGATCCGTTCAATCCAAAAGTGGCACAGGAACATAAAATACATCCCAAGAGAAGGATGGAGGCAGTTACAAGGAGACATCTTTTTCGACCAATAAAGTCACTACAAATCCCGAAGAAAGCTTGACCCAAAATAGCTCCAACTAAGATAGTATTGGTCACACGAGTACGAAGTCCAGAAGTATACAACGATCCATACTCAGCGTCTAATACAAGATTCAGTGAATTGAAAACAAAGATATCATAGGAAGCTATAAAGAAAGAGAGTGCGGATGTTGCAATATTCCACTTGGCAGCACTGCTCATCATGATCAATGTAAAATAGCAAAAAAAATAATCGATGCATCAACTCAACGTGTAAAGGGATAAACATTTTAGATTGGTTGGATATCTTTCTGGAATTCTAAATCCGCCTATCGACGGGTTTGAATGGACGTTGTTTTCTAGAACAATTGCTTTTGAGGGGACTGCAGCTTTGGAGAATGGATAATACCTTTTCCTTGAGACGTATTCGAAACTGGAAATTGAAACATCTTGCAAGCCATTCTTATTAAACAGAGTAATAAATATTGCGGAACAAACCTGCATGGCTTTCTAATGGGTAGATTTTCGTACCCTTTCGTATTTCACTTAAGCTCAAGTTATATGAAAAGTTTTCTACCTTGATTCGACCATGGCTAAAACAGAGAGTTTATAGTGAAGAATCTTGGAACAGATCCATGAGTTACTTCATTATTCTGCAACGAGGAAACAAAGCAACTGTATGCTATAGAATATTTCCAATGGAAAAATGGTATATAAAGTCCGGTTGTATTAAGCTCCATGGTTCTAACAAATATAAAAGATTCTGTTGAGAAAGTAACTAATAAAATTTTCTGACCCGTAGTAATATATGTTTCCATAAATGACAGTGCAGAGGATCACTTCTCCTTTTACTGTGTTTTTGTCACTTTTTAATCACTGAATCAAAGAAGCTTCTACCTGAAGAGCCTTGTAAGGAGCCTTGAAACATGTAGATCAACGAAAAAAAAGATTTATTGCTCTTGATCGGATTGAGTACTTTCATCTGTCCTTTAAATACGTGAAATGACTAACGATAATCTTAAATAGTTCTCTCTTCTTATCAAGATTGCAGTAATCCAAGTCATCACAAAGACTGATTCGAAATATAGTGACAAGTTATCCTTCATTTGAGCTTCATAATAAGTCCTAAGAAAGTATGTTGAGTACTAGCTTTCCTTGGCCCTCGAAATATACGATTGGAGAGCTGACATACCAGCAGGGAATTTAGAGAACCAAGACACGTGGAATGAAGTTGAAGAGAACGCCTATTAGTAGCATCCGGAAAAGTCTTGGAAAAAGAAGACACTTTACGAGTGACTTTAAGACTCACAATGGACAGGGCAGTTGACAAAATCAGTTGATATCACAATGTTCAAGACTATTCGCTCTCGTTAATTTTTGGTAACGAGCCAGAGAACAATGAAGCAAAGAAAGCAATACATTTCCTCTAAACGTGGAAACTAGCATAACAACATCAGTCAATAAACTGGTAAAAATATCATCGACCTAAGGCAGTTGGGAACTCAACCAAAAGTACAGGTAGATTCAGCATCCTCAATCTTGCGTTAAAGAGCATTAAACTCCTTCGTTAATAAGAAAGTTCAAGTGAACCCGTGTGGTCGTAGATTTACTCTACTTTCCTTGATACCGTCCACTCAACACACGAATGCGAAGAAACATTCTAAACTTTTCCACACACCTTGGCAACAAATGTCAATGAGATTTTCGACTTGCTCAAGTACTGCTCGTGCTAACCTTGTAAAGATTAAAGCTTTAAAGCGAAATCAACCAGTGTAACTATGAGAGCACTTCTGTATACATATATATATATATATCCTTTTGGTTGAAGGTCTCGACAGGATAGAATAAAATTGGTCACCTTCAAAAATTTTGATGGAGAACCAACTTATAAACTGCATTTGTTCAAATAGCTATGATACCATATCACTGTGGTATTTAGAGTCCTGGAAACAACTCTGTTGGATTCAAATATAGCGATAGTACTGCTTCGTTCGTTCAAAACTATCTCAAAGACAGTCTAGTCCGATGGCTTATTGTGTTCTTTAGATGACTTGAGAAAGTTACTATTTTTATAATTTTACGGATCATTCACAAATATAAATTCAACTCATTGAACATAAAGTTGATTCTACAAAATATATACTTTGGAGATATGACATTTCTCTGTCTAAGAGGATGATAAAAAGCAAACATAGCGCCAACAATGATTTTTCATCTACTTGGCATTCAATCGACTTAGCAAAGTGAAAAGATTGTTGCAGACAGAAATTCGTTCGACATGTTCCGAAAGTACTTTTTATATTGTTACTTGATGAACGGTACTCTCGAAGACAACTGGATACCATATCAAGAATATCAAAAAGGCTACGTACCAAATCCCAACGACTATAGTCGCAATGATTCCAAGGATACTTGCTAACGAAATATCTGATAATGAACTTTGTAATGTGTAGTTTCCTTGAACACCAACAATCAAATACACATTGATGATGACAAGTCCAATTGCTATGCACCACATTAGCACAGAAACGTATCTAGGATTCCTAAATGTTCCCATAATTTTGGAAGATTGTGTAAATTTTAAAAGTGGAATGATTGCAAATGGAACTGTTGCAGAAAGAATAGAAGAAGATATCAATAATGCCAATCCTGAGCCCTGATTTCCTGCCAAGATGGCTATCATCAAAGCAGGAATGATTGTAACTAGTCTTGTCACGATATTGCGCAGCCATAGAGGCATTCTTATATTGAAGAACCCTTCGATAACAATTTGACCTGCAAAAGTTCCAGAAACCACTGCACTCTGTGAGGAAGCCAACAATGACAAACCAAACAGAATGCATCCAGCACCATTTTCAGGATAGGCTGTTCGAAGTAACTGACAAGTGTTTGACAAGCTAACATCGGAATAGGAAACTGTTATTTGACTATTATTATAGAATCCGACAGCGGCAAGGGAGATTGCAGCCAAATTTGCAACAAAAACCAGCAACATAGGAATTAGGAACTCAATGACATTATAAACATATGCTCTATGCAGAGCTTTCTTTGTGGATTCCACTTTCCTTGTTTGCACCATGGAAGATTGGAGAAATATAGACTGTGGCATAATACAACTTCCTATCTGTGATAATATCACCAAAGATGAGTCACTTGGGATGGAAGGAATAATCCATCCTCTCATCAATTCAACACCGTTTGTATTCACCATTGACCATTGAATAAAGAATGTGACACACATTGCTAAGATGATCAGAGTTACACATAATTCCAAGTATCTGACACTCCAATACTGAAGTGAAAGTACCAGTAATGCAGTAACAAAGGACAACAATACTCCTGCATAGAGAGGCAAGTGAAACAATATCTCACATGCAGTTGCAAAACCGATAACTTGAGTCAAATCATTGGCAATCATGGCAGCTTCCATCAGTATCCAGAGAGTGTAACTCACAAAGCGTGAATAGTTTTTGCGACATGATTGTGCCAAGTCCAATCGTGAATAGAGACCAAGTCTGATACTCAATATTTGAACCAATACTTCTACAACAGCAGACCACCAGATTATCCAAATAAGTTTGTACTGAAACCCTGCTCCTGCTTGAATATCTCCTTCATAGTTTCCTGCATCAATAAGACCAATGCACACCAACCAACCAGGACCTGCAAATTTCAGCAATCCAAGAAACCACAAACATATTTGTTTCCAAAATCTTCGAAACTTTCCAACAAAATTATTCTTTTCTTTATTATCCATGTATATTCCTTCCATGAACCTCATGTCTCTTGCAAGTTGGCATGCGCTATCATTCTCAACACTCACTTGACCAGGAGTCATAATTACTGTAGATTCTGCCGTCATTTCTGCATAAAAGACAATAGAGAATAAAATAGGATGAAGGCGCTTTTAAGACCATTTTCCAAATGACACGTGAATCGTTGCAGTATACCACGAGCATGTCAAGCGCCATTGGATGAAATGAACGATTATCGCTTTTACTAATGTTTAGCAGTGTGATATACTTATTAAGTCTAGAAGAGGAATTGGACTGGATTCTGGCTTACTAAGAAGATGTCTTGTTCCAAGTGAAGAAGAACTTAAAAACGAAGACATATGCTAGTTTGTGCATATCTATATCGTCAAGATCCTCTCGTGGAAGAGAAGAAACTAGTTCAATGCTAAACCAGATATGAACTAACCCTCAGCTATCACAATATTCTAGCTAAGCACAACTACGGACAGTGTTTGAAACAAACAACTTCAATAGACAGCCAAGCCCTGAATAGCAACCATTACAAGTTTGGAAGTATAACTGATTGTTTTATCATAAATTTCTTATTATTTACAATATTTGTCGAAGATTCCGAAAGCAGAAGAATCTCAAGTTGACTACAAGGCAATCTTCAGCTGCTCGCCAAAGAGTCTAAATATTGGATTTACCTTATCGTGCCTTTTTGTATATATCATTTACTTCTAACCTATGAGACAGAAAACTATCGCAATTGCTTTTGACAACTCCACAGTAACGACTGGAAATGATCCTCAAATTATTATTTATTTTCTTATTGGGCTTTTGTAGTTTGGGTTAGACATTGCGTCGTTTCCAGAAAAGGAAGGCTTATTTGGACGTTCCAATGGCTCTTCGGGTGGCGTGGAACTGTATACGAGAAACAGGAAAGAGCTATTTCCAGCAACTCGGTAGTGATTGGAATCCTTGTTCTATTCAACCAAGTTATGTGCCTGTCAGAGGTTTGAGAGGCTCAACGAAAGGCAACAGAAGAGACACGAATACAGGTCCCAAGGTTTGTTTCATGAAAGAGTCGTTGCCTCATTTTATTTACAACTTTCATCATAGTTTACGCAGGGGAGAAAGGTAGTAGTTTCCCAAATCTTGGTGCGACAAACAGGAACAAGATTTCTCCCAGGTTTTGGTATTGGAGTTGGTAGAGACTTTACTCTATATGCACTACATCCCGGAAGAATTATTTATGAAAAGATCCGAGATAAGAAAGGTCGAAAGAGAACAGTTGTTCATGTGATTACAGAGGAAGATTTTAGGTCTATGCAGCAGAAGAGACTGCAAAAGATAGTCGAAGATGCTAAAACTTTTGGTGGTATATTTGGGCCTATGGAGGAACAACAACAAGCCAAGTTGACCGAGTGAAATTCCTTTTCACATATCTTTTATTCTTTGGTCAGACTGCTTTTTTAGAAGCTTTGTTCATATGACAATTTTACAATAAATCAATCTGAATGAAATGTCAAGTTGTTTTTGTAAGAATATACAATGATAAGCAGTTCTCTTCGACTGTATGGAACGCTACCAAAGACTTTGGTAACTAATTTAGGTTATAGTTTTCTTAAAGTGAATACAACTAGTTATGAGAGTATTGCCTGGCGCTTTCCACGGAGAAGGACTTTCGGTGGAAGTTTCGTTTCCTCTGGATGTGGCAACATTCGTACAGCAAGATGTTTCAAGAGTGGAATACAACAACAAACTTCAAAGAACTATGGAGACCAGAATTATTTCGAAATTCTGGGTTGGTATGTGTCTATTTACAGTTGCTCACAGTTCCCTGACAGACAAAAGCAATATTTCCTTTGACATAGATGAGAAAGAGTTGGAGCGCAAGTTTCGTGCCATTTTGTCACAATGGCATCCGGACCTTCACGGCCAGTCTTCATCGCACTTACAGGAACAAGCGGCAGCTATGAGTGCAGCAGTAAACAGAGCATACGGTGTTTTGAAGAAACCACACTTAAGAGCAAAATATCTTTTGGAGATTAAAGGAGTGCCTCTATCAGAAGATGACGTGACTATGGAACCATCTTTTCTTATGCATATCTTGGAATTGCGCGAAAAAGTGGAAGAGGAATCGAATAAGATTCAGCTACAACAAATTAGGGAAACAGTAGCAAAAGAAACGGAAGTTTGTTTGCAAAACTTATCTTCAGCGTTTTACAACGAAAATTTGGAGGATGCCAGGAAGGAAACACAAAAACTGCAATATTATGAACGTATGCGAGAAGCTCTTGCAGAAAGATTAGATTAAGAATACCTATGCCGTATACATATAAGTTTATTCCTCGTCACTTTTGTACTCCATTCGGCTCGCCTTCACCTCCTCTAACGTACAATACGTTGTTGCATCTAGAGAAGAAATACTACTTAGGATTGACTTGGTTAAGTCCATCGTATTCCTACCTAATTAAAACGTCGCCGAGTTTCCCTGCCATTTTTCCGTTGATCCACTCCTCTGTTTGTGTGAGTTGCAAGTTCATATATGAATCTAGAGAAACTAATAAACCTCTATATTCAAGACCCCATTTGAGTTTTACAATAAGTGGTTTCCCAACAAGGTCGTGAAGAAACGGTTTAGGGTTGATAGGAAACTTTTGGGTTGTCGTTTGTGCCTAGTTAAATATGAGTCTTCATACGCAAAAACCAAAAAGGCCTTCAATACCATCAACAAAATGACTCAATTCTCTTCCCCCAAAACCAAAATACAACCAACATCGATTTATTAAATAATAAAGTTATTGTGTGTAATCAACTCGGTTAGATAACACAACTTGGAAATAAAATACAAAAAATCAAATTGTACGACTATTCTTTCTTCTTCGCATACCAAAATAACGTCTCGAACTGCGTTGTTCTTCAGAAGTAAACAACTCTGGTCTTCCCAGCTTTCTTCTTTCAGTTGATATTGTATCAACTGAACAGTCCACGACAGTATGACTATCCTCGTTCTTAATGGCTTGTTTCTTTTTCTTCCTCCTCCATAAACGCTTCCACGGTGAGCGTCCTTGTTCGTCCTGGTCAGCTCCTAGTGGTCTTTTTTCGATATATTCCAAAAAACGCTGGTATCTTTCCATCATTTCCTCTCTGTGGTAGAGTTCCAAGTTGTTGTGACCTCCATCAGAGATCCATAATGGGTCAACTGCCAAACGGCAACGTTTGTATAGATCCAGGCCGTTCGAAAACGGGACGACCTGATCTCTACAACCGTGAACGATAAGAACGGGACAGCGAACCAAACTTATCTTGTGAATATTCACAAACATATCGAAAGGAAGAGTCACATGCAGTCTCGGACGTACTACTCTTATGCAAGAACTAAGAGGACTCACCAAGATCAATCCTCTCACTGGTTTCAACCAAGCAATATGAATCGATGGAGCAGAGCCTAAACTCCTTCCAAATACTATAATTCTCTCTGGGGGAATTTTCCGCTCATTTACCAAGTGAAGATAAGCCGCCTCGACATTTGCGTAGCAAGCTTCCTCCGAAGGTTTCCCTGTTGCAAGTCCATAACCCGTATAGTCATACGCCAACGCGTTGACCTTTAGAACACTACAAAGATGGTTCAAGTAACTCACAGCGTTTCCTAGGTCTTCACCGTTCCCGTGAGAAAATAACAAGGTAAAGTGTGCGTTTGTTTGTTGAATGAAAGTGCACGGAAACAAAGAGTTTTGCTTTGTTTCTATCCAAGTTATAGGAAAGTCTTCATGAGTATATGAAGCAGGGACCGGAGGTCTAAAGACCAAGTGCGAGTAAAAGGCACCCATCTCGAAAAAAAACCATAAACAGAAATAGAAAGATTGCGCGTTTTAGAGATCACAGGGCGCCCAATTTTAATTTCTAGAAAAACTTCGTAAAATGAAAAATCTTCCATTTGGCCATTCCACATCAAGATTCATCTTTTTTTACATAAAATAAAAGATAAGCTTGCCTATTCAGTACAGTCTTCTCAGAAATACAGCTTATACTACTATCATCACAATTAAGCCACACTGTTTCCTCTCTCTGTCCACTTTTAAGAGGAACACGCCACCTGGAAACAAGATATTAGAAAAGTTCTGAATAGAAAGAGATTCACTGACCGAATATCACAAATATAATGTCCACCAACGAGTTCTCTACCCAAGTGCGTAACAACTGCCGCTAAAGAGTAACTTCTGTTCTGAGGCTTCGTATACGAATGTGAAAATGTGAGGAGCATACTAGGTAAACAGAGATCCACGGGAAAATCAATGTGCTTTCCGAGCTTTCTGTACACCTCATCCCCATTTCTTAAAGTAAATCTCTTCAATTGTAGTATGAATACTCTGGGGAGTCTCTCTATGGTAACCTGTTTCCTAGCCTGGACCTTTTGCTTTGTAGTCTCCGAAAATACATCATCAAGACTCTCAGGTTCTATATATAGGCGTAGAGCGTCATAAAGATTATGAACGTGGGGACTCTGAATATCCAACTCCAAGAAAAGAAATGGCTATATATATTATCAGAAAATTTGCAATTCATGGCAAAAAGAAAACTTACTTCTCGAGAGACTGATGACTTCGAACCAATCCGATGTAGTTCACTTCTTAAAATGCCTCCAAAAATGAATGATATCCAAGAAGACTGAAATTGAAACGGTCGAATAATTGCACTTTTTCCTTTCCTTCCAACTTCTTCCCAAAAACCATCGTCTGAATCATTGTCTCTACAAAACGACAAATTACTAAGATGATGCTCAATGCCACTTTTGGGATATTCCGAATCTCCATCGGTTTGAAGTTCGCTCGAGGATAATAAATGTTCCTCCAAATATTTGCGCAGGGTGCGTATCTCCTCATGTAATTCGTTCAATATATGAATAAGGAATTCTTGTGAATCTTCCTGATTGCCTCCAAAAATAAAAGAAAGGAATGAATTCAATCGAGGACTAACAAAGCTTGAATTGATCTCTTGTGGACTGTTCTTTCTGTCGCTTCCCTTTCTGGTGTCATTATTAACCCAAGAAAGAACATCGGGTTGAGTCGGTAAAAAATCGCTTCTTCTCCATTGAAACCAATCTTCAATGGAAATAGGACTCTTTGATATTCGTGACATCATGGCTTGAGCAGACTCCTTTCGACTGTACCATTTTGTTGCTAATACTTGGACATTAGCCGAATTTTCTCCTGAAGTTTTGGAGTTGCTTCCTTCTAACATGCATTGCTCTATCACTCGACACAATTTTTGCACAAGTGGAAACTGAAAGGAAAAATCCTGCCAAGAAATGATATCTTCCTCTGTTGCTCCCCTTATTATATTCAGTAAATATAAAAACAAAAGGCGAAAACTATCCACCGCTAATAAAGCCTGCAATACAGCACTTATGAAACAAGTATTACCCCTATTTATTATTCCCCTTGGAACGTAATATATACAACTTTCCTTGTCGATGCCTTGAGATTCAGCTGCTTGAAACACAGTCTTCTCGTTGAATTGATTATCAGTCTCTGCATCATCAAGCATTTTCAACAAACGATGCAAAGCATTCCAGGTCCTGGTGCTATGAGTTGATCGATCATTGTATGAAAACCCAGCTCGAACTGAAGACTTGGAACTTCTATCTTCCTTTGAGAAGACGCTTGACCCTGCAAACTCTTTGTTAGTTTGCAGCTTGGCTGAATTCTCAACAACATTTGAGTTTCTGTTTCTGGAGGATTGAGTATTTAACTGTGGGGATTCCTGTGACGACCCACCATTTTCGGTCGTTAAAACCTGTGACCAGTCTTCAGTTGAATATTCCCCAAAGTGCATACGTTGTTTGAGGCAACTATGTGTCTAAATAAAAGAGACAGGTTTCAATATTTTATCTGTGACAAGAAAGTTCTCTAACGTCTGTTAAGACGAAACAAACAAGTGTCCAAACAATAATCGAAAATTTTTTTATGATTTCCCCGCAGTGTCTGGCAATCCCAAACCTAAATACAACGAATTATTATAACTGTCCGAAGTATCACAACTTGTGTTATATTACTGTTTGTAATGGAACCAAGCTTCTCTTTAACGTGAGCCATACTCAAGTTATGTGCAGCAATGATTGCTTCCGTCACAGACTTGGAAACCTTGTTGAATAAGTACTCAAGAATGACATTAAAAACAGACAACTGTCCATACCGCTTCAGCTCCTTTGGAAACCAGCTCTTCAGTAACTTCCACTCTAATGGGTCTCTGATTGCCTGTTATGTACGCATGCGCCAAACCATCCTCAGACTAGTTCGCCAAGTCAACGAGAATGGAGTTCTGTTCACATACTTACGGACGCTTTCAACTCTGTCCTTGACAATTCTTCCTGCATTTTACCCGCTTCCTTCGAAAACTCTTGCGCTTTCTTCACAGCATCCATAAAGTTTCCAACGTTTCCGAGAGCCGCGAACGGATTAAATTTTCCACCTCCCTTTTGGCCATCCTCTTTTGCTCGTAACGGAATACACTTGAAAGCAGACTCTTGATACGGTTTATGAATACCATGACTTGGGTTCTTACAAAAGTTTTGCCTTGTTCTTAATAGACTCTTATTTCTAGAAGCAGTAGGATAGAAAAGGGTTGCAAAAGCGACGTTGCTCATCGTGATTCAAGTGATGTAAATAATTTACGATTGAATGTTGTAGTCCACAATTCTTAAAAGAAATGAGTAGAAGGCATTCAAATAGAGAAAGATGACTACAAAAGGCAAAACCAACAAATATCCTATAAAGCTACAACATTGCTCTTCTGAATACTTCATTTTATGAACAGAAAAGCTTCTTGTCTTTTTTAACCGGTCCTAGATGATGAATTGGGTTTCTGAGCATTGTTAAAGTGATCTTTAAAGCTAATGTGGCATATTTCTAGAGAATAATGATAATTATGGTTGCTTTTCCAAACAGATTATTTCGTAAATGTTCTTTTTTTAAAGCATCTGCAAATTCTTTCATTCAGGTCTTAACAATATTTTGTTTGGGTTTAAGATTTCTAGATATACAGTTCCATTTCATTTTCTATTTTAGATAGATTCAATTTGGTTGAACTACTTGATGAAATTTATAACACTTGAGACTGATGTCACCTTCATTGTCCTGCTACACTATAATCATGAGCATAGGGTTTGGTAGATTTCAACAATATTGTGACAAAGAATTACTACAGCTTGAAAAGTTTTCTATTGGTTTAGGTCTGTGTGCTTTTTTTCAGATAATTGGTGATGGACAAAGAAAAAAAAGTCAAACTTCAGGAACAAAACTGCAAACAGCCTGACACTTGATGCATCTAAAGAAATCAAAATTCCCACAGATTCCAATCGAGATAATGTCTTCAACTTACCATCGTTTCAAGTGATCGTTTGAGAAGACCTTTTGTTAGAAGCTTGCATTCTGTGGTACGAGAAACTCTTGAAGGTTATAGTTTGTATCACATTGGGACATGGCTTCAACAAGAACTGATCCTGTTGTTCAAGAGGAGGGCAACTTGAGAGAAAGGAAGGGTCCTCTTTCTCGTTTCCAAAATTCCAAGAACTTGACGAGTAACCACGTTGAAGTTCAATTAGGAGGTGCTACTGTTCCGGAGTTGGACCCTGAAAATGATGAGGGCTATGTAGAATACAAGTGGAGTTTGCACAACCCTTCACCTCAAAGGTTTGCTCAGTTGGTGACTCAGTTAAAATTCCGTTTGTTAGAAGGTCAAGGAGAGGCTTTTTATGAAATAGGTGTGACAGATAGTGGTGTTTTGAAGGGTCTACCTGAAGACAAACTTGCTGCTTCACTGTTGACCTTGAAGAAGATGGCACAAGAGTTGAATGCCGAGGTTCACGTTGTACGAGAGGAAAAGGGATTGGAAGGAAGTGTAATGGAAGCTCTTGTAAGACATTTACCTCGTACTAGCGAGGAATATCTAGACCTTCGAATTGCTGTAGCAGGAAACGTAGACTCTGGAAAAAGTACTTTGATAGGTGTCCTTACTGGCAACGGAAGTTTGGATAACGGTAGAGGTCTTGCACGAGCTCAGATATTTACACACAAACATGAACTAGAAACTGGGAGAACGAGTTGTGTTAGTCAACAAATTATGGGCTTTAACGCAGTGGGAGAAATAGTCAACTATTCGCATGTGAGAAACCTAAGCTGGAGTGATGTTCTTGAGAAAAGCGCAAAAGTTTTGACTTTTTTCGATCTTGCTGGTCATGAGAGATATTTGAAGACCACTGTTTTTGGCTTGACTGCACACGTTCCTGACTATTGCATGATAGTTATCGGAGCCAATATGGGAGTATTAAGAATGACAAAGGAACATTTGGCTGTCGCATTGGCGTTAAAAGTACCAGTGTTTGTCGTTGTTACAAAAATAGATATATCGCCTGCACATATTCTTGATAATACTCGTGCACATATATGTAAGCTTCTAAAGTCGCCAGGTGCCAGGAAATTGCCAGTACTTGTAAAGAGCATCTCTGATGTATCTATGGCATCTCAGAATATTGTAAATGATCGTATCGTGCCTATTTTTGAGATATCAAGTGTAACTGGTGATGGTCTTGGTTTGCTATCAAAGTTTCTCAACCTTATTCCTACAAGACGTAATTGGTCTTCAGCTGTGATGGAACCAGCGGAATTTCAAATAGATGAAACATTTATGGTTACAGGTGTTGGAACGTAAGTTTTTGCTCTCTATGAAAACTGATTCGTTGACCATTTTCGTACAGTGTAGTTGCTGGTACTACTATCAGCGGAAGTGTTGCGATTGGACAGTATCTTCATTTGGGTCCTGACAGTAGTGGAAACTTTGCGAAGGTTCAAGTGAAATCAATTCATTACAAGCGCACACCAGTGAAGAAAATTGTTGCAGGACAAACAGGTTCTCTGGCGTTAAGGAAAGTTAAAAGGTCATCTATTCGAAAAGGAATGGTGTTGTTAGATAGTGGAGTAAGTCTTTTGAAAACCTCCATTATTCCTTTACAATGTCTTTTTCAGGTTCGTCCTGGCGCAGTCTGGGAGTTTTATGCTGAAGTGATGATTTTGTATCATTCTTCTACAATTCGAGTCAACTATCAAGCAGTTATTCACTGTGCTGCTATCCGTCAAGCAGCAAAAGTTCTTTCAATTGAATCGGAAGTTGCGCGAACAGGGGATCGTACCAAAATACTCTTCCGTTTCCTGTATCATCCTGAATATTTAAAGGGTGATGCACGCTTTATATTCCGAGAAGGTCGTACCAAGGGAATTGGTAAAGTCATTGCTTTGGGTGAAGCTGTGCAGACAAGAACAAGCCATCACGTATCCTAAACGAACGCTATATTATTGTTATTTTGCAACATAATTTTGGATCTGTTATCCCTTCTTATTGATAGTTGCATTGATTGGATATTTTTGTATATAATAAAGACATTTCATTACAAACACTTGATGAGTCTTTGAGGTATGGTATTTTCTTTGCATTTGTACACCCAGTTGCATTTGATTTCTACGCTGAAATGCATTTCGATTTCTCTCACAGAGTAGCAACAACGGAGTCTCATTGTTGATTGATGGCTACTTGTTACAAGTTGGTGTACTTTCCAGTACGTGCGAGAGCAGAACATATTCGTTTGATGTTGGAAGACTTAAAGCTTCCCTATGAGATGGAGATAATTCCAAAGGAGAACTGGAGAGCCTATCGTGATGCAGCCAAAGGTACGGCTGCACTACCATTTGGACAGCTACCGATACTCAGGTACGGAGAATTCACACTAGCACAAAGTGGAGCTATTGCTAGATTCCTTGCAAGAAAATACAACCTGTATGGCTGCAGTGAGAAGGAAATGGCAATGTGCGATATGGTCTATGAAACAGTGCGAGATATATTTGAGGTTTATGATGCATTTATATTGGATTCGCAAAGAGCATCGAAAGAAGAGAAGTTTTATATGGATATATCTCAACGTTTGAACAACCTTGAAAAGTTTGTTCAGTATCAAAATGCAGATTATTCAGTATGTAATACGCCGACATTTGCTGATTATTGGTTGGAAGAGCAGCTCGACTACTTACTCAGAATCAAGGTAAGCAACAGCCATTTCCAAAAAAATCGATGACAAAGTATTCGGTGAAGTCTTCTATTTTGCATGGAAGAAATGCTTTGCAACGAGTATACCACAACATGAGAAGTAGACCAAATATTGAAGCCTATTTGAAATCAGAGAGAAGAATAGACAAACCAGTCCCAGTGGACGATGCCTAACGTATTACGATTGAGGCTTTTCATTTTCATAATAAATTTCTTTCAACCTGAGTTTTTTAAAACATGGAAAGAACCACAATTCAATATGGTTTAGCTCATACAATGAATATCACGACCTGTCTCAAAAAAGTGCATTTTTGATAGAAACTCCAAAACCAAAATACTTTCACTCATAAAAAGACAAAGTGATCTCGTGAAAGTAGCTAAAAGCGCAAGAATATCCTTTCCTCTTCCTGTTATATTCCAACAAGAAACTTTCTTTATCTCAAGTTTGGTCTCGTGAACTCCAAGTATTCCCTTTTGCCATAGCTCGTGTACCGCTAAAATACCCAGGTCCAGAAGAAACCGATTATTGCTTTTCAGGTTAGGGTATAGCTTCCAACAACTTTCAGTCACCAAGCTTGTATTCGAAGTTTCAAAAGAATCTATGAGAGAAGGAATCCACTGCAATTTCCCTATGCTTTGGTCACGTTTCCGAAAAAGCTGTAGACTTAGTTGCAACTGCCTACTTATACCTATTGCTGATGCCGTTTCTTTTCCCCAAGTAGGCTGGTGAGACCACTGCTATAAGAAAAACCGGAGTGTTTTGTTTTCCAACTACGACATGAAAATGAAGAAAATGATATTTCAAAAAGAATGAAAGACTGTTTGAACAGCTCTGTTGTCCACCTACTACAGCTCGATATGAACTTACGAACCAGCTAAACTTTCAAGAGAGTTTCCAGTTCTATGAATAACTACCCATCATGTTGAGTTTTAGATATGCAATCGACAATTGCAGTATGATTATACATTATTTAATTTTAGGATGGACATCAAGTTGACTGAAGAAGCATTGCTGCCATTTTAGCCTTTGGTTTCCGAGAGACAAGCCAATGGAATCGTTTAAGGATACGAACGAAGGAGGAAGTGCCACGTATGCGTTCCACGACAAATTGCTCTCAACAAAGAGCAATGCTCATACGTGCAGTTTCAAGTGATTTTGTTTGAGAGAAGACACTTGCAGAATGAGAGATGCTTTTCAAGAAGGCTTTCTGAAACGGCAGTCTATTCCTTGTAACCAAAACAATTTTGAAGTGAAGATAGTGTCTTCTGTTCCTTTCGGGGAAGAACAGTTGAAGCGAACAAGCAACCTTCAGGGTTTCTTTCTTCATTCTGTTTCTTGGATTATTATTATTTTATTAGTTTTTGCTGGTGGGTTTTATTTGGGTTATGCTGGAGTATGGTTGTCTTCTTCTCTGCAAGTAAGCTCGCCAGATGCTCATACAGACAGTCAAGAGGTTCATACGTTCCAATTGCCAAAGGAAACTTCAGAAGAAGACAAGAGGACAGACAACTCACAAATTATTGTAGAATATGAAGAAATATTTCATCAGGGAAACAACAATGAACACGGTACTGTCACTCATTAAATAAGAGGAATCTCAATGCATAACATTTTTGAATTTAGATAACAATAGACTATGGGAACAAATTGCACCAAAAGTTGCAGTAGCTGTGAAAACTGGGAAGGGTGTATGGAATAGTCGAATTCTAGCTCACATGAAAACATGGTGGAAAAGAATACCCAACAAAATTATTATTTCAGATTGGTCCGAACCTTCCAACGGTATTATCGGTCTTGAACAGATGGTTGATAAGGACTTGCGTGAAGAGTTGGGTATTTCTAGACTCTTAAGAGACATTCGAGACGAAGATACACCGGTATTCTTTGGAGAAGTGAGTGATAGTTTTCGGTAAGTTTGTTTTGCTTCATAGACGCATTTCATCATGACAATTTGTTTTAGGTTGGACAGCGAAAAGAACTTGCCAGGATTGGTCACTCTATATAATACTTTTCCGGATGCGGAATGGTATATAATGATTGATGATGACACTTTTATATTTCTTGATAATTTGGCACAATTTCTATTAGAATATTCTTCGAATATCTCATCTCCTTTAGATGTACCTTTCTATTTTGGAAATCCATTTTCGGTAGGTATTCCTTCCAATAATGAAACTTGGGAAGATGAGGAGAAGTCTTCTTCCGCCTCTATTTCTTTTGCTCATGGAGGCTCCGGAATTCTTTTGTCATCGAAAGCATTGAAGACTATTGTACCTCATATTCCTTGGTGTATGAAAAAGTGGCAAGGCTGTCCTCACGGTGATGCCAGAGTTGCATTGTGTCTTTATTCTTTCGATATTCTATTGACTCCAAAGTTTCTCTATTTTTTTCATGATACTCCTCAAGATATGCTCTCAAGTTTTCTTCCATCTTTCAAGCAAAGAAATATCTTTTTCAATCAAATACCGATCACTCTTCATCATATCGTGGGAGACATTGTGGATAGATTGGTCAACTTGGAATATATCGTGTTGGAAAGGGCACGTTTAGAAACAGGAAAAGGACCCAATGAAACTGTTGTTACTTTTCTTGATTTGAACGATGAATTTATTGATGACTAAAACTAAAATATCCTCGGATAGTTTCTTGTTGTTTCTCTCCTTACAGCCAATGCAGTGCCCAAGCACGTAGGAAAAGGCCCATTGCACAGCAGAAAGCCTGGAAACTACAAAGAACAATACACAATTGTCGTTCTGTTAATGGGCCTAAGATCCATAATGTAAGGTTCACAAGGTTTAGGTTGGTTCGAATAGCTTCAAGCTTGCCGGTTTGTCCATTCAACCTATTTTGGATCGACAACACAAACACAGAGTATCTTTCAAAACTTACCTCGGCAGTCGATGTCTAGGACAATGTACTATGCCGATGAGTTGTGGAATAGAATAAATAAAGTTGATCAATTGAGGAATGAAAAACAATAAAAGAATTTCACTAAAATGTGCTAAAATTGCGGCCATAGCAAAAGTCATTCCTGCAAAATAACAAAAAGTATCACCAACAAATACTTTGGATGGATACCAATTGTAATAAGCAAGTGCCAAAGAAGTTGCATAAAAGGGTAAAATAAGATCGATGGAGAAGAGATGATTTTGTCTCAGTAGATCCAAGTTATCTTTGTTTCCGCCCGGATGCAACTGCAACGCATTGTGTAACAAAACTGCCAACGCAATAATAACAGATTGGCCAACTTCAAGACCATTGATACCTGCATAAATATTGATTGCGTTAGTACAGAACACTGAAAGCAAGGCCATATAAATATAATACAGGATTCCCAACTCTACTAAAGATCTGCCCTTGGTTAGAAAACGTAGCGGCCTAGGGACCAAAACACAAGTTCCTCCTGTATACAGCACTAACAATGGCAGACTTGCCACAAGCGGCAAAATTAGTTTATAGCGCCATTTCAAATTCAAAACGTCATCTGCAAAACCCAAAAGAACCATAAAAGTAACAGAAGCGAAAGCTGCAGTATACAATTCCACGTTGTTGCTTTGTCGGAATAGATGCAGCAAACATATGCAAAGAATGTAAATAGTTGCTGAAACAAGTCCCACGGCTTCTGGTCTTCACAACAACAATTGAGTCAAAAGAATAGTCAAAATACTTACAATTCTTACATTTTCTTATCGCCTTGAGCGAGTCCCTTCTTGTTGATGTCATAGCCAAACAGACCAGCTTCAGTGAACTTGTCTTTGATACTTGGAATCAACCTTAAAGTGACAAAAAAACCCAATAAGGAAATTACTACATTGGCGGCAAGTTCCTTGCAGTCTTCCAATCGAGCGTTTTCCAAAAGAACAACTACAAAGGCAAAGAATGGCAATACAAAACCCAACAAAGGCATCCAAAAAGCGAACTTATGTAATTTTTAAGGAATTGTATGTTTTAATGCAGCGAATATTAGGTGCAATTGCTTTTGTTGGTTTAGTGAGCATATTTGTGTTGCACACTGTTCGAAGAAACAATTCCAATAGAGTTAATAATCTACAAGCCAAGTCCAATCGTCGAAAACGAACAACGGCAACTGCGGTGTCGTCGAATGTGGATAGCAAGGACAAAGGTGATAGAGTTGAAAGTTTACCTTCTTATGTTGCTGCACTTGCGAGAATGTGGTGCCAGAGAGACCCAGATGAGGAAACAAGAAAGGAAGTACAGAGTTGGATAACAAACAAGCAACTGACCTATGCGAAAGAGCGTCTGGAGGGTAAACTTCATTTTGGAACTGCAGGGCTACGAGGCACTATGGCTGCAGGATATGATAGAATAAATGTTTTGACAGTATTGCAAGCAACTCAGGGAGTTTTGAAATATTTAGAAAAGTTATATGGAGCTAACCAAGTCAGAAAGAGAGGTATATGTGTCGGAAGAGACTCGAGACACCAGTCGCATAAATTGGCAGTCATCACACAAGCGGTTTTTCTTCAAAGTGGTGTTCCAGTTAACTGTTTATCCTTGAAACCGGTACCTACTCCACTGGTATCCTTTGCTGTTACTCAGTTGCAGTGTGTTGCTGGAATCATGATCACAGCTTCTCACAACCCAAAAAATGACAATGGCTACAAATTATACTTGGAAGATGGTTGTCAAATCCTACCACCTCATGACAAATACATCGAGGAACTTATTCAAGAAAATGCTGAGCCTTGGTTTGAAAATTATGCAGACTGGTTGAAAGGAGACAAGTTGCAAAACCATCCCTTGTTTACAGATAAAGTAGAAGAAATCATCGAAGCTTACAATAATATTATTTCTTCTGTTTGCCATGTAAGACAAAGTAGTGACAACAAGTTTGCTCCAGCTATTACTTATTCTCCTCTTCATGGAGTTGGCGCCTTATTTTTCAAAAGATTGTGTAAATCGTTTGGGTTTCCTGATTTTATTATGACCAAATCTCAAGAAGAACCCAACCCTGATTTTCCAACAGCTCCTTTTCCAAATCCTGAAGAAGGACCGCAAGTGTTTAAGGAAGCATTCAAGGAGGCCAGCAATCATGCAACAAAACTGATACTGATGAATGACCCTGATGCAGATCGGTTTGCAGCTGCTGAATATAATGGCAACGAATGGAGAATATTTACTGGTAATGAAATAGCTTTCTTATTGGTATCTTGGCTATGGGAAAACCGCTTCGAACTGAGGAAAAGATGGAAACAAAGAAACAATATTTTAGAACTAGAAGAGACTGAATTCGCTCATCCCAATAATTTTGCATGCGTTGCTAGCGCAGTTTCTTCGAAATTTATACAAACCATGGCTGAGAAGGAGGGATTTCAATTTCGTGAAACACTGACTGGCTTTAAATGGTTAAGTCATGCAGCTTTAGAATTGGAGCAGCAACAGTGCCAACTCTTGTTAGCGTATGAAGAAGCTTTGGGCTACATGTGTACCACACAAGTACGCGACAAGGATGGCCTATCCACCGCGGCTATTTTTTGGGAATTGGCTTGTGCCACGTATCAAAATGAAATGTTATTAGCTGATAGGCTTAACCTTCTTTATGAGAAATATGGTTACTTTTTAAGTTGTAACGGGTATCTGTTAGCCAAGTCCTCCTTGATTGTACCTCGTTTATTTCAGGATATTCGAAATAGTGGTTATCCTTCAGACATAATGGGCTGTAAGGTGGTTTCTTACAGAGATCTAGCTACAGGGGTGGATACTGCCGAAGAAAACAGTACGTATGTGAATTATAATGTAGCGCTTAGACTCATTGTTTCTAAAAGGTCAAACTATTCTACCTTGGAGCCCATCAACTTGCTTTATAACTGTACGCTTACAAACTGGCCGCCATCCAAGTTTTCCTGATGTTGATGTATTTCTATCTATACGCGGCAGTGGAACCGAACCAAAACTGAAGTATTACTCTGAAATGCGATGCGACAATGCCACGGAGTTGCAGAGCGATAATATTTTCCTTGTAAACTTGGTCACCAACTTCATTCAGAATGTTCTTAAACCAGAAGAGAACGACCTGGCATTTCCTAAAGTGGGCGAATAATGAATTGCTTGTCCGTCCTTGTGGGAAAAAAATAAAATTCGCAGTGAGCAGGATTCGAACCTGCGCTGGGAAACCCAAACAGATTTCGAGTCTGTCGCCTTAACCGCTCGGCCATCACTGCTTCTAACCTATGGAGAAGGAACATTGTAATTAAAATCCTAACTTTCTGAGACCGTTGTAATATGAAAACTATAAATCTTCACAAACTTGTTTACGTTACATCCTAAACGCTATCATTTAAGGATGCTGACATAAATGGAGATATGGTAGGTCACGGGGAAAAGTTCTCGAGAGAGACTAGATGGCAAAAATTCGTTTGTCGCGACAACAGGAAATGTTCTGAAAAGATGGTTTGCTACCCTCAATGATTTCCCATTCCTCATGTCTTGGTTGGACCAACGTGGAGATAGTTGTCTTTTGAAAGATATTATTGCTTTCATTCAAAATAATGAACAAAAATGGAAAGTAACGAAGAATACCAAACTTTCCGTGGAATGTCCCGAGGGAAATATAACTATGGACTATGCGCAGCAGTTTAGCTGGAGAGACACATTCTCCTTAGCACCCCAGGAACATCTTTTCAAGTTAACCTGCTTAAGTGATGTATTATTTTTGGTTTTACCGGGTCTGTCCATCATTGTTACCGGCAACCAGATATACTGTAGACAAAGTGGTGTGAAAGAGGCCGAGGCAGTGGAGTCTTGGTTAACCTTCTTAGAAACATGCTCTTCAGTCAAATCAATGGGAGTTGCTCTGGAAGGAGAGCAAGCAGCTGTTGAAGAATTATTTCCCATTTTGATACAGTTTGTTGGAGACTTTCTTCGTTTTCTTTGGAATAGGTGGAAAAGTGTGGACTACAGCTGCCCTTCTAAGAAAGACTTGCAATCTAGTGTTTGGAGAGAGTTGGCTCAAAACTGGATCAGTTCTTTTCATCAGTTACTTACAGAAATGAAGTTATTTGTTTCTATGGTCAGCTCTGGATCAGCATATGATGGAACTATTACACGTATGTTACCTTCACCAGTTGTTTTCATTGATGTAAGTCAAGAAACTTGGATTGTGTTCTTCGTTAAATGTGAGTAGGAAATGTCGGAGCTGCTGAACGAAATGTATCAGTGGCAAAAAACTGTTGACCGAGTCGATAATCTGATTCCTCTTTATTTTCACCAGCAAGAAACTCTTCTCTTGAAACTGGATTTGCCCATTGTTACAGGTAGCGCATTTTTTGGATTTGTTCTTTTGGTACGTCTTGTTTATGTTCTGCCACATACCCAACTAAAAATGTTTCGCTCTTAGGTTATGAGTTTCACTTGCATGAATATTACCATTCCTCCTTATAATAGTCCGAATATTATCCAAATTTGGGCAGTTTTCATAAGCATTTTAGTCTTGTTATTGTTCTTTTCTTTTTCTTCGATGTTTTACTGGTTACGCAAGAATGCACCTCTTACGGACCTGTAAATATATTCTTTGCTTAATCATTTGCCTCGTCTATTTTATTTTTTGGCTTTTTTCTATTGTATATATTTTACTGTTTTTTTGTCGACTAGCATAACTTTGCATTTCGAAAAGAGATTGTTGTCTTTGAGCTGTAGTAATAGAGCAGCGTCTATGGGAAGAAATGTTTAGTGATACAACGACGTTTTGATGCTCTGCAAAAATACCAATCACTATAATGGTTTATTCATTCTAATTGGATAGTCCCATTTTATAGGTAAACGTGAGAAATCACAAGTTGAACTTAGAAACGAGTCTCACATTTGTTTTGTGCTTTGCATCGCTCACTTTGAAGTTAGAGTCGGTACTTTTCTCATGTTTCTGCTGCATACTTTTTTGTGAAATTACACTTTGACTCCATCACCTTTTACAAATATATGTACGTTTCTATCCAACTAGAGAAAAGATAAGGAACAACTCTTCAACCATACAAGGAGAAACTCGAACTTTTTAAATATCTATTCTTAGCATCCACCTGGGTGATTTTACTACTGAAAGAAACATATAATGGAAATTTCTAGCTATTTCCAAACAAACAAATGTCGAACGGAAATGCTCAGATCATCGCATTGAAGTGATTGTTGACCAGAAAATCTGGCACCCAATCCGCCACCTTTGAAAGCTCGGAGGTGAAAAAAAATCCGCCGCCATTTGAGGAAGAGCAGTTATTCTAATTTTGGTATTCGGTCAACGAGGCGTGACGGTTTTCTTGCTTTATGATGCTAAGTAGTAACTCCTTCTCTTTAAACCTTTCGAACGAAGACTATATATGGCCACTAGAAGAAGACCAAGAAGAAACAACAGATAGTAGTGGTCCTATGATGTTAAGCCCACCGCTGCCAGAGGGCGCTTGCTTTAACTTTGAAGACAGAAACACTGTGTATGTGCATAGTAGAAGACCTGAAGACACTCCCAAGTCATTTGAGCTATATTCCATTCCGGAAGACTTGGCCTTGGATAGTCCTTTTCCTAGCTGTGAGCAAACAACGTTTTTCACGACAAAACCTGATAAAAGTTTCCTCCTGGATATTAAGAATTCCTCACCTTTGAACATAGGAAGGATGCAAAACTCTAGAAGCTGAGCTTAGTTTATTTGAAGTTTTTGACAACGACTCGGAAAACAGGGGTTGTCCTTGTAGTTTGTTGAATATATTTTATCAAAGGGTTGTTTGAGTGGATTGATATTGTAAACTAGTAAAGTTTTCGCATTTATATGAACTTTCGACACCGATTCTTTACCAAACGACTAGTGCACAACCTTGACAAGGAATTGCAAACTTTAGGCTGCAAACCCCTCCCCCCGTGTCTTGTGGACAGACATAGCCACATCATCTGAGGGAAATGGTCACGTAGACTTTTTGTGCTTCTGATTGAGTTGTGTATTTGTCACAGCCACAAAGATTCTTTTGTCACAATATATACACACGGTGACCAAAAAGTCTTTCATATAAGCGACACAAATAGACGCGTTTTTCAAAGTGATTGTTGAACTATTGTAAAAAAATTTTCATTTGAACCTTAGCTATGTCAAGCATATTAACTGCTCAACGTAGATGAACGAACCATTAAACAATGCGACAGAACTTCTTTGACACTAACAAAAACGACTTGATCTGGATGTATTTTCGACATGTCATCTATCGACGACTCTTGACACACAACTGGTAGACTTCTTTCACCCATCGTACCGAAGATTGTCAACAACTGTGAAACTTTTGTATTTAAATGAATGCACGGCAAGTCTTGAATCATAATATCACTTGCGAGAGTTTCTCGACTATTTTTTCCTTGCAAAATACATTTGCGTATGAAATTACTGTAAATGTATGAAACGATGAAAAGCTTAGAGAATATAATTAATAGCTTACCGTTCTGTTAACAGACCAACAATAGAATGCCGATTGCTTTCTGTTCAAACTCAGATATTCCAAAAATGTTTCTATTGGAAATGAGCTACTTACCACTCTGAGTAACTAATAAAGTGCCAACTTTGTGATCATCCATCTTTTGAATTGCCTCATCTACGCTAACGGATTGATGTATCTGATAAACCGTATTGTCTCCACTTCTATCCAATCCTTTACTCTCCAGGACATCCTTTACCGTTTGTTGTTCAAAAAAAGGAGCGATCATTTTCTGGGATACTGAGGAAGAAAGTTGAGAGATCTCTAGAAGTTAGAACACCATAGCAATCTTCTCTAAAGGCGTCGCCATGTTTCTTTTGATACAAAACTGCGATATTTTGTACATCCTTTGAAACCAAAATATCGACCACGTCTTGTACAGTCTTATCGACGGTGATAGTCTCCACTCGATCTCGTGTAGTATACGCTTTCTTCAATTGGGTCTTTTCCAACGGCAAACCTTGAGAAGCTACCTTACGAACAATGTCTCTCTCTGAAAAGATGCCAATCCAACGCAACTTATCTTGAACGTTTTCAAAAACAAGCACCGATGACAAGTCATCCCTCACCAAGCCTCGTGCACATTCCAATACCGTTGTGCTGTCGGGATAAGCATATTGGGTTTCTGGATGATTCTTCAAAACTTTTTTTAAAGGGGCTGACCAGAATGGGTCCTCTTTGATGGATACCGCAGTTGAAAAGGACTTGACCCATCTTTTCTGTGCAGAAAGGACGTTAAAAGAAGTCCAGTCAAAACGAAAATTTGGTAAACGTAGACAAGGCCTTACAGCCTGTTTCCACATATTACAAGTAAAAAACGCTATTCACTGGAAACTGACTGTAATTCCTTTCCAAGTGCGAAATGATTGTCTTTCTTCCAAACCCACAAAAACTTTCACAGCATTCAATCGTCTTTTCCACGTCAACGGAATCGCTTCAAAGACATTTTCACACACAACATCAAGTCTGTTAACGTTTGTTATAAAAAAAATTTTATTCCAAAAGTTCATATTGAAAAAGACATCGGAATAAATTTCCTTCCTTCTCCTTGCAAGTTATAAAATTTGTTCTGAAACTCGACCCAATGTAAACGCAAAGCATGTAGAAACGCTGAAAGTGATTCCATAAGGCACAATACGCCTATTGTTAAAAACGCCCAAAGCAAGAAACCAATCATAATCGCTATAGGATGTTCCAACGAAATTGTATTATATAAAACCTATCACAAAATGTGGTCAGAGAAAATCAAATGACGATAGATACTTTCAACCTTTTCTAAGAATACCAAACTCAACTCCGAGTGAGCCAAGCTTAGCGCCCATAAACGCAAATAACTAGCAGTATTACTAACAGCTCCCAATACAAATTCGATAGTATGTATGAGTTGATGAATCATCACCTCGCCGAAATCGAAAGACTCTTCTTCCTTCTTGTTCATATCTGAATGAGTACCGCCTTGTACATGATTGTTGGTCTGAGTACTTAATTCCTTATCGAGCAAAGGACGTTGTTCTTCATTTCCAATCACAATCTTGCTCTTACGATGACGATAAAGTAGTATGAGAGGCTTGGGAAGCAACATCCAAGGAACAGAAACGATAGCTATCAACAGTAAAACCGATTGAATTTCACCTTGAAAAGGAAATAACTTGGCATCTTCTGCTACTTTGTATGGAGTCATAAACAAGCCAATGAGAGTGTTTTTGAGGTCAGGAGGACGACAACGAGAATCAGATAAGCAACTGGGAGCATTCCAGTTTGTTAACCATTTGATAAATATTAACAATACCAAGTAACCAAATGTGCAACTCATAAACAAAAGTTGAGGTACAAATACATACCAAATATCCAAACCACTCCTGAAAAAAGAAGCGTTGAAATAGGATAATACAATACCAAGAAGCATTTGTGTGACACCAACGATGATACTCAACTTCATTTTGTACGAGTTCAAAAAAGAAAGGCCATTTTGAGCTCTACTCCAAACAGGGTCAAACCCAAAAGGATAAATATCTAGAGGAGGTTTGTTTGACAAAGCATCTGCACAGCTGTCGACTCCACAAGCTAAAGATGATGCATCTGTAAATTTCCAACGCGTTTGAAACAGATTAAGAGAAACACCAAAGCACTCATTATAAATGAAACCAGTATAAACTGAGAACAAACCCATCAACAAAATCATATACCTGCCATCGAAACAAGTTTGCACTAGCTCATTCAACTTTCTTCCTCCCAACTGCTTCTCTTTGAAAATCAAAATGGCTGCAACTAGAGTCATTAACATTCCATGTCCAATATCTCCAAACATTATGGCAAATAAAAAGGGGAAAGTGACAATAGTAAAAGGTGCAGGATTAAGTTCCTGATAACAAGGAACTCCATATGATTCTACAACATTTTGGAATACAATTGTAAACTTGTTCAACTTGTAAAATGTTGGAGGAGTATCTTTGGGATACTTGATAACTTCTACAACGGTCGGACTCTGTGCATGCGCTCTCTTTTGGGCTCGACTAAGGCAATCTTGAAGATTTCCATATTCATCTAAAGGACACCAACCATCCGCAATATACACATTATTGCTCGTATCGTAGTTTAACAGATTCAAAGCATGAAAAATAGTCTTTTCTCTTCGGACCTTCTCTTTCCATAAGGACAACTGTAAAGCAATTTCGCGAAATGCTTCTTCTCTTTGAGACTGTGTGGAGGCTATCACAGTTTGTAGGTCATTAAACTCTTGTTCCAAACTTTGCAATAGACGATACCGCTCGACTTCTCCTTCAGGCAAATTATACAGGGATACAGAAAAAGCCTCACATATCTTTAGAATCTTGGTCCCAAGAGCAACTCCAGGAAAGAATACGATAAATACTCTCTTTCTTCCCCATTCATTCTCCATTTTTTCAAAACGAATATTCACAGACGAAATTTCATCTAAAGATACAAGTCGAAGATATGCATTACCTCGCGATACCCGAAAAAGAATGCGTTCAAAGGGATGAATATTTTCAAAAGAGATAAAGCCAGCATAATAGCCAAGTATACTTTCTTCCATCCCATCTCTCCCTGTCTTCGATACACCGAGGAGACTTGTCGTCTCTTCATCATTTTTTGCACTAGATCTACAAAGCTTATCACTCCATTGAAACCAAAATGAGCAATAATAGCAAACCTTGGAATATTTATGCTTCTGTGCTCGGGATCAGGCGACATAATGGTTGTGCCATATTCCGACAAGGAAACTTTTGGAGCTACAGAAATATAAAACTTAGCTCAAAGCCACATAAAAATACTTTGACTCACCGTCTTCAAAAAACTTTGCTCCCGCCTGTAAGAGTATTGCGTGCTCCGCCACTTTTCTTTCTTCTGCTTTCAAAGCTCCCCAGTGACTGTTCATCTCCGTAACGTTCCCTTCAAGATCGCAAAGATAGCGCGCCAATTCCTCAAGTTGGAGAGACTGCAATGCTTCTACCGTTATTGTATCCTCTAGACGTCTGCTTCTTGTTGGTCGTCAACTTTAAATGGCAAAACTCACTTACTGTTCCTCTAGCTGAAAATCAACCTGTTCCTCCAGAAAGCGTAGGCGTCTTTGCATTTCATCGCACAAGCGGACGTCCGCGGCAAAAGTTCTTTGAAAAGTTGACTTTTCTTCATTCAAGTCGTTTAATTGAAACACGCCCTGATGAGAGTTGTTGATGACTACAAGCAACTAGGCGATTACTCAACTTACAAGTTCAGCGAGTTCCACCATAGTTTCGTGAGCAACTGATTTTTCAACAAACAGTCGGAGTTTGATCATTTCTTGAGAACGACAAAGTGAACCCATACTGAAAGGTTGAGACAGTTGTAACGTGTATATCCGAGCGCCACAACAAAAAAAATTGTCTCAAAACTCGACTCGGAGAATTTACTTGGAATCCTCAAACAGCGAGACGATATATAGAAATAATCAGAACAGCTTGAGACAATAAATAAGATAAATTAAAAGTGTTGAGCTTACATAGATATATCTTGTGAAAGAAAGTGGACCACTTAAAGGTTAATTCTCAGCAAAATATAGAATGGACGCTCGCATTCGAAAGTAATTTATTTCTTTTCTTTTCCAATTCAAGTGATTACAAAGAAAGAAAGAATGAAAGTCGAAAGCCTTTGAAAGGAAGCCGATGGGCCAATCAATCACCTACGAGAGAGAAATTGACCCAACGACATCGCTTCTCCAGAAATTACTCTAATTTGTTGGTTCTCAGTGGGAGACTTGCTGTGATATTCACTCGGCACCAGAAGAAACGACGTAGTGTTTCTTGGTGAGAAGTACCGAGAAAATATGGCATACGACTTGATGCAAAACTGCACACCAAGCTACAGGGAAAGAGAAGAAGGACTAGGCCGCTTCCCAAGACGTGGTCCTACTACAGTGAACGGACTCTATCGAGAAGAGTTGATCGGAAGCTTCAAAGAGTTTGTAAATAGGCTAGATGTTGGAAGCAGAGTCTTAAAAAGTACAAAAATCATGCTAGAAAGCTTACTGGAAACTTTGAATCCTTCTAATCTGTCTTCTACAGTCGACTCCTTTGCCTTCCGAGTTTGGCGCTCAGAATTATTTGCACAAATTCTTGCACGAAGTATAGGCGGACTGGTTTGCCTCTCTTCTCTGTATATAGTTTTCGCTTTGACAAGATTTATATGGAAGACAAAAGTGCCCCTATTTATGACTCCTATCCTTGCGGTAGCACCTGCTGCTTTGCTTTGTTCTCTTGTCTTGTTTTGTATACTTTTTTCAAAGTATCTTTGTTATCCACTGCTTTGCTCTTTAATTTTGGAGCCTTCATATTCGAGAGCAGGTAGTACTCTTAGAAGTTTACAGTTGCTTTCCCAGGAGTTGAGATATCAGAGAACTTTGTATCGTTTATGTCTTTCGGATAGAGACTTCACCGACCAGGACTATGAAATGTTGCTAGAACTTGACAATGAACCAGGTGTTCAAGCTATGAGGAGATTTATTGAGGGAGTTAGTCCAGAAAAGATTCAGTCATTGCCTACTTATCGGTATCATCACAAAAGAAACGCATTCTCCTATGGAGACAATATGACTAATGATCATGATACTTTGTCAAAGCAATGGAAAAAAGAACTTTCATACAGAGCGAAATTATACCATTTTTGGACCGCTTTCTGTAACACCTTGCAACATTTTTTATCTCGTACTACTGTCGCGAAGAGGTCCTACTTGGAGTTTACTTTGAGACAAAACGAGGAGGAAGGATATCCTTCAAGTCGACGCAAATGCAGTAATTGTACAAACCAGGTAGTTTTGGGTAAACACAGCAACAGCTTTTTGTCTTTGCAAAACTCCAACTCTGCAGATTCCTGCCCTATTTGTTTGGAGGAATTTCTCCAAGGGGATCTGATACGTGTTCTTCCTTGCAAACATGAGTTTCATGGAGATTGTATTTTCTCCTGGTTGGTAGAACGCGGTAAATGCCCTGTCTGTAAATATTCGATAGCAGAATAGTTATTTACTTTTCTACCTTCTTATTTTCTCTTGCTGAAACTATAAAGATAGAATGGCTTTTTTCTGAGGACCAATAATTTGCTTCCAATTGAGCAGGTTGAATGCTTTCCACGTGTCAATTCTCGGCTTACTATTCACGATCAATCGACGGGAATGAAGGGTAATGAAGCAATGAAATTCCCAATGGTTATGTAAAACAAGTTGCTTAACGGTCGCTGAGCCATTTTGATTGGGCAATACTAGACCCGTTTCCAATAGGTGTTTGGACATATTTAGAAACATATCAAAAAAAATTCTTCTGGAGTAACTACTGTTATGTATTGAAGGCCTCCTTCATATATTCACTTCTCAATCTCTATTCAGTTTTCAAGACGTTGAGGTGTTCTGAGCAATTGACACACTCAACTTTTTTGGTTGCGGCTTGCCCATCTAGTCTCCTTTGAGTTTCGTTACTCATGAAAAAGGCAATCTTGAAATATCAGTGGAAGTATGCTTTCCTCACAAGGTACAGATATCCTTACGAGAAGAAGTGGAATATGAAGGTTCCTCTTTGGTATCGTATTTGTAGAAATTTCTGGCTGCCATTGGGAATATTTTTCTTTTTATGGTTTTTTATTTCTCCCATACTTCTAAAAAAACTGGATAGTTCGAGCCTCTATGTTGAGCGACTCGAAGAAGAGAAGAGTTCTCAAACAACCGTGGTAGATACTGCAGACTTTCCAACTGAAATATATTTTCGAGAAAGAAAAAACAGCACATCATTGGTAAGTTGATCGTATTGCATTATTTGGATAGATATTTATAGAGCACAATGATATTATTGCAGACAAGTGAGACTACATCCCAATCAAGACTGCGGAAAGAAAAAGCCAGTTACTGGGTAAATGACGAAAAAATCGAAGTTTTCTTGTTTGTTGCTGTAGCATCAGCCCCAGAATGTGAGAAAAGACGTTCAACTATTAGAGCAACATGGGCGCAATATTTTCAGAATGCGCAAGTTCCCATAGAAACTCAAAACCTTAAAGACGGAAATGTGAGACAGAATGTGACATCGTTAATACACGATATCAAAAAGAGACCAATATGGCATATGCTTTTCTTTATTGGCCGTTCTTCCAGTCCAAAGGTGCAGGAGCGAGTGGAAGAAGAGGCCAAAGTATTTGGAGATGTCATTCTTCTACCATATCAAGAAGGCTATTATAACTTAACTTTGAAAACTTTGGCCATGTTTCAGTGGGCTTCACAACATGTCAACTCTTCTTTTGTATTTAAAGCTGACGATGACGTGTAAGTAAATTCTACATTTCCATATGAACATTTCTCAATCTAGCTTTTTAGTTATCTTCATATTCCTCGGTTAATTGAGTGGTTAGAGGAGTGTCCAAAAGCTGAGTTCTATAGTGGTCATGGTAGTTATGACAAGAAGCCTATTCGAGAACCCATCACTCATAAATGGTATATAAGTGAAGAAGAATATCCCTATTCGTAAGTCGCAATGTTCTCATAGAGATATGCACAATTTATTGACGACGAAACTTCAGTTTCTTTCCAGATTACTGCAATGGTAATGGATATGTAATGAGTATGGATTTGGTACATAGAGTTGCTTCTTGTTTTCCTCGAGATTGGAGTTGTTCTTGGATAACGGAGAAAATGCAGGATGTGCAAGATGCTTCATTTCGAAAAGAGGCTTACAAGCGTTGCAGACAATCATTAGCCAACGACTGTGGTTTGTATATCAAATTTGAAGATGTAACTATAGGTTCCATTTTGCTAAATTATAACGAAGCCCAAGCATTCTACAATGAAACGATGACTCGAGCAAGCACGAAACAACAAAGTTCCATTGCAAACAAACCAAATTCTTCATCGCCTATGAATAGGTTACGTTGTCGACATGAACCTCGGATCATTAATGAGCCCGAGGCAGTGCGTCAATGGGGCGGACTTGTAAAACGTTCTCGTTGCCGAGAAGACTTCATTATGATTCATAGAGTAAGACCTGCACAAATGTGGCGTTATTTTTATACAGGATTGGAAGCCAAAATGTGCGACGAACCTGAATTTTATCCAGATCCAGTAAGCCACTTAAAACAAAAATAATAAAGAAGTATAAGCAATATATCATGATTCAGTATTGCTGGTGTTTGGAAAGTCGATTGAATGTCTAAAACTGCGAAGTAGTTGTTTGCACTGATCCAACTTGTTCTCTCTCTCCCAGATTTGCTGATCAATAGTAAACAAATATTGCTAACTTGGAGTAACAGAAAAAAAAACTTACTTGTGAAAGCCGGTTTAGTCTCTCAGAAAGCTGTTGACAAAGTGTTGAATCTTCGAGGTCCCGTTGCTCTATCCTTCGCTGATATTGCTCGGCAAGTTGACTGGCTTGAACAAAACTTCTCACTAACTGATCAACTAGCTGTTGAAGATGTGTCACTTCTTCTCTGAAGGCTTTATGTAGTTCCTCGTTATCACCCACATTTGGAGGTATTCCACTACTTGACGTGTTGTTGAGAGACCTCTTCAAAGAAACAAAACACTTAACTACAGCTATTAAAAAAGAAAAACAAAATACCTTCGATGCCAGATAAAGCGACTTACTTGTGGATTCTAAGAGTGCAGCCAAATAGCTTCTAGTTTTCTCTACACTTTGTAAAAGGTCACGTCGAAGCTGATCTTGTGTATTGTCTTGGTGCATCAACTCTTGTCAGTCTGGTGGATTCCAACGACATTTTGCAGGCCGTGAAAACTTTGTTGTTTTTATAAGCTTTTAAGTAATTTTAGAGGCAACTTTACATATTGTCAACAGTGTTTGTAAAGCTCCTTGGCGCTTTGTTATGGACCCGAGCCTTAACGAGGAAGACTTGTACTTGGAAGACAAAGACGTGGTTTTCATTGTGAGTAGGATTTATTTCAGTCTAGCAAGCAAAGGAAACTGAATATTTCTTTTTTTACTTACTAGGACTCAGAACAATGGAAAGACATAAACGAGTTGGAAGGGGACGAACGAGAAGAAGTTGGCGCCATGGACCTTGCTTCAGATGAAGAGGAGCCTGTAGAACCAGCTGATAAAGTAAGTTAATTCAATATGACTGTTAGTTTAGTTTTCTTAAATATCTTTCAAGGTTTCGTCTTCTGGAAAGGAAGGTTATTTTACGTATATGTTGGAAAATTATTCAAAAACGACACAGAGTAAACTAGCTTCCCCTTGGAGAGATGTGGGTGGTTATAAGTGGAGATTCTTGATTTTTCCTCGGGGGAACCAAACCAAAACTCACCTTTCTCTTTATTTAGAGTGTGGTGGTCCCGTTCAAAGTCTCCAGTGTTCCTGGGCTGCACACATATTTAGTCAGAGTGCAAAGTTCAATCTTGTATGCATCAATCAGGAGGACTCCTCCAAGAATATTGTAAAGAATGCAGAGCATCGCTTTACAGATAATGAAAGCGACTGGGGCTTTAAGGAATTTATCAAGTTAGATACTCTTCAGCGCCCAGAAAATTGCTTTCTGGTAGAAGACAGTGTCATATTTGGTGCTCAGGTTACCTTAGTAGCAGATGCAGCATTGGAAACCAACTTCTTTAGCTATGATTCACGCAAGGAGACTGGCTACGTTGGTCTGAAAAATCAAGGGGCAACTTGTTACATGAATTCTCTTTTGCAGACGCTGTTTCATTTGGGAGAGTTTCGAAGAGCTGTTTATCGTATGCCAATAACAGTTTCATTAGATGGTTCACACCCAGAAGGATTGACTTACGCACTACAAAGAATCTTTTATGATTTGCAATATAGCCCTACTGTAGTAAAAACCAAGAAGTTGACGGATTCTTTTGGTTGGGACAATACTGATGCTTTTACTCAACATGATGTGCAAGAACTCAATCGCATACTATGTGATGCATTGGAAGAGAAAATGAAGAAGGAAACTAACCAACAAAATACTATTCAAATGTTGTTCGAGGGAAAATTGTTGAATTACATAAAATGTATCCATGTCCCTTATGAAAGCACTAGAGTAGAGTCGTTTTATGACTTGTCTTTGAACGTTCGAGGCTGTGCAGATATTTATGAATCATTTGAGAAGTATACAGAAGTAGAAATTATGGAAGGTGACAACAAATATCGAGCAGAAGGTTATGAAGAGCTTCAGGAAGCCAAAAAAGGTGTCAAATTTTTGACACTTCCTCCAGTTTTGCAGCTGCATTTGAAGAGATTTGAATACGACTTTATACGAGATATGATGGTGAAAGTCAATGATAAGTTTAAATTTTATGAAACAGTTGATCTTAATCAATTTGTGGATACAACGGCAGCCGAGGAGCAAGGCATTGACGTGGAAAGCAACAATTATGTATATGTTTTACACTCTGTTTTGGTTCATGTGGGAGATGTTCACGGTGGACATTATTATGCATTTATACGTCCTCAACCATTGTCGGATCCCTCAACCTGGTTTAAGTTTGACGATGAAACAGTTTTAAAGGCAGATAAGACGCAAGCTGTGGATGATAACTTTGGCGTCGGAGGAGATGAAGACGAATCTCCAGATAAGAAAGCTCTAAACGATGGATTAGGTCCGATTCCTCCTCCAAAGCTGAAGCAGTCTATGGTTAGACGGTTTGTTAATGCATATATGTTACAATATGTTCGAGTTGACAAAGTTGATGAAGTATTATGTCCCTTATCAGACGATGACGTTCCAGTTCAACTTCGTGAACAATTTGAAAAGGAAAAGGAAGAAGAAGCGAGAAGAAAGAAAGAAAGAATGGAAGCCCATTTGTATTGTACTGTAGCAGTTGCAACCGAAGCCAACCTTTTAGCACATAAAGATCTAGATTTGATAGGATTGGAAGGAATGGACTCTTTTAAAGTGAGAAAGACTTCCACTTTGAAAGATTTGAAGATGCTCTTACATAGCAAGAAGTTGGTGAAAGATATTTCTTCAGTGAGGCTATGGAAATGTAGCAAAAGCCACAGGAATGCGCTTCGTCCCCAATGCTTATTAGCCAACGGAAAGGATGATCATATTATTACCGATACTAGTGAAGGTGTTCATAATGGTGTCTATATGCGTGTTCCTTATGCTGGGCGTGAATCTATGTTGGATAATACTCGTTTGTTTGTATTCGTAGAAGATTTATTGGTGATGGATGGTCGAAGTGTAAGGGCCAAAGTATTGAATGAGAAGAGCTTGACAGGCAATTATTCAGTTGTATTGAATAGTGATGAAGTTTTTTTGTTTTTTAAATACTATACACCGTTTCCTGTTCCTATGCTTTCCGTTGTTGGCAAACAATTGATGAAGCTACGGGATACTGTTGGGGATGCCTTAGCAGTGGCTAAAGAATTTGTAGGAATCGATGAAGATGAATCTGTTTTTATTTTTGAAGAAAAACTGGGCCGAAAAATTCCTCGTTTAAATGACATGTCTCGTAATTTGATGAGTTGTGAATTGAAACATGGCGATATTATTGTCATTCAGAAAGTTCCACCAGCTGCAAATGATGAAAGAGTAGTTTCTTTACAGAGAGCGGGAGGACGATACTTGCCAACCTTTTTGGAATATATTGATTATTTGTGGCATCGTATAGAAGTTGAAGTTAGAAATGCGAAAGATCCTCTTGGTCCTGCTATTACAGTGGAACTATCATCCAATGACTCTTACGATAACGTGAGAAGAAGGATTGCGAATAGGATTGATTCTACTTTGGATCCGGAGTACTTACGATTTTATCCCCCACAACTTTATACTCCTGGACCTAGAAACTACCCGATTACTCCAGAAGAGAGGTAAAGAAGAATCTTTCCATTATTTCGAAATATGTTTGACGTTTTGATTAGGCATCTTACTTTGGATGGTATTCTTCGTTTGGATTCTCGAACCCCTCTTCCGAGACTTTTATATTATGAGCGAACTCGTTATCCTTCTTCAGAATACGATCATAAGGAAGAAGTTCTCGTGACTTATTATGAACGGAATGAAGACGATAATAACTTTGGAAATAAAGTGAACATGAATGGAGAGGAAGAGCATCGACTGGGGCGTTCCATGAAAGAAGAGGAAGAAGTGGAAGAACAACAAGGCGTGAAATCAGAAACGACGCATTTTGCTTATCTCAAACATTTTAGCGTTTTGATTGCGCGAGATCTTACCTTTCATGATTTGTTACGTCTCGTTCGAAAGTATCTTAAGTTGGATGATTCTATTCCTTTGCGTTTGTTAGAAGTGAAGGGACATTTGATTATTCGTATGATATCTCCAGGGGAGGCATTAAGATTTCCTACTTATCCTCATGATCGCTTGGAAGTTCGAGTTGAACGCATTCCTTCGGAAGAATTGAAAAGTGACACTAGGTAGGTATAAATCTGATACATCTATATATGTTATATGTATGAAATGAAATTCAACTAGGGATACCGTCTTAGTTCCGGTGCATCACATATGTAAAGAAAATAGGTATGTTCGGTTACCTGAGTTGTTTGGTATTCCATTTGTCATGCGAGTTTCACTATCTGGAGAATCTGTGAGTCAGTTATTGAGACGAATCGGTGAATACTTGAAAGCCAAGAAAGATGAGATAAAGACATGGAAGTTGTATGAAATCAGAGATGGATTATTTTCTTCATTAGATGATATGGACAAGTTGTGGAATCCAGAGCCCTTATCGGATGATCGTGGAGAGTTTTCGGTTTCTTTGGGTTTGGAACATAAGGATGAAAACGCGAAACGCTGGCAATCCCCTTTTCCGAAACCTTTTTCTGACAAACCTTTGAAGATCCGCGGTTGACTATTTGTTTTTCATGAGAGAGGATGATTCCTTGTCTTGTTTTTGAAAGTAGTATAAAACGACGGAATATATTTCATATGTACAAAAGTTTTGTTTGGCAGTTGTGTTTTAGTATACGAGATCGATTCTACTTACAGTATTTTGTTGGTCAACCTTTCAAGTATCTTTTATCATTCCAAACAAAAGATAGAAAAGGTATATATTTGCAAAGTTGGTTTTTTTACTCGTCGACATTTGTATCGAAGAATGATTGATAATCTCTTCTTTTCTGTTTGCGTAGAAATCGAAAGCTGATGCAGACGGATCAGGTTACACAAACTTTTTATAAGCAAGCTACTTCTTCTTTACAACTTGAAGCAAGTGATATTAGCAAGCTTGTACGAATTGGGGTGATTGGTTGTGGTAGAATTGGTCAGCTGCATATTGATAATATCAATAGTCGCATAGCCAACGCACAAGTGGTTTGCGTCTCTGATTTTATTCCCAACGCTGCCATACAGGTTGCAAAGAAGTTTCACATTCCTATGGCCTGCACAAAACACGAGGATTTATTAGATCACGCCAAAGTGGATGCAGTCATCGTTTGTTCCCCCACCGATACTCACGCTCAGATTATCAAGGACGCTGCTAAGAGGGGCATCCACGTCTTTTGTGAAAAACCAATCGACACTCAATTGGCAGTCATCCGGGATGCTATACAAACCACCAAACAATATGGAATCAAGTTCATGGTTGGTTTTCAGCGGAGGTTCGATCGAAACTTTCAAAGAGTACTTGAAGCCAGAAAATCTGGTTCTTTAGGTAGTTGTTTATATAAAATATATGATCGTGAATATTCAACTTTGAATAGGGGATCCGCTCAAACTGACTTTGATAAGTAGAGACCCTGCACCTCCACCTATGGAGTATTTGAAGCAATCCGGTGGTATATTTTTGGATCAAGCCATTCACGATTTTGATATGGCAAGGTTCCTTATGGGAGAAGATATTGTGGAAATTTATGCTACAGGTTTTGCGAGGGATCCTAAAGTTGCAGAAATTGGAGATATTGACAATGCTACTTGTCATGTCAAGTTCCAAAGTGGTGCCATCGGTATTATTGATAATGCTAGAGAAACTCATTATGGCTATGATCAACGTGCGGAGTTGTTTGGTAGCAAAGGAACTATATCCATCGATAATGACTTTCCCAATACTGCACATACTCTTAGTCCCAATGGTTTGACTAGCGATCTTCCTTTGCACTTCTTCATGGAACGCTATTCGAATGCGTATTTGGAAGAAATGCAAGCATTCATTCGATGTCTTCAAGAGAATAAACCTGTTCCTGTTGGTGGAGAAGAAGGTCTCATTCCGGTGGTGTATTCAGAAGCTGCTAAAAAGAGCTTTCAGGAGAACCGACCAGTTCTTGTGAAAGAAATCGATCCATCTCTTCCATGAAAGGAGTTTTCCAGAAAGTCTTCTTTTTCGTGTTGTTGTGGTGAATATTTTATAAAAGTTGCTTTTTTGCAGCAAAAAAAGGTTTTCTTAATATGAACACATATGGAATCTTTTTGGGCAACAAATATATACATATACATATATATACAAAAACTATTCAACAAAGCAATTCAGCCATTCCTATCATTCGATGAATGTTGAAATATTCAATTGTTGTTATTCTCACAACGAGAACACTGCTTTCGACTGCGATCATACATTGCACGTTTCAACGCTATCCATATTATTATATTCAAAGAGAATATACACATATATATATTCTGTCAATTGGGTTATCACTAACCATATCAACAACAACTTACGATTTCCAAGTACCGAATACGCTTCCAATATTTCTTTCATTTTCTCTGCACAAGCCTCATCTCGAGGAAAACGGTCGGGATGATACTATCCAATGTATTCAATACTTGTAACCAAAACATTTTTGAAAGACTACCTTCAACACTAAACGATAAAAAGATGCCTTGATTTGCTTCAAAGTCGCATTTTGATCCACTTGTAAAGTATCGTAATAGTTGAGGTTATGAATAACAGAAGATGTCGACTCGTTGTTCTTTGATTGTCTTTCTCGTTGGTTTGAATGATTATGACGACCATGATGACCATTGTTTTCTTTTTTATGATAGTCACTGGAGTTGGTTTCATCCATGGAAGGTTCCATCAACCCCATACCCGATCTTTGCCATTGAGAAGCTGACATAAGATGTGCCAAAAATCCAAATATGATATAAGAAATTCCCATAAACTGCAATGAATACTCCAAAGACAAATCAGGTATCATATGTGTAATTCCAGACAATAAACAAAACAGTCCACATCCTGCAGAAGCATAAGAAGCAGTTTTCATACTCGAAAAAATGGGATCTCCAGAAACCATACCCGTCACACCGTTCATCCAATACCGAAAATGTCTCATACTACTACAAAAGGATATCTCATATACTGGAAAATAGATACAAGAAAGATTCTTCCTCTTGAAAGAAACTTCTACGACTAAACAGTCTGCAATATCTGTTACTCTTTGTTTAGAGTCTTTGCTAATGCGTTCCCTTTCCAATTGACAAATTCTATAAGTAAAGTATCGTTCCGCCACGTCTTCCTTTATACATACTCTTTGGGCATCCGAAGCTTCACTACTGGTTAGAGTACGTAGTGAATGAAATTCGCTTGCAGGAATGTATAGCTCTCTAGCTCTTCCTAAAAGTGGTTCAGGACCGACATACAACTGCATATGTGTGTTTCCACAAGTGTACCGATAGTTATCCGAGCCTCGAATATATTGGGCACCAAGATGATATGTCTTGCTAGGATTCACCAACGACTGGTAAAATAAGCGTCCCATAGAAGTCTTTTCATATTCGAATTGAGAAAGAATATCTGCTTCAAATAAATAGATGGGCACTTGTAGGGTTCTGACATATATAGAAGAAGGCTGTAGCCTAATTCCCAACGGGTTGCTATCTGTCCAGTGCAAAAAACTTTCTAATGCTTCCTTCGTCGTTAACTTGAAAGGAATTCCCTTTAGTGCTCTTGTACTGCAATAACGTAAGAACCAACGAGTTGAGCTGGTCATTACATCAAGTTATCTTCTTCTCCCATTTTGAAAGGAGATCATCATGTTCGTTTGGAGTTGTTTAGGAAAGAGTCGAGCTTATAAGGAAGTCAGGATAGAGCAAGGACAAGTAAATAAACATCGATATGGTTCTTTTCCTCATGCTATTGATATGAAAAAGTCTTCCAACTTATTCCACCAAGTATTTGGTTTCACTAGCCAAGCAGAAACATGCAACGGAAGACTAGCAATGTTTGGTATGTTTGTTGCGGGATTGAGAGAGAAAATGACAGACAAGGGCATATTCGAACAACTCGGACTGGTGGATAGACAACAACAGTGTTGGTTGTTTGGTTCCTTGATGGGTTTATTTCTATTGTTGATTACAACTCACTATTATTTGTGGAGGCAAAAGAAAGCTTAAATAGTTTTTGTGTATACAAGAGACGAACAATAAAATGAGAAAACCTTATGATATTATTCTTCATAATGGCAAATGTCAATATCAACAAGTGAAAATACTTCAACCCTATCCTTCAATGCCGCCAATGCCATTTTAGACACGCATGATGAAGAATGGATCTTTCATAGTGTATTGTCGGACCATCAAAAATGAAAGCCAACATGAAAAAGACAGAAAGAAATTTTCGAGTAAGTCAACATAGAAATGCATAAAATATGAATTCATCTTTTGTAGGTTATTCTTTGTCTTCATAGAATTAGTGGAATTCCTTGTCGCCAACCGTTGACTTTAAAGATAGTCACTCAAAGAGCTTCTTATCGCACCGAAGCTTTTATTTGTACCTGCAATACAATCAACCAAAGAACAGAGTGCCATGCAGAACCCAATCAAACGATATGTTTCGATATGGAAGTTTTATGGGAACCTGAAACGAGTATTTTTGAGAAGCGTATGACACAGATACAACTCGTGCAGCTTATTCCATCGCTGAATCAGTCTCAAGAGGAAATGGATGAATGGATTGTTTCAAGACTGGATATTAACTTGTCCAATTATTTAGCTATTCCTATGAAGACGAGTGATGAATACTTTCGAATGGATCCACATGTCATCATGGCAATAGAGTTGAAATGTTATTTGTTGGATGGCAATGAAAAGAAATCCAAAAGAAATGGAGAAAGCTCTATGAGACGAGTATTGAGTTTTGTATCTCCTCTGCATTTGGAAAATGCCAAAGCCTCTGTAAGTTTGCATTCAATGAGTGCACAACCAGTAGAAAAAGTCTCCGATCATCTCAACATCATTTCTTCTAAAAATGACAAATATGTGAAACTTCAGAGGTTTTGGTCTAAACTGAGTAACTATTCAAACACCAATGGGAGACCTGGGATGACCAATAATAGCTCACAAGACTCCTGTGCAGAAGAAGTGCTCTCCATGGAAGACTGTTCATCAGATGATATGTCCATGACTATGCCTTGTAAGGCATGCCGTTTGTTGTGCATACTTGGTGGTTATACAGACAAAAGAGAAACTTCACTGGAAGAGAGACTTTTATTTCAAAAAGTGAGAAGATATTGTCCTTCTTTGCAAAGAATTATTCAGCAATATATCAAACAATGTCCACATTTAGATATTACGCGTCATTCTAAAGTTTCTTGGGAATCTACGCCAACCGATGAAGGAATGATGAACCTTGATCCTCATTGGACACAATGGTTAACTCCCAATGCAAAACAACAACAGGAAGAGAAATGGAACGTTCATGAACTTGTACAGCAACTGGTAGAAACCAAAGTTGCATTGGCAGAAGCTTTGGAACAATTGGATTATATTCGTCACGCTTATCCATAAGAATTTCATGAAACAGTTATGACTGAATAAAGCGTCTTTATTTTTAAAATCCAAGCAGAATAATCCCTTGTCTCTATTTGCAAAAAGAGTATTTCTCGCATTACTAAACAGAAAATAAGAGATTTATGGCTCATAATTTGCTTCAATCATAGCAATGCAGTCCCCCAGCGGCTTTTTACTTGACAATGCATGAACGAGAGCATCGTATGCCTTTTTCTGTTTCTTGATGATGAGAATAGCCTGTTACCTTTCTTCATATCTTCTGATCATATTCCTATCACAATATTACATCTTACCTGTAATACCGCCCAACGTGCTTGATTGAATACTCGTTCCTTTGACCAAGGAGGATTCAAACATGTCAACACTCTTAATAATGCTGCTTCATCACTTTGGCCTCCTTCTGCTTGTCCATATTCCAAAGCTTCTGCAGCGATGCCAGCCTTGTTTTTTATACAATTCAACAAGAAAGGTATTTTCTTTGTATGATTTCAATTACCATCAATACGATAGAATACCTATCAATAGTAGCATCTGTAAGAAACCCAGTCGATAACTCTGACTCCAACTTGCGATCAAAGAATAATGTACCCGCTTGTCCCGGAATACCGAGACTCTAAGCTAGGTTCAACATCCAAGTAGTCTTCATCATCACAATAGAAAAGCTTACCAAAGACTCCCATGCACTCAATACAATTCCTAATATTCACATCAAGACTAAAACCAAGATACTCATAAAAAAACAAAAAGCACCTCTCACAGGACAACCCAATAAATAGCTAACAAGAAAATGACCGGCTTCATGTTTCAAAACCTTTTTCTTATAAATAGGAAACAAGTTTTTGTATAGCTCTTCAAATATGGCACCCTGTAACGCTATTTGATCACATAAGAAGCCAACCAAAAGACTTATTCCAATGGGTCTTATGATATTCTCGATATGAAACAGATGACTAAAAAATATAAGACTCAAACTGAAAACAACTCCAGCCAACTGATAGGAAAAAATAGATTGAGAACGAGGACCTTGTAAAGATACTCAATACTTGTATTCAAGCTCTTTAAGGAATTCTTACGCAAGGCTTCCAACGGTATCTTTGCAGTTTCCACTAGTTTGTCGAGACCAATTTGTTTACTCTTTGCAAAAGAAACCAAGTCGATAATGACGGGAACGCAATTCACAAAATATCTTACCGGTTCTGGAAGTTTCTCTTCGGAATCAATGACACTAAAAGCTTTCAAACAATTCTTTTTCTTCAACTCGTCATAAACTTCAGCAACTTGGACTTGATTCGAGTAATGGCGTTTGAGAACTAGAGTAGATACTACGTTCAACAACTGAAAACCACTTTTCACTTCCGAGAAAGAACTAGAGGGTAGTTGCTTGAATAAAAGAAAAGCTTCTTGTACCTGTCCATTGTTGAGCTTTTTTTGAAACTCTTCAATAAGAGAGGCACTGCAACAACAGTTTCTTCTTGAAATTTTCAACAAGTTATGGTGTTTATTCTTAACGTTCAGCTTTGAAAGCAGAGCGTTGCTCGAGAATATCCATTGGCTATTGACCAGGAAAGAAACCGATACAAATGGCTGCTTCATTATTCAGTCAAAGACAATCCAACTGCAACTACATTAGTTACTCATTTTCTATTGGATGAGCGATGACATTTCTATCAACATCGATATCTGACAGTTGTGGTATATTTTCTACAAGAAAGTCGTTGCCTTGTACGATAAGACGACGTTCTGTATACCGCGGGTGGAAAAGACCTGATCACTTGTCCCTTTGTAAGGCTCTTTGCACCCAAATCAATGCTACAGCAAGGCAAGAGGGGCTGAATGAAACGCCAACAGAAACAAGTATGAAAGTAGAACAACTTCTCCAAGTAGAAGAAACAGAACGTTCTTCCGGAAATTGGTAAGTCGTGTGCTTACAGTTTTCAAGTTGCTCACCTCAGTACTCAGGGATATAATCTATGAGAGTCCTGCGAAAATTAACTTGTTTTTGAGAATACTTGGAAAGAGAAAAGATGGTACTTGATATTTATTTTTTGTGCTCCACCTTATGTGTTTCGTATTTAGGCTATCACAACATTGCTACTTTGATGCAAGTAATATCTCTACGTGATACCTTATACTTTAAACTCTTGGATGAAAGTGCTGAAGGAGATATATTTGAGACAGACTCCGACGAGGTTTGTACTGAAATAAATCTCGCTTTCTTTCTTGTGTAACTAGAGTATCATCGAATTATGGATAGATTCCTATTGGTTCCTCAAATCTGGTTATTGCAGCTTTCCGAAAGTTTCGAAAAGAAAGTGGTATGAAGAGATATTTTCACACTCGTGTAGAGAAAAGGATACCTGTTAAAGCAGGTTTGGGTGGTGGTGAGTGGTTTTCTTGTTTGCAGTGGTTGGTTGTTGAACAAAAAAAACACACGATAGGAAGTAGTAATGCAGCAACTGCCTTGTGGGCTGCCAATAAGTTGACTGGAAAAAAGTTTTCTACCGAATATCTCAAGAAATGGGGTGCTGACCTTGGTTCCGATGTTCCCTTTTTCTTTTCAGGAGGAACTGCATTTTGTACGGTAAGTCTTCCTAGTGGTTGTTATTGTTGTGAGGATAAATTTTTTTGGAATGCTTAGGGTCGAGGAGAGAACGTCAGTGAACTTCCTAGTTTATTTCCTTCCTTTCTTTATATTATCAAACCTGATGGGAGTTTGTCAACAGCAGATGTATATGAAAACTTGGTATGTTACACTATGATAAAATAGAAAATGCATTCTTACAAAGGAGCAAAAGGATCTGTCCAACTGTTCGACAAGGGATCCTCAAGAACTTATTACCGCAGTTCAAGATGGAATCATGTGGGCTGAGCCTATGAATGACTTGGAGGAATCAAGTTTTCGTTTATATCCACTTTTATCGGAATTAAAAAAACTTCTTCGAGCGTGTGGCTTTCCAGTAGGTTATGAAATGGAGTGTGTGATTGAGATTCACTTATTTTACCCAACAATAGGTTGTGTTGATGTGTGGTAGTGGTTCTGCGCTGTTCTGTTTAGGAGCACCTCACTCTTCCATATATCCTACATTTGAAGAGGTATGTAAACCCTAACTCCTTCGAAGAGTATTAGAGCTATGTATAGAAACTTGTCAAACATTTTCCAGTCAAAGTATATACTGCACGATTTTTAAATAGAAATATAGAACAAGATGTTTGGTATTTAGATCCTGAAGAAATAAAAACCAACACCGTAGTGGAGCAATGGTTTTAAAAAGATGCAAGTTTTCGGCTCAATTCCAATGGACAGAGAGGGATTGCATATCGAAAATGATTCTCTTTTGGAGATGATTTGGATAATTGTATAGAACTGGAATTGTTCGGGGACGTAACTTATGGCTTCTGGAACGTTGGTAATAGCCATAGTTGTTCCTTTGGTGGTACCTTTTGGAGCAGCACTATTTGCTCTATTCTTTGTGCTTCAGTACAAGAGATTAAGAAGACTGAGAGTGCGACTGGAAGTGGAACGAAGGCTTGCTGACAGAGCTACAGGCAACGGCAAAGTTGGAGTGACTAGACAAGAAATAAGAGAGCAATGCCCTTTAGTAATATATAAAGGAAGAACCAGATTTGGTAGAGGGCCGTATAGAACTACGAAACCGGTCATTGAGAGGGGAGAAGGGGACGAAGAACATTCGGAAGGTGAACTCTCTCTTGAGACACAGGTCACAAAGAGCGGTCTCATAACTCTGCCTCAGTCCTTAACGAGTTCTCCACGACAAAGTGTAGGAGAAAGTTCCACGAGTGCATCTTCAAGTTTCAAGAACGAGAAGAGAGACTCCTTATCTGCTTTTGTGGAGTTGGCGTATTCGGACAAGAAGCATACACAGCTGTTGGAGAGTACGAAACTTGGAAGGAAAAGTATAGAAAAAGAGCTGGATATAAACAGGGTCCATAGTTATCCAAGTTCTCCTCGTAGACCCTGTTCCCAGCCAACAAGTAGAAAAAACTCTCGTGCAGACGCATTGAGAGAACTTCTCCATATGAACTTGTTTGAAAGAAGGGAAACAGTACTAGGTTGGGCTTCCCATCTACTTACAGGACCTGTTCTAAATCCGAGTTCTATTCCCGGAGGAGTGTGTTCTATTTGTATCGAGGATATAAAGAAAGGCAAAAAATTGCGATTATTGCGATGCAGACATGCTTTCCATGCACGTTGTGTAGAGCGTTGGCTTATGTCTGCTAACCGTTGTCCTCTTTGCAATCAAGTTGCGGTAATTCCAAAGGAACGGTATAGCGAACGTACTTCTATCCATGATGAGACTCAAGTGAATAACAACAACTCAAGAATTCCTTTTTATAGACGGTTATGGAATGGTATTCGAGAAGCGTTTAGTGATTATCCATCAGACCTTCCTATTTTGATAGATGAAGAAAGGAATCATGAACAAGTCGTTTCTCCTCGAGCAAGCGAAGAAACTATGTCACCAGAAGGAAGTGTAATAGGTCACGGAAGTGATGACCTTTGTCGTGTTTCAGATGACTTTGAAGACAGTCATCACATTGTTGAGTTTTCACAGGATAATGCCGTGTTATCCCCTATTTATCAATCTAGTCTTTACTTTTCACCTGATCAACGTGAAACTTCATCGCATTTGATTGCAGACACTGCATGAGTGAAATGATATTGTCTAAAATTCTTATATTTTCTAACGCAAATTTTTTTGAATAAACTCCATTTTCTATCTATTGGTTTATGTAAAACAACAAAAATGAAAAATCGTCATCAATAATAATAAGGAATCGTAGTAATTCAAGCAACCACAATCTTATTAACAAGGATTGAGTATATACTGAAGTTGCTTCTTATGTTGTGTATTATCTTGGCTATCATCCTTGACCAAGTATTCATCATCTTCCTCTTCGGTTTCCGAATGCATTGTTTCTTGTTGACACTCTGCCTTGGTCTTTTCATCACTTTTCGATGTAGATGTCCACGTAGCAGATGGCGAAGTAAAAGATGTTGTTTGTGGAGTATCTGAATGTGCTGTCATTTGAACCTTTTTTGGGTTCTCAACTAGTCTTCTCGCACGGACCGCGTTGGGATTTTCTTCTCCACAATATTGACATTTCACTTTTCTGTTTGGTGTCGGTTGCTGGCAATGTATACATAATCGATAACCCTTTCCTGGTTTGTCTCCTTCTCTATGAACATTATGTTTGGGAGTATACCGCAATCGCTTGGGTATGGGATCTAAAGGATTTCCATTATCATCGAATCGTATTCCTTGAGCTTCCAACCTTTGTCTCTTCCGAGCATTTCCACCTACCGTACGTGCACATTTAGAGGAACAAAATCTCCCAGACGCAAATCCGCCATAATGTTCACGTCCACAATTCTCACATCTTTGAAAAACAGTAACTTCTGGTTTGGAAGATATACCAGAAGATGTTTGTTCCGCTTTGGAAAAACTGTTCCACTTATGATGACGATATGAAAGATTCGAAGCAAAGGATACCGCTGACAATGAATGTGAAAGCGGTGATCCTCTACCATATGAACTGTTGGGTTGATTACGAGCTTTGAACCAATCATCCTGAATATCTACATCAGATGAACAAATGGTATGGGAAGAATCCATTTGAGAAGGAGCTGTTTGTATCAGTTTTCCACTCAAAGTCGACGTGGTATAAGGATATGCGATAATAGGACTCATAGTTTTCTCCTTTGGAGGCCTTTCCTTATTAGCATTTCTTTGGCCCATTCTATTAGCAAAATGCTCTTTGTTGTTCGTGTTATTTTCACTCGAATAAGATGCCAACATCTTTCGATTGTCCACAATAAATGAATGTACTTGATTCCTTTCACCGACTCGTATTGTTCCAACTTCAGTCCAAGCAGCTTGCTTTCCATTTTTGTTACTTGTCTCTCTCCAATCGAAAATATTATTATTCAAAACATCCTTGGGAGAAGAAATATCAATTGGTCGCCTAGTGTCTCCGTTATTCTGCAGAATGAATGAAAATGTATCCATATACTAAAAGTTATGCTTACCATATGCCAGTTGTGATATTTGACCAGCGCCTCTGGCATTCCCATGTGTCCATTATCAGATAAACTTGGCCACTTTTTATTCGTTGCTTCACGTGTGTTGTTTTGAATACTATCATCTTGACTTTTCAGACTCGTTTCAACTTTTTCTATCCCTTGTCTTTGTTGTGCAAGTTGATGATAACTTTGAGCCTATACACGAAAGTATTCAAAAGGGGAGGTTGAGTTTCTACTCAAATAGCACAAAAGAACTCCAAACCTCTTCCAGAGAAGAAAACGCTTCAATAAGGAAACCTTCCACAACAGTTTGTTCACAAGTATTGGAAAAATTCATCAAGGAGTTGCAGTCTTTGTCTAGTTATTTCGACAAAGGCGGGTATACTAAATAACAACCACTATGGCAAGTAAACCTCTTAGTTGAATATTTTCATCCTAGTTTTACCAACAAGATGAGCGAATATTCTTTTTGCCAAGCTACAACCAGGGGACACTTCCTAACAAACCGTTGTGTCTATTCCCTTTACCCAATCCGAAAATGGACTCATCACATTCTCTCCTTGATGCGCAAGAATATCCCTGCAATGATGGCCATTGGGCGTTGTGATGACGATACTGGATGAACTTCATTTATCTGTCCATATTAGATACACTATGTACTTTTAGAAAGTTTTTCTCTTATTTCTACTGCTCTCTTATACCATTCTTGTTTAGGCACATTATAAAGGCTAGCTATCACCTTAGAAGCACTGCCACTACCAATATTTGCATTTAAAAGAGTTTTCAGAATATCATCCGCTGAAAGCATCTTCCTTTCCGTATCCTTATCTGATGATACATCCCATCGGTCAAGAATCAACGTTAGTTCTCCTTTCACTTGTTTCTCTCCAAAATACTCCACTGCACTTGTAACTGTACTCCAATGCAATTCTTCATACACTTTAGTAAGCTCACGAGCCACCAGAATCCTCCTATCTGATAATTCATGTTGTAATAAATCATTCAATGTAAGCATCAACCGATGAGGAGCTTCATATAATGCAACGACGTGTTTCGTATTCTTTATTTCTTCCAACAATTGTTGTCTCTCACCTCCTTTTATAGGAAGGAATCCATAGAAAGTAAAAGGAGGTATGGGAAATCCACACACGGATAAAGCTGTAGTCAAAGCACACGCCCCTGGCACCGGATACACAGGAATCCTATTGTGATGACACGCTTCTATCACTATATGACCAGGATCGGAGATACACGGCGTTCCAGCGTCACAAACCAAAGCAACTGCTTTGCCTTGACGAAAACATTCCAAAAGTTTAGGAATTCTTTCAACCGAGTTGTGTTGGTGTAAACTGAACTGTACTTTTTGGATACCAAAGTGTTGTAACAGTTTCCATGTTTGTCTAGTGTCCTCCGCTGCGATGATGTCTACTTTACGAAGTGTTTCTAAACAACGAGTAGAAACATCTGCCAAGTTTCCGATGGGCGTGGAAACTACATAAAGACAGCCACTATTTGTTTCCTTTTGGTTTTTTCCTTTCGAAGAAGTACACAATAATTCGACTCTTTTACCAAAGACTTGTTTTCTTTTCGATAAAACTATCCAGCGTTGAGATAAATAAGTACGAGTCAACCCACTAGCATATCGTTTGCTGCTTAAAAAGCAACTAAACAAATAGAATAATTTTCTACAATACCATCGATCACCCAACATTCCAACTTGTTAAAGGCTGCTGGGTTGTTTCATCAAAGTCTTTGTTTGCAAGCTTTCTAATATTGTTGGATCCTATTCCGATCAATATTCCACCTCTTATTTCCGTATCGTTTCTCATTCGAGTTTTCTTTATATTGCCATGCCACGTGAAGAACTCATTTCACCAGATGGTTTAAGAACTGATGGAAGACGCCCTTTAGAGGTATGTCAAGTGTCTATTTAGAGAAACTATATCGATGTGTCTTGATGGTTAGATAAGAAAAGTAACCTGTCGAATGGGTATTTTGCCTCGTGCAGACGGAAGTTGTCACTTGGAAATGGGTAAGCTGTGAAGTGATATCAAGTAGGATAATATTTGTTTTTATCGAGAATAGGAAATACGATTGTTTTGGCAACCGTATACGGGCCTCGTGAGTTGTCTTCACGTCAGTCTTCGTGTGGAATCATCCGCTGTGAATACAGTATGGCATCTTTTGCGTCCACCGACAGACGAAGAGGGAAGAGAAGTGACAGAAATAGTGTTGAAATGGCTTCTTCCATTAAGAAGGTGAGTGAAACATTCACAAAATAGAAGATTGTTGATTCGACCAAAGACCTTTGAGAATGTATTGTTGACCGATTTATTTCCCAAGTCTCGTGTCGATATCTTCATTCAAGTGTTGCAAGCAGATGGAAGTGAACGCAGTGCTGCGATAAATGCCGTTACTATAGCAATGGTTTGGAAATAATGTTTTGCTTGGTACGTGAAAAGTAGTGGATGAAAGTTTTCCATAGGTGAATGCGGGAATACCTATGAAGGACTTGATTGTTTCGTGCTCAGCCGGATATATGGAGAATACCACTGTGATGGACTTGAATCATGTAGAAATGATAACGAGAGGCCCACAACTTACTGTAAGTTTCAAGTTGAAGAGACTATTGTATACTGAAAAGAAATATGAAAGCTTGCTATCTACGCAAGTACCGAAAGAATGGCAACTGCTCATTTGGAATCAAAAGCATCTTTTGAAATCTTTGAGAATTTGATTGCAATTGCTAAGAAAGGATGTTTACAAATGTTCGATGTGATGCATTCTAGTATTGAAAGATATTCCTTGAACTTGATCGCTTCTCGTGATCATATTGCAACATTTGGTTCGAGGGCTTGAGGATAACAACTAGATTAAGAAAAAACAATATTACATGATTCTCTACAATCGATGGAATATCTTATATATATATATATATATATTGCTATACAATACAGTCCTTACAACTCAACAGTTACTTAGGAATCCTTATCATGGGTATTCATCAAAAATGCCAAAGTTTTGGAAAGATCTCCACTTCCAAACTGTATCGAATCTCTTGAGCCATGTCGATGATGACGTTGTTTCTTTCCACAAAACAATCCATATACAAGAACGATAGGTTTCAATAAACAATACCAAAGAACTACAACATGGCTTTGAATGATATATTTATCGTGAAGAAAATACTTACTAAAACCAATGCCATCCAATAATAACCAAAACGAAGACGACCAATAGGAATCCACTTTACGTACTGTGGCAAATCTATTCGTCTGCCTCAACTCATCCAATTTACATTCCATGCGATGAACTCGTTCGTAAAGATCATCCAACGATTGATGAATATGATTGTAATGACTATCTAAACGAAGAATTTGTTTACTCGTATCGACATCCAACTTGTGCAATTCTTCATTCCATTCCAAAATACGTCTTTCTAATATCTGGAATGATGACTGGCTTTGTTCAAAATCTATATGTTCCTTTGATAAAGGATGATGCATATCGCCATAGCTATTTGGCAACAACTGCTGCGTGATATCTTCCTTATCCAAATGTGATGTTGAACTATTATATTTCACCAGTTGAGAAGAATAGGATGACTTGCTTTTCAAACGCTCCCTTTCATTTCTATGATTGCTGTCATTTTCAAACTTTTCAGCTTCTTCACAAGGTTTAGATAGTTTGTCACTATGCAAGGAATTCTGAGATGGTTCAAAACCATCTTCTTTAAAAAAAACATTCTGATGATCATAAAACTTTTTCAGTCTCTTACGAAAAGCTTCTTTGGCATCCTTTGGCATATCATTCAACAACTCCAAATCCTCAGGTCCAAGTCTTGATGACTCATTTTGTGTACGTTGCTTTTTACTCTTTTCTTTGGGATAAAAAGTTTTTGGATACTTTGCATAGTTTTCCACAAAAGGTATGGGTTGCTCAGGATTCTTTCCATACAAATGACTCAATATTTCTTCTGACTGCTCATCGGAGAACTTTTTGGACTTGACTCTATCACTGTTTCGACGTCTACTCAATGCCATGTTATTTGTAGAAGGAATGACAAGTTGAGACTCGCCTACAGCTGTGTTTGTCTGCTCTACGAGGGAAACTTGAGAAGAACCACGTGACTGTTCTTCGACAGTTCTATGCACTCCAGATGATTTCTCACGAGAATCTTCTTCCTTCCTTACACCAGAATAAGATTCTATAGCAACTTGGTTATCTTGAACAACTCCAGTTGGTCCTTCTTCCGTATAACGACGCATAAAGTTTGCAACTTCCGAGAAACTGTTCTCCTTCACACTATTACTACTATTACGGCTTCCCAAGGCTCTTGACAGATAGTTTACTGTCAAATTCTTATTTCCTCCGTGTGCAGCATAAGCAGCGCATATAGCATCCTCTTCCAACTCCGGGAACCTGGCACATAATTGCTTCACAGTCGCTGATTCTTTTACTCTCTTCCTTAAAGAACGTTTCTCTAGAATTTTTTCTCCAATCTTTCCCAAATTGAACACGCTTCGTTTTTGTTCATTTCTTAAACCTTTTTCCACTTGCTCTTTTGAAGACACTTCCAATGTACTCGAAGGTGTCATCTTTCTATCTTGGTTGAGAAAGTAGGGAGCACTATGGCTTTCGTGCATTGTATTGGTATCTCTCACTCCACCTTGGAAGAGTTGTTCCAACAGTTTTTTCTGAAGTTGAGTATTCGGTTTTGGTTGATGTTGTGGGTCCATAGAGAAGGAATGCTTCAATAGCTCCCGTTGCTGTCCATCCATACACATGGGCCATCCATGAGGAATGCAAAACTTTTCAAGAGATGAACCATTCTATTCTTCTATACTTTTATGTTTTCGATATTGTATGCTATAAAATACATATGAAGACTACTTGACAGCTCACTATTAGTGTGAAAGAGAGAAAGTTAGAAATGCATTGTTCTTCTTGAACCGCATTGATGGTTGATCACAACATCCATTCACTTTGGATGGTGGGATGGAAACCTTGTGCATATACTACTATTACATGGTTACCACCAGGTAAAGTTGCTTTTTCACTGAAAACTCCTGTACAAGGAAAACCAACTGTTATTCTTCACCACCAACCAAGAAAATCCTCGCCTATCAACTTGTACAACTGTTCCAATCAAAGTACGTCGTTTGACAACTCGGAGACCAACAAAGTATATCGATTCGGAGCTTGGTTAGATGAACATATTGCTGGAGACGCATTACTGCAGTGTGAACGTAATTGTCACATACCCACCGATTCCACCGTCACTAGGCAACAACAAGCCTATTCCTTTTTCTGTTGTGGAGTAAAAGAATTCGACGTGGGTTGTTATGACGCAGCAGCCAACTGGTTCCATAAAGCTACCGTATACGGTGACCCAAGTTCCAGAACAGGTGGTCAGTATCAACTGTGGACAGCACAAGCTTTACACGCCGCCGGAAAGCGCGATACAGCAAAAAACGCATTACAAAAGTTGAAGTATCACAAAGACCGGGATGTGAGAAAAGCTAGTCAACAGCTTTTATATATTTTAGGTGCTCCACAGTTAAAATTGGATGCTTCCCATTTTATTTATATAGCAACTGCAAAAGTACCCGTCACCAAGAATAGAGAGAAGAAAGTTGCTACTCACCCGGGGACTTACAATTGTGTTGACTTCGTTAAGGATAACTATGCATTTGTTCAAAAGACACCTGAAAAATATAGTTTGGAGTGGTTCGTTCAAAAAGAACCACCTCCACACAGCGTTAGTCGTATGAATACCAACCTCGTTTTGACTTTGGCAACCACGATCATCGTCAGTATGCTCGTTTTCTTTTATCATAGTTGACTGGGCTATTAAAGTAGTAAGAGAAGATTTGACGACCGTGAAAAGAAGAAAAGTATCATTAGGGAGGGAGTTTTGTAAGATATAAAGTCTCATTCAGACAGAGACTCGGAATTTTCTTTGCCTTAAAAAAGGTGAATCTGCCGGTTTTCGATCCCGGTGCCTCGAGGAGGCAAACCGTGCACTCTACCAATTGAGCTACAAACTTCTAACAAACAATGGAAGATACTAAATTGCATCTTTACGATATTTTTCCCCGTAACATAATATATACAGTCGAAAAAAAAAAGAGTCGAGTCAATGATAAACTCGACGATAACCATCGTTCACAATTGTATATTCATTATTCAGTTGAATCCATATCCACAAAACCTTCCTTCAAATGTGGCAATATACTCCAAATCTTTGGTTCTATTCGAAAAAGACAATAAATCAACCACTCCAGTTTCCTAAAAAAACCAGTTATATCTAGAAAACGATTCCAGTGCCCACTGATGGCACAATAAGCTGCAGTTTGAGATGAGTCATTCATAACCTCCAAAGACGCCGAATCTTCAGTACCAGTACGATAAAACAGATGACTATCGTGATGCCATAAATGTTCGTGGATAGGTATTAATAAACCATAACTTTGCAAAAGACAGACAACTGGTGGTGGTGGCCTTTCTGGATCCGCCATGTGACCCCACTTGTGAGCTTCTGGCCATATAGCCAATAGAGATAGAAAAAATATCAAAAAAGAATTGAAAAAAATTGGCAAATCGTCCCGAAAATATGTCAAAGTTGCCAGGAAAGGAATAGTAAATAGACAATACCAATAAACATTAGAAAAGAAATCGCTCACTTCTTCATCTTCTGAAGAGCAGCCTCCCGCTTTTGAATGACTCCGCTTCGATACAAGGGAAACGTAACAAGAGTCTGTGTTGGAAAAATAATTCCTCGACGCCCAGTTGTAAATACCGGATATGAAATCTGCCGTAATAAAGGCGAAAAAGCCACCAACAAAAAAACTTGCAAAGTCGGCAAATGAGTCGAGTTGCCAAAGAGCATCTAATACCAAAAAGTCACATATTACATCTGCAATAAAGACAGTCAATTTTTCCACCCAACTACTTCTTTTATACTTATAGTTGGTACTGGGACTTAACCCAAAAAGATTTAACAAGTTCCAGTCTGTGGCGGAAACATTGTGTATCTTCTCTTCACAAAGCAGAAAATTCCAATCAGTGAATAAACGGGCATCTTGTAAGTATCTCGAATACGGTTGGCTTTTGAACAATCTCTCTGTTAAGTTGCCAGGAATTTCAGGGAAGGAGACCAAGATAAGCTTACGGTCAGCCTTTCTCTTTGTTTCAGTTTTCATTTCCGAGTTTTGTAAGTAATCCAACTTCGCTGCAACGAGGGACGAATTGTCAAACTTAAGCGGAAGAGAGACCACAGTAGAATCTTGCCTTATGCGCAAGTTTGCCGTTCTTCTAGGAGGCCACGTCATCTGCAGTGCAGAGAGACACCCCTTTTTCCAAGCTTTCTTTCCGAAAGCAGGCTTCCATAGTTGAGGCTTCTTAACTCCAAGTCGAAAAATTCTTGGTTTGTGAGTCAATTCCTTACTATCATATGATCCAAAAGTAATGAAGCTGCCAACCATTATTGTGTTGAACGTTGGAAAGGATTTTCGCGCTCAAAGTGGGGAATGACCGGAATTTCTCAAGACTGGAATTTCTCAAAAGGTGGGAAAGCTCGGCTAAGACAGATTGAAAGGAATCTTCATGAAGTACAAATAGTGTTCCAAATATTTCATTATCCAGAGAAATACAATTATAATACATTATGAAAGAACTGTTGATTTCCAAACAAGTGTGAGTTGCTTCATTTTATACTGGCTGGCTCTCCATATTTCTACCTTTCCCATCTCATTTAAATTCTTTCAAAATGCGTTGGTAAAGGCCAACGGATACATTGGGGGATCGTTCATGAAATGACAGAGTCACAAAGTTCACAAAATGAAAGTAACGCTACATCTTTTACTTTTCAAAAGCCCTTAATCTCAAGTACACAAAGTGAAACAAGACAAGTTGAGAGAAAAGATATAGTTGAACTTCATGATGGCAGTGTATCCTTTGAAGGTGATTTGAACTGGGCGGCTTCAACAGTGTCTAATGAAACTCAACTTTCTTCTCGGTTACAAAACAGTCTTAGTTTATATAGTCATCCCACTGTATTAGAAGAGATACCAGTTCATTGTAACAACCCCAAGTCAAAAGACCTTCCCATATGTACTACCCTGAGAAGCAATATCTATCAGAATCGACAAAATAACTACGATATATCCGATTCTGTTGACTTTGATTTTTCTCATATTCAACAAGTGAAAACTCAACAAACTGATGAAATGTCAAGCACTGCTGTTCTCAAGCAGCTGCTCTCGATTTGTTTTAAAATGACCAAAGAGAAGCTCGAAAAACTACATCTGTCTAGTTTTCTACTGGGAGTTGTGATATCTTTTGGCGCATCTCGAATTTCGAAAAAGTTTTGGTTTACTCTTGGCAAATGTACAAGTTGCTTGCTTCTTGTGTATATTTTGTGGTACAGTCATCAAACGACTACGTCTCAAACATTTGTATCATGGCTACTGAGGAAATGTATTCAACTCATTCCAGCTCGATATATTAGATAGATATATAACGGTGAAAGCTATTGTGACAAGTTATTGTTAAGACTATTTATCCAATTGTAAACAAATCGAAATTTTATCCAAAAAATGTGAATGTCGTGCATAAAACATACACTTGTCAACTTTCACTTGGAAATAAGATAGATAAATAGCTTTGAGTCTGAAAAGTTTCTACGCACAACACTCTTTTTCGCCGATGCCTAAACTTCAAAATTGTAATATTCCCAATTCACAAAATGTTTCTCCGAAAATAGACTACTTTGAATCAAAATCTGTATTTCATAATGGATCGAACCTGAGGTTTAGATGCTGAGTTTGTACGATATTTTACTCTTATTGCTTTGGTTACATAGACAAAGTTGTGTGGGCTTTCGTCAGGAGCTATCTTGGTCTTCTTCAAATAATTATGCTTGCATTTCAGTTTTCTTTTGGTGACGTGAATATGAGCAATTTCATTATTCGTATCAGTCTTCTTTGCTTCAGGTCGTTCAGTTGCTATATGGGTTACATTCAAAATAGGAGAGGAGTTTTGCGTATTATTCTTTTCATAGAAACTAATTGAAAGATTTCAACTCCTTTTTGCTCAGTTCTGGTATTACTCACCTCATTTGCTTATTGCAATATTCTCCTTGTACACTTTTTTGAATGCAAGTTTTAAGATTGTCTGTAGACAAAGTATAGGATGTCAACTGAAAAAGATCCTTCTCTACAGCAGTTGCCACAAACACGAGTTGCTCAAACATCTGATATCGTTTTTGAAAAGGACTCTTTTTTGAAACCCTATCATGAATATTACAATCGCTTTGTATCACATGTTCGGAAGAACCCATAAAGGAGTGGCAACGCAAATAGGAGAAACGGTGAGTTAATTTCGAAATTGCTAAAGCCGGGCTTTTGGCTGGATCGGAAATTTTCATCAACACGCAAGTCGATGAGAGCGCAGAGTTCCATTTTCACTGTCTTTTCGCGGGTTTCACAGGCGCGGGTTTTTGTGACGCGTTGATGATATTCTTATAGATATAGATTCGTGTCAATCCTAAAGCCTAGAGACTTTTTGCTATAGAGTTGCTATCCAATTTAATTTGCATTAAGGTTGATAGAGAAAATGCATAGTTCGATATTACCGTGGTATTCCTTTAGTCTCTTTGACGAACAACAATACAAGAAAAACTTGAGAAGAAGAACCACTCTACGTTACAGGCCCATTTCTGCTTGTTGCATCTCACCTAGTAATAAACTGGTGATCTCTGCTTCTGCATCTGGTGTGTTGGAAACTTATGACCTGGCTCACCACTGCTCAAGATCTACTCACACCAATATTCACTCAACTGCTTGTTTCCATGTTCAAGAGGGTTGTATCTATGTGCGACTTGCTTCCTTCCTTGTTGTTTTATTTCGTTGTTGACCTATTTCTAGTCTCTCGTTCCCGACGAAAATCACAACTTGTTATGGCTTGGAGGCGATAGAGACTTGCGTTGTTTCCATTGGGATGACTTGGATACACGGTTGTCTCTAAGTGAAAACAAATTGGACGCTGTTCAAAGGATAGATATGGGATACGGGGAAACCAACGGTATCGCAATACATTCTTCACAAAACTTGATCATTGCTGCTGGTGGAGACTCAAAAGCATATGTATACGATTATGTACGATCGAAAGTAGTTACTACTTTGAAAGGACACGAAGATTATCTACATGATGTCATATTGGATAAAAAATCGAGTTCACTTGTCGCCACCGTAAGTATTCCCATATCGTTCTGCAAGCTGAACGGTATTTCTTTTTCTCTTAGTGTTCAGAGGATTGTACCTTACGATTGTGGGACCTGAGAAGTGGACAGTGCATTCGCACGATTGATAGAAAGAGTAGGACCCTTTGATATTGTCGAGAAAGCTGTTGTTGACAAAACAATATGTAGGAAAGCACCGTCCAAGCAGTTCCAAACGTTTTATTACCACTGCAATGTTCGATAGTGATAGTAATTTTTTGTTGATTGGAGATGGAGCAAAGAATCTATCAATATGTTATGTGGCTACCGGAGAAATTGTTCGATCCACTTCATTCATGGTTCGTTTTGAGACTGTATTTCGTCTGATTGCTTGATATTGATGCTTTTGTCATGAAGGGTATTCCAAGTAGATTGAGGACATACGAAGAAAATGTTCTCATATCTTGCTTTGATGACAACGTGATAAGACTATGTACATGGGGAATGAACACGGTTGCAGAAGCAAGAGGATATAATAAGTCTGTATTTGATGTTTCAGTTAGCAGTGATGAATCGTTATTTGTTTCATGCGTCCGTCATTTCATATTTTCGGCCATCATCACGCTGATATTCATTTTCCTAGGGAACCTCGGAGCTCCTCGACGTCTACATTAGATCGTTCGTACCTTCTATGAGACTTCGCTCGCAATCTCAGTATCTTTGTAATTGACGTCTAGTTTTCTCACTTGTAAAATAGTGGTATAGTCTATTCAGAGAAGTACTTGCTTAAATTATATAAAATTGCTAATTTTTCCTACAATCTGAAAGTGCCAAATATTTGTGTTTCTGTCATAATTAAATTGTCTTTAAATTGGCCGCATGGTTGTATTTTTTCAGATTTTCAAGCTCAAGACAATACAATTGTGAAATACAATTTTTTTAGCCCCACTGCGAAAAATTTAATTTTTTAAAAATTAATTTTGCTTCCTTCTAAGCATTTGTATTATGGCTTTGAAATTTAGGTTATAAATTAATAATCACTCAGTCAACTTGTCCTTTCCAAGAAAAAAATTCGCAAATTATTTTACTTTCGAATACATCCTACAGTCTACTTTGCAAAACGTTTGTAAAAGAATTTGCCTGTATAGTCATGTTTCAAGGCTTAGTTTTGTGCAGTTTATCTTTTTATCTAGTTTACAGGCTGTTTCTTTTTCTCTATTTGTTCTTTTTAGTCGACATTTATTTCACTTTGTTTTATTTTTGCTCAGTATGTACGCATCTTTTTCAGCGGAAAATTTTAAATGTTTGTATTTGAGTTCTAATCGAGTTTGCTCTCCAAGAAGATACACTTACAGGATACTAAGCAATTTTTCACGTAGTTTTGGATTACTTGCAATTTTTTACGTCGACAATGCAAAAATACGATATTATCACAATGAGAAAGTCTAGTGTTTTTCTTGTTCCATTATTATGTCTTGTTTTTTTGGTAAACCTTTTTTTATTATATGCATCGTCAAGAAAACGTAGTTGGAGGAAACGGAGAAATTGCAGCATTTTTTATTAAAACGTTGTTTTAGAATAACTTGCATACTGCCATTGGCGTAGTTTCTTTACTTGCGATTTTCCTTTATAGGTTTCCCCTGTCAAAGTTTCTGCTACCTTTGATCTATTTTTTTCCTTGATATATTAATTTGAAGTATATGCCTTTTTTTTTATGAGATGTCGCCATATCTAATGTTTTATCGGAAACTGCTTTTTCGAAACATCATTCTCTTGAAATTAGGTCGCTCGCTTTCAATGGTAAACAAGAGACGAGCCGCATCATCGTTTGTGTAGAATTTCCTCTCGACGTGAAGAAAATCAAATATTTGGTATGTGCAAAACTTTTGGTTGGTGTGCGATTCGTTTCGGAAACTTGGAGTCAATAACATGTATGCTTCGAAGTTAATCATTTCTATTGAGCAGCATCCTTGTTAAAAGGGGCGAGTAGCACATGAGCAACGTTCAGTTATAGAATACATACAAATATATATTTGTCATCTTTTTCAACATTATTTTTGGAGTTTCCTATAGATTCGTTGTTCAACTTCAGAAAACAACAAGAATTTTTGTTTTAGAACAACAATCTATCTTGTTGAATGGTTTATTACTTGGTTTTCGTTTGAGTAGGATAGTACGTCACATTTTTTCAATCTATTGGCGTCTTCTCTATACAGAGAACCAAAACATAAAAAAACAGGATGACATTCAACAAAGAAAAAAGGAGCCGAGCGGATTTGAACCACTGGCCTGACGATCTGCAGTCGTCCGCTCTACCGCTGAGCTACGGCTCCCCTTTCTAATCCAAAGTAAAATTGATTTTATATATCCAACAGTATTTTTTTAGTCACTTTCGTAACTAGCCCAGGCACGAAAGCTTTCCATAAGACTTACTTTCAAAATACCTTGAAATCCCAACATCTTTGCTTTCGAAAGTACTTTATCATGTATCACCCTTGCTAAATACTCGGTAGTAGTATTTTGTCCCTGTGAAAGCGAGTTGTCACTGTTCCCAAAAAATAGGAATGAACGCATACTTGAAACTCTTCTAGTTGGTCAAGATTTCTATAATTATACAATGACAATACATCCTATTATTCGAAGTTACCATAACCTCATAAAAAAGTCGTCATTCACCTTGAGAATTTGTGTTGCTTCACCGATATCTATCACCCTGTTCATTTCTCTTGTTCAGTTACACTTCGAAAACAACCAGAGACGTACCAATTCAACTGAGGTTGCAGGTTTGTGGACCGAAATTCACAGTCTACTGTATACGTTGCACCGTGGAGCTAGAGTCGAAAGGTGTTACTGCCCATATATTTTCGCAAGTCGACTACTTACACCTTGAGCTGGTCCAAAAGCTTCACCTTGGAAAGAATGTGCAATCATGAACGAGTCACGTACTCCTAGTGTATACATGATAACGGGATCTGCTACAATCTATCTTGCTCTCCTCCAATGGAAAATAGATAAACCACTTTTTCCATTTTGATCTTATTCGACTTGTTCTATTTCTTGTTTCGATGAACCAAGAAAAACGTCCTTTCTTTGATGTTCAACGTTGTTTGAAAGAACTGAAAACAACACCCAAAAAAGTACCTGTTTCTTCACCTGTTGAAGTTGCCTGTTTCTCCAGGTTATCTGCAAGTCATTACGTTCCTTGTAGTAGACAAGCGTTAAAGACCTTGAAGATTCCACAAGTTCCGAGTTGCTTGAATCAGGGTTACGAGAGCTTTATCCCAAAAGACCAAAGCTCTTCCATTAGTTTATCTCCTGTACGAGAGAGCCTAGAGAAAGCTTTCGTGAACGTTGATGATTCCATCCAGTTTCTCACGTTTCGTAACAATTTGAATAAAATAGCTTTAACGCCATACAACACTGAGGAGAGTTGGAAGATGACGAGTCATTTGGAGAACAATTTGATAGTGTTGAATATATGTCCATCGGAGGAACTTGAGCCGGTGACAGATAGAGACAAATATTTTGCCTATTGTGGTTACAAGTTTGAACACCTTTGTTGTGAGAGCGATGACGTTGTTGTGGATGCCAATCAAGAGTTTTGTAGTATTGTAAAAACTTCTATTGGAAAGCATACTTTGTTGATATCAGCACAAGTAGATTGTTGGGATGCTTATCATTTATGGAGCAAAGATAATCGAGCAGAATATCCGATTTGTCATTATGTTGAATTGAAAACCATGAAGAAATGGAAAAAGGAGCAAGTGATTCCTGATTTCTATCAAAGAAAGTATCTTCGATATTGGGTTCAGTGTTTTCTTGCAGGAATTCCACATCTTTTTATAGGTTATCGAGATGACCGAAGAAAGATGTTGATGGAAACGGAATATATTCCAGTTGATCGCCTTCCTGAGATATGTCGCGAATCGTGGGAACCTCATATTTGCTTAGGGTTTATGGATTCTTTTTTATACTTTGTATTCAGTATGCATCGAGCCTTTCCAAGTATCGTGATTTTATGGGAATATCAACCATCTGCACAAAAGATATGGATAAACTATTGAGAGACATTTTAACAAAGGAGAGAAGAGACAAAACATCATCCTTTTATATGTATTCCAATGGTAGGATTCCCCATTCTCTATTGGAAAGAAGAAGCGGAAAGAGAATAAATCTGAAATAGAGACACAAGGCTATATAGTGTTACGATAATCAAATATTTTATCCCGTAGCTTTCGAATGGTGGATAATTTTCTTTCCAAATATCTTTCCAATCTTTCCAAGTATTCCTCAAAAGGAGCATCTGGACGTTCAGCAGCTTTCAACAGGGACATTTCATGTTTCACCAATTCCATAATTTCATCGATATGTTGTCGATGTGCTGAAAGAATGGCTTCTTCTCCTTGTAAGTTGCTGTTATCTTCATCCATCATAAAGCTATTAGAGAGTCCCTTTTCTAAATGTTTCTTACTTGGTGTAGTACTTGGGCGTACTTGATTCTTTGTGGATAAGCTACTTCCTAAAGTACTTGTGGTGGGTGTGGTTCCAGGTTTCATGCGAGAAGATAAGAAACCAAACTTTGCACTTCCAATAGGAGTTTCCTTTTCTATTGTCTTGTCATTAGTTCTGGTGGGTCTGGTTGATCTCGAAGAAGTTGTTGTTTTTTCTTTCTCATTCGATTTAGAGTCGGTACTAAAGATAGAACTGAGTTTGGTCTCCTTGGCTGTTTTGGAAGAACTGTCAGTAACAACTCTTTTAGACTCTCTCAAACTTCGAACACTATCCATGGTGGTATAAGAAGATGCCAAAGAAGATGCTAATTTGCTACTGCGACTGGTATAACTAGTAGAAGGTGCAGGAGGTGGAATTCGACTTCTCGTTGAACGAAACGAAGTCTTGGCTTCTTCTTCTTCTTCTTCTTCTTGTTGTTGTTGTTGTTGTTGTTGTCGTTCAGATTTATCTTGTTCATCTCTTTCCATTTCTTCTTGAAATATATCAAAATCTGTGGACTCTTGAGTCTCATTCGAACCCGAACGAGTTACTTTTTTCCCTTTATCTTCTGGAATGGGATCCATTACTTCAGTCGTTCTAGTATCCATGGAAGCAAATGAAGCAGTTGAACTAGCACGACGATGAGAAGGGGAATCTTTTCGAAGTTCTTTGACACGATCAGCATATCGAAGTGTATTCAAAGTATGTTCACAATTGGATGCTGCTGGAGAGACATTGGCTATCATCACAGTGCGAGAATCGGCACTGATAAAAGAATCTTTCAGTACCAACGTCAATTTGCTTCCTCGAAAGGGAGTATGGTATTGATTTTGTCCAAGTGCTCGGATGCATTCTTTAAGAGCCAACAAACTCTTGTTGATTTCAGCTCCTTCCATACGAGTTTGTCTATCACTGTGAGTAGTATCTGCAGCTCGTTCACTTCCAGCAAGATCAATGAATGATAACTTTCCATAGACAGAAGATGGGTCGGATTCACTTGGGTTTTCAGTTTGAGCATCCATATATTTGAGTTGAATTTCTAAAATAGCATGAGAACGAGAAGAATCTGCATTGGCTCCAGTACTTCCAGTACTACGGCATTTACCGCCTTCTTCTATTGTCTTTGCTACTTGGTTGGGATCCTCACAAAGTCTTTCTTCTAATCCGATTATCCGTACTCTTTGTTTGGCATCTTCACGGCATTCCACTCGTTTCTTTCCGTTTAAGAGGTCAAACAGTTTAGAACCATATATTTCAAAGAAACTGATATACACTCCGAGATGTGCATATTCTTTCTTTTGTTTCATTTGAAATATATCCTGCAAAGCCAAAGTATACAAACCCGGTTCTTCTGGAGTTCCCATCATGGTATGAGTTTTACCAGCTCCTGTTTGTCCATATGCAAAACAAGTGACCTTACTTCCTTCAAAGAATGCCTGAACCAATGGTTTTGCACAACTATTATAGACATCTTGATTCTTTGCATTTTCATCAAAGGCTACATCAAACGTGAATGGATGAACTTCGGTGTATTTTGTCAAATCTACTTTCAGTTTAGGCTCAAACACATGAACGGTGTTATCCACAGCTTTGATAGCATCGGGGTCACTTTTTAGCTTTTCTTTTTTGCTTAGAGGACGTTTTCTAACACAAACCACTATTTTGGAAGCATCATAAGGTTTGATGGAAGACTCTTTTGTGATTTTTCGTTGCATGTTTTTCAACAGTGCATTGGAAGTAGGCAAACTTGCACTATAGCGGAGGTCATTGAGGTCTTCTTCTTGTTGCTGATGTTGTTGGAAAACTTGTTTTCGTTGGTCTTTGTAATGGAATCCATCGGTTGGTATGGAACCTACTTTCAAGTCATCAGGTCGAGTAGGGATGGGTTTATCTTGTGTCTTTTTTTTGGAGTCGGAATGTTTTGCCATAGTAGATAAACTGGTTTTCCTGGTATGAGATGAAGGTAATGAACCAAATGGTGGTAGTTCCATATCTTCTGTTCCTACACTGGAGCCGTACCTGTCCAGTTTAGAAGTTCTGGAGTCGGTTGCAGTGGAAGATATGGAAGAAGTTGATGTTCTCTTTTGATGCAATGTTCGAAGCATAAGTAAAGATGTCCAAGACAACAGTTGAATAAACCAACAAGACACAAACGAGAACAAAGAAAAGACAATGAATTAGGTTTCAATACGTGGCCTTTGCAGTGTCCAAATGAAATCAATGGTTAGCCACAGCATCATTCTTCTTCTCATAAAAGAAAGAGAACGTCTGGAGAAGAATTCTGTAGTGTCTAATGAGGGAGAAAGCATTGGACACGTCATCCTTATCATTGCTTATTATTATTCTTCTTCTTTTTCCTCCTCTTTTTGAGAAGAAGAATATTTCTGTACAGACATAGAAATATCTTTTGTGTCAGATAGGGATGAGTAGTAATGAATAAGGAAATGAACTAACAACTGTACCGTTGGGAATCCAGAAGATAGATTCTTAGATATTACAATAGCTTTCAAAAATAGCTTTCTAGAAACATCGTCAAGTTATTATTGCATACGAACAAAGTAAATAGATTTGTCAACGAAAGAAGAAATAGGCCATTGGAGTTGGGGTTGCTCTAGTTGGTTTGTGATACTGTTCGAATGGGATTTGCTGCGTTTCAAAGGTCCTATGAAAAATATACGGGAGGCGATCCTTGTGAGTATGCATCTTTATGGTATGTGTAAACGAAACTCACCAGATGATAAATAGCCAGGATGCAAGTATCAGTAGAGAAACTAGACGAAGAACGTAAGTAGGAACACAAGATCTCAACAGAGACTTACCCAAAAGAATAGAGGTTCCACTTCATAAAAGAGACTATTGTGCGCATCTGTATATTCCTTTGCGCCGTTGTTTGAGAGAACACTATTTGTTGCCTTGGTCTTGTGAAGAGGAAAAGGAGGCCTATGTTCGTTGTCAACGAAAAGAGTAAGTGGGGAACAAGTATAGAAACGCAAAGCTGACGTTTGATTTGTAAGGCGAAGAAGGAGAGAGAGGCTATATGAGAAAATGAAAGAAGAGGGTGCAAAAAGATTGGCTACTGAAAACGAAGGAGAAGAATAGTCTTTGAATAACTCAAATAGTAAAGAACTTGATTTGATTTTCGAGTATCTTAAAAAGGACCGTAGATATGGCTTGATCACGTTCTTCGATGGATAAACGACCGTCTTGTTCGGAAGGAACACCCAACGGCAAAGCATCCAACTGTAAGATAAGACTATCATAAAACTTTGCTTCCTTGAGAAGCTCGTCACCATAACCCATATCAAAATGGATAAGTTGGCATACACAATATAGTGTTGGACTTAACTTTCGTCCCATAACCCGAAGATAGTGAAACAATAAACTGAAACTGTTTGACTGATTACTGAGATAGAGAATAGAAGTAGCACTATCTACAAGAATAGCTAAAGACAGTGGTTCCGAATCGAGTCTTTCAGTGAGCCACTGATCCATCGAACTACAAACTTGTCTAGTCAAATCGTATGGATTCTTAACGTTCACTTTGACGTGTTGAAAAAAACAGTCAGGGTAATCCTGTTGGGTTGTTTCCAGAGAGTCCATACCATCAAGGAACAGTATGCGCCCCTTAAAAAAGCTGGAGTCTAGACGTACTCCCTGTGCAAGGTCAGTTTATCTTTAAAAAGCTCAGTTGTCACTCACCAACTTTCTTAAACTCAAATATAATGAATACCAAGGTGTTTCAGTAGACAAATACAACAAACAAAAATTATTCTGCAAGTAGACTGAAGCCAGTTGATACATAAACGGTGCTCCTTCACAAAATGCATTGTCTTTCACAACAATATATTGTGAAAGTGGCTTATCCTTGGCTGACCAACCCAAAAGGCGCCACCAGGCAACTTGCATGTGAAAATGAATAATGGAAAGAACCAAATGTGGGTCACTTTTCATAAGGTCGCTTCGAAAAGTTCTCCTACAAAAGGAAATTTTGTACTTTGAGCTTGTTCGTCACAATACTCCAAATAAACTTGAATAATTTGTTGCATAAATGGTTCCAATACTTCTGTACCCAAATCCGAAAGAAACTGAGAGGCATCCTCGGCTACAAGCTGAACGAGTTCAACACAAGAACTCAACTTTCCCATCTGCTTGTAAACATCAACCAATTGCATGAGCATCAATGGAACATATTGTCGTCTTATCTTTTCCAGTTCTAATTGACGTTCCACATGATCAAAAATATTAAGACACACTGAAACTGGAGGTTCATATGGAAGAGAATCCACCAGCCAGCCTCCTTCCATAGTTAAAGTGGAAATAACCTCCTTCGATAAGATTTCTCCCAATGAATTGCAATGAGTTAGATACTGCTTCCATTCCGTTTCGTAATTTTCCAGCACATGCCTTGCCCAAAGTTGTTCTTCAGTGGAAACATTATCATCAGTTGGATTCAAAATATGGCTGATATTCGATGGAAGAGATGCTGGGCGCTGTGACATGGCGTATTTTCTCCACTCCAAAATGGCATCCCATGCCTTGAAAAACTGTTGCCAACAACGGAATTCATGACTCAAAGACCATAAGGACCGCTCCTTCTCAATTTCCAGTAAAACATCTTCTGAAATCTCATCAAGAGTATTTTGAGCTGATAAAACTTTACCGGATAATATGAACTTTCTCACAAATAAATTGACGCAAGCAACTGCTAGATGGTAATTTTGATAGGCTGGGAAAATTAAAAAGTCGACACTTCGGATAAGAAACAGATCACTGTCCAAAATTCTGACATCATCAGATTCTTCATTCGATAGATAATGGTTCCACACGTGAGCAACTGCAGTTTCTACTATTTTGTTTAACATAGAACGAGGAAAACTAGCTAAGTACTGTCCAATCTTCCCCAAGCACGAAGTTCGGCGTTCATCTGAATGAAGTTGAGAAAGTTGTCGACTCTTTAGTTCCAAACGAACTTGTTCCGTCATTGTATCTGCTTTCAAAGCACTGACCATATATTCTACACAACAGGTCACCAAATTGGACTCATCCATTAGATAAGAAAAGTAAACCATCATAATTTCATCATAAGGTGTCTTTGACCTCGTCAGTCCTTGTTCTGCTGCCTGCATTTCATCTGACACGTACAAAAATAGAAGATGTTTACAATACGCAAGTAAAATTTGTTCTGAATATCGCTGAAATAGCTCATCCTCTTCATTCCCACGACTTATTCTTAGTAGAATGACCACATGGGCACTAAACCGCAAAAACCAGGACCAATCTTCATGCGCACTCTGACAAGATAAAAGAAACTGCAAAAGCATTTGAGCTAAATGAGAACTCAAATCAATACCTAAAGCTAAAAAACTTTGAACCCGACGCATGACATTCAATTCTAAACCGTCTTTATCTATCCCTTCACATTGTTCAAAGACCGAAAAAATGTGTTCTTCACTACGCAAAGATGGAGATTCTGAAAAGAGAAATTCTTCCCAAAACTTTAAAACTTCACAGAAAAAATAAATCCACACTTGATCTTCCCAAGTCTGACACACTGAAAGAGCTCTAGAAGGCATCCCGCAAAGAGCACTAAAAACGCTCCTTTCATATATATTCGTTGACGGGTTCGAAGCAATTTCCTTTGCGGCTAGTTTCCACAAATTCCAAGTTTGTCCAATCTCTCCGTTACTAGCAGCATTCCAAGCACCAAAGAAACCTAACAAACAAATGCCTCTCCATACTTGCTCCACCTTTTCTGTGACGAGAATTGCTTTATCCAACAAGCCGACACGAAACAAAATATACACTTGATGACAAATGTGGTCATCCGCATGTCGATCAGTTTGATGAAGCTCGTGTTTTCTAAATGGATAATCCGGGTCCAGTTTTGTCTTACCTTCCAAACTTGAGGTATGTGACCAACAATATGCAGGGTCATTTAGCGGTGCCAGCTTTTGTTCAACCTTGCGGACACAGTTCTCGGGTGTCTCATCAGGCTTTTCTCCAAAAATACGTTCCATAGCCACTTTTTCACACCATTCCAAAATACATCTACATTTGATCAATGTCGTAGTTTGTTTGTCATACCAATGCGCGGGCGGTTTCAAAGAAGCAGTCACTGAATCCACAGGGCTGGAAACTGTCACTATGTTCAACAAGTACCAAGTATCTCTCTCACTTTGGAGAACTTTCAATAATCTTTCAAGTGGCTCTCTGTAAACCGGGTGCAGGGAACGGTCCTGTAACAGCTGCGAAATAATTTCACGTTTGGAGTTAAGTTGAGACTGAATTTCACTCAAGACGAAGTCTACTTGGTTTTCACTTGAAAGGTCTACTGAAGAACATTTTTTTGCCAATTCCAACCCGCTTAAAGCAGAAAAAAAACCAAATCGGAGTTCCGTCTCGCAGCTAGAGAGAAAATTCGCTGGATCTTTTATCCCTTGCGAGTTGACTGATTCCGTGTAACTTGAGTGTGGCGGAGTGGTGGCAAGTTCCAAGTTGATTTTTCTCCCGTTATTATCTATATCATACGGTGTGCTAAAAGTTTTTGGAAACGGAAGTGCGCGCCTGAACGAAGTTCGTGGCGTTTGCATATTCTGTTACGCGCCAAAAAAAACAACAACGAAGAAAAATGCGCTCGTCAAATCAATCAGCTTCCTGCAACATCATCATCATGACAAGTTGTTCATTTCGGTCATTCATACATAGAAACGATTCCTTCTTGAACAATTTTTCAAGATTGTTATTTTCAATGACCTACAGGGTTTGGTTCTTTGTTTTATTATTTTTTATCATCAAAGTTGAAGCGGAAAAAATATCTACATGGCTTGTTTCTTCTCAAACGAGGCAGCAGTCAACAAATGAATATGTAATGCTGACACTATGTCAAGATTCACTGTGTGAAGAGAAGATAGACTTGGAATGGGAAAGTCTCTTCGACTGGCAGGTTTGTACCTTCATGCCCCAGATGGAATCTTATTTCTGGTTCGAAAAAAATTCCTATGGCACATTTTACAGAATATGTAAAGACTGGATGTGCCTCAACTGTAGTCTCTGTGGTATGTTCCAAATTTCTTCTGATACATGCATACCCATGCCATTTTTCAATGCCTATGGAAGACTAGAGCAAGTTATATGGCCTTCAGATCCTCCTACAGCCATTTCAACATTGATTCCATCAACATCGTCACAACCAGATCCTACAGCGACAGCAACCATAACAACGATTCCTTCTTCTTCTGTTGCTTCTTCTTCTCCTTCTCCAATTGCAACACCCAGCGCAACCATTCCATCAACCGACATTCCATTGAGTAGTCATAGTGGTGGCGACCAAAAGATTGGAAATCATAATGCAACTCATACTTCGAGTAAAGCCACACCAACTCCAAAACTTATTCCAACACCAACCACAACATCATCACCTCAACAAAGTCAACCTGTGTCTGCTAAGATTCATAGCTCTTCAGGAGGGTTGAGTGGTGGTTCGATTGCAGGAATAGTGATAGGCTCTGTTGCAGGGGGATTGACAGCAATGGGTATGACTGCTTTCTTCGTTAGAAGAAGAAGAGCATTAAGAAATGTAAGAGCTTTACAGGAGAATTCTAACCCAAACCTTTCCGTGGAGAGGCAATAAGACTATTTCCATGAAAATTACTTGTTTCTCTGGTATGTCAAGTATATCCTGCAAGGAACAGGATAAAAGTGTTTCATGATTTTCATTCCAATAGATTTACACTACGAATATTTTACTCCGTCGTTACATCACTTGCTTGGAACCATTCACTTGTTGATGCTTCCTCTCCAAGACTGTCGAAACTCGAACGTAGATTAAATGTCAGATGAGGTTGCCTTTGTGCAAAGGCAACACTATCTACACGCTCCCATGCACTTCCCAGACTATGACGGATACCATATGCAACATAAAAAGTGAAACCAATCACTAACCACACGGCAAGCATGGAAAGAGCAGCAGTGTGTAATCTGAAGAACAAAAACAAATTGAAAAATATGCCACAAGCTTGAACAAAAGGAACTCCAGGACTCCTGAATGAGGGTGGATTGGACTCGTCTGTAAAGGGCATTCTCATCAAAAGGAAAAAAGGAAAACTTACAATAGAAAGCGTTATAATGACTCCAACAATCCTATATGGCATAACACGTGATAACCACGAGGCAACGGCACATGAGGATACAAAGAGAATCAGCAGTATTTTGGAATCTCCCTCATGTCCTGATATTTGCAAACGTAGATATAAAACTGCAACATTTGTCGAAAGTAGAGCAAGAATAGTTCCTCCGGAAACCAGGTCTGTCAGCGTTTGCAAAGGAACCAACAATGCCAATATAGCCACTCCAAAACCACATAGTAAAGAAGATGCTCTTGGTGCTGAACCTGGTCCTGATACTTCTCCAAACAACTCGGGGAGCAATCCATCTCTAGCCATAGCAAAAAATATTCTTGGCTGTGCTGCTAAAGCCACCATTGCAGTGTTCTGCATACCCAATGCAGTTGCTATGGCTGCAAGACGACCAAAGACAGCCAAGCCACGTTCCTTGAATGCTGCGATAAACGGAGCTTGTGTATCTAGAGTTGTATATGAAACTATTCCAGTAAGAACAAGAGCGGCAGCAGCATATATGGTGAATACAATAAGTAAACAAGTCAAAATTGCTTTTGGAACAGTTTGTGAAGGATTGTGGGCTTCTTCTGCCACAGCGGCAACTTGATCAAAACCAACAAAAGCAAAAAACACAGTAGAAGCTCCAGCAACAACACCTGAAAACCCATATGGCGCAAAAGGAATCCAATTAGTAGGGTTGATTAAAAACAGTCCCCTTACAAGTATGGCAGAGAGGACCAAAGCATACAAGATGGCTGCCGAGTCGATAATCCACTTTGCTTCTCTCATACCGGAGCAAAGAATAAGAGTCAAAGCTATTACCAAAATGAAGCCAAGTATACTGAGACCTGAGCTGTTGTGGAGAAACTTTGGAAGTTGAGCAGCTTCGCTAACGTGTGCAGCCCAACTTCTAGCCACAGCAGCTGCTGATATTCCGTATTCCAAAGTTAGACACCAACCAACAAGAAAAGCGAAAAGTTCTCCAATGGTAGAATATGCGAAAGCGTATGCACTGCCACAACTGGGTAATCTTGAAGCCATCTCGGCATAAGAAAAAGCAGAAAGGGCACAAACAAAAGCAGCAAGAGCAAAAGAAAGTACGATGCTTGGACCAGCGTCTCTCGCTGCTGCAATACCCGTCAGAAGAAACACACCAGCTCCAACAGTACCACCCACACCTAATAAGACGAGATCAACAAAACCTAGGAAACGACCCGTCTGAGACCGCTGCAGATTGGAAGTAGCAGCAGAGACTTGAAGGTTCTTTTTCCTAGCACCACTCTTTAACACTTCTTTTGCTAAAGTTGTACCCAGTTTTGTGCTAGAAGAAGAAGCATTTTCCATTTGAACAGTAAGATTCCTGTTTCCCAAAAGATCAAAAGATAAAATTTCATTTGCTCAATATGATTTCCAAGGTGGCTTGAGAGAATGTGGCTCATAACCTTTTCAGTATTATGAAATGATAGTTATATCAAAGTTATTAGGGCTGTATTGACTTGACATCTTCCTTCATACCATGAAAGACCTCAATGTTTCCCTATAAGGCCATTTAACATTCCGATCTTGAATGACTGCAAGAACAAACACATATGCATATAAAATCATAAAACAAGCCACCTTGACTCTCATGCATACAAAAATAAGTAGAAATCAGCTTTTACTCAAGAAGTGCAATTTTGATACCCATAATTATAACTGTTCAATCGTTCTATGTAATAGGATCTTACAAGTAACTAAAAAACCCATGAATGAATGGCTAAGGTTCAAATTCATATCTTATTCATTGGATATTGAAAACACAATGTCACTGACTCAAAACCTTTTACAGATGTCTTGAAAAATGACTGACTTGAAGAATAAAAATATTACATGTATTTTATAAAAAAGAAGTTACTATGCCTACTTGAAAAGAATCTCCAATAAAACATATAAACCGAACTAACTTGTTTCGCATCAAAATAACATTGCTTCTCATAGCTCTTATGAGCAATGAAAACAATTCGATATCTCCATGTAAAGTCTTTTCACCAAATTTGAGAACAGTTTGATTATTTAGAAAAAATTATCCTCAACACTTACAATGTTATTGTATGCCGACTGTTATGAATAAACTCACATTCACTCCAACTTGATATTACCACACACTTATAACTCTAAACAAAGAAATTCTCTCTGGTTATAGTCACTAAAACAGATAGAGGTTCCAAAACATACGGCTTCTATTTCTGTTCTTCTGAACAAGCAGAATCACTCAAAGCCGTTCCAGTGGAAATTATATCATACGAGATCATAGAATACCACCTCCTTTTACACAAAACAGCTAAAAAAATCAATTGAAAACTCAAAATAACCATCAACGATAAAAAAACATTGATGGAGTTAGTTTCCTTGAGAAATATCAACTGAACTGCCACACTCCACAAACCAAACAAAAACACTTGTCTGTATTGATAGTCAGACATAGCAGTCCAGCTACAAAAGCCAATAATGATTCTTGTACCTGACAAGAGAACTGAATATATACACAAAATCGTAGCAAGCGAATCAGAACTCAAAGACTCAAAAGAACCCGAGTCCTCAGTCCACAAGTGAATCAGCTTAGTTCCGGCACCAGCAAAGAAGCCACTCACGGCAAAAGAAGTCCCGACTATAAATCCCTCCAACTGCAAACAACTTGCTCTATGACGAGAGTTCTTATACTCACATAACGCGGAGTTCATCTGGTTGTGCGTTTTATACACAACGTATCTCGCCAGTTCCTCAAAGCATGCACTCACAAGAACCCAAAAAGTGTACAAAGTCAAGGAAGGCCAAAATATTATCCAAGCAAGTGCTACCAAACTGCGTGCCACTAGCCACGTAAACGAAGAAAGGAAAAACAAAGTGATGAGAGTAGGTTCTCGCCACATACACACTGCAAAACAAGAACTCTGAGGAATAACGGCAAGCGTAAACCAAAATAAAACAGACATTCCTTTAGTCTTAAAGCTATTCTTTCTCGTTGATTTGAGAAGGTAATGCTTCACCTTGCAAGTTCTTATTTTTTAAATTCCCAAGCCAAAATAGATGTGCTAAACCTTGCTTCTGAAGCATTTCCTTGACACGAAAAATGAGCATTTCAAGTTGCTTTTTGACAGGCGGTAATAAGAGCAACAGAGATTCCGTCTTTGTTTCTTTACAGAATAAACAAATCTGGTGAATAGATCTGGTACATTTTTGGAGTTCCTTGAACAGCTTGATGGCATGAGCTTTGTCGTGGATCAGTTCCTTTGTAAGCAACTGCAGGCCGCCATCGAGAATAATTGCAACAAGTTTCCTTCCCCATTTTAAACAGAAACCCAAATATTTCAAGGAAGCCTTTTCTTTCGCTTCTTGTAACATGTGTTGAAATGTTAAGAAGACGAGCGAAAAGATGCTCAGAGTTTGAATCCAATCATGCTGACTTGGTTGTACAATGTCACAAGCTTGGTACTTTTTAACTTCCATCTCGAGATGCTCCAAAGAAAGTCGAAGTAACATTTCTTTCAACTTTTGTCGATCAATGGAAGCCAAAACTTTGCCAAGTTCTGAAATAAGACGAAAACAAGTTGAATCGTCACCCTCAAACAATGCCTTGGAATGTGATAAAACTTGGAAAAACTCAGTTTTGGAGTTTTTTAACAAGATTTCGGCTATTCTCTCTTTATGCTCCATATTCAATTGGTTTACCCAATTCCTTTCTTCAAGTAATCGAATAATGCTTTCAATTTCAGGACAACTCTCTGAATCGTTTTGTGATGGATGCACTTTCCATATGATATTCAACAATTCAATTAATGCAGCCAAACAGTTGGACTCAGCATACTTCCAAATTTTTAGAAAGAGGGAAAATAACTGATGATAGAAATGTTCTATTCTCAATAATTCATTGTGCAATGCATCATTAGAGTCTTGTAGCATATTTGCCTCAACGAGGTAGTGAAGACAAACATCGTCATCTACCATAAGAAGCTGCAAAGCATTTTTGTTTCTGAGCTCATACGAACAAGTTTCGCAAGCTAAATGAAGTGTTGTCATCAAAAGAGAGTCTTTTTGAGGTTGCATAACGTTGTTATAAGTTAGTAATGTTAACAAAGTCACCAGACAAAAAGTGCCCGAATGGTATCGACAACATGGAGAAAATTTGTCATAGACTACTTGGTCGTCAAAGGATTCAATGTCACGACGATAGTCAATGAGAAAGCAATGAAAACAAGCAATCAAAGTATCCATGTTTTGACGAAGTTCAGCTTTAAACACTGCCTGACAAAATCTGTGCAATGTGTCGAAAGAGAAGTTGGGAAGAATTTGTCTATAGTCGATAAAGTCTATAAAACACATAAGCAAGGACAAAGTTCATGCTAATTTGAGGACTTACTTTGGATTGAGTAACTTTCCGCAAGTCGCTTCCAGACTGCTTTCATACTGACGTGATTATCATCATATAATGCTGACGAAAGAAAAGCTTCCAAGTTCACGAGAATCTGAACAATGTGACGAAACTCTTTAAAATGAAGACTTATTAGTTCCAAGTTGTTGGCCATTTCGGCTATGGATATTCGTGCAAAACCTGCCGCAAAGAGCCCATGTTTCAAAGTGTCTTCAGAAACAGTCTGTTGCATAGGGTCAAAGCACAAAATGGAAACCACATGAGCTAATGCATTTGTCTCAACTCTTTCATAGCTGGAACACCTTGCAATTAAACGATACAACTCGAAACCCATCCACAAATCTATGTCCGTATTCTTCAAAATGAGGGTGGTTATTGAACTGTCGTCCTGCTCCTCGCATGAGGAGGAAAGATCGTCCTGGCTTGCTTCGGCAATTTTTTGTCTCCTTTCAACAGAGAAATGTCGTTCAAAGACTTCGAGTGATGATGACAGTATTTTGTTGACAGTTTCAACGCTAAATAATCTACGAGACACAAAATATGAAAACTCTCGTAGTATCTGAGGTGTTATGGTATTGATAAAGAGTGGAGCTAGTCGAAAATTTGGTTTTGAATTGTTTTGATTTTCTGAAAAAAGTGAAGGAATGAGCTCCAGGTTTGCACAAGCTCCTATAATTCCTAAAATAAAGAATAAATGGCTATTCATAAAAAGAATTTGTTGCTTACCAACTTTACGTATTCGTTCATCAATGTGGCACAAGTCCTTTTGTAGAAGAATTGCTAAACTCGAAAGAGTACAAGTTTCCATATTGCGTAGATTTGTTCTCTGTAGTACTCTTACAGACACTTCAAACAGACAACGTAAATTTGTTTCATCAAAGACTTCAAGATACTCCCAAAGTATCTGCAATGAACGAAGAGATGTCTCGACAAGTTCAGGCCAGTTTCGAGAAATATAGAGTAAAGAAAACAATCCAATATCACTGGCGACACTGGGATGTCTTTCAACTAGTCTAACTAGAGAAGAAATAATACATTCAATCAATTGTGTAGGGCCATTATCGATACATTTTAATGCTCTTAAAATGGTGACGAACATCAAACTGATTTGTTCACCTTGTAAGGCCTCTTTCGCATCACAAGCTGCAAGTTCAAGTAAAGAACATAGATCATGAGAAAACTTTGGATACAATTTGATAATATTGTAAATAGAGGAAAAGAGAGGTTGATTACCTAGTTTCCAATTTTTTTTGAATACATAATGCAATACGAATCTCTTCTCTCCAGCACTATATAATAAAAACAGAAGAAAATAGTCCAGTTCCTCAAGTTTATCACCTTTCGTTCGATAATATTTCAAGATATTTTTCCTCGCTGTAGCGTTTGACTTTGCTCGCTTTGTAAAGTTTTTGATTATTGCATACATTTGACTTGAATCTTCAACAAAATCAATGCATGATCTCTGCAAACAACGCAAGACATGCGTCATCATGTCTGGCTCAGGAACCATGAGAATGAGATCTAACATTGCCTTTATACTAAGACCTGAACCAGTTTCGCATAGTTGTTTGACTATAGTTGAGACTTTTTCATGGCTCAGAGACATACATGAAAAAGCTTCCAGAGCTTGATTCAGCAAGTGAGGAGAATGAGGAATTATCTTGAGTAACAAACTGCTGGCCAATTCCTGTCCTTCCTCATCGAGTATATCAGGAAGACGAAACAACAATTTGTATTGCAGGCTATCAGAAGAAACAGATATAAGTTCAACAAGACTTCTTGCCAAAGTACTACTTTGCAATATGACTGGCTGGAAACACAGTTGTTCTAGAATTTTCTCTTGAATTGTGGCAGCGTGTGAGTTGGGTTGCTGGTAAGACTTCATCTTTGAACTTTGCCATTCGGATAATTTGAGTATGAGAATATTAAACAGGTTCTCCTGAATTGGTGGAAGAGTGGTGAGGACACGGATAAGGGAAGAATCAAACGAGATGAACTGTTGAGGGTTGCAATCCGTTTCCGGGGTCTGCAAGTCAATACGAATAAGAGGATCTAAGGACCTTTCAAAAATGGAAGTCTTATCCCAAGCTCTTGACAACTCAGAGACGAACTCGTCAAGCCTTTCTTGTTCATTTTTCAGGAAGGTCAACAGTTCTTGTCGGAATTCGGAAATATCGTAGACTCCATAAACCAATTTTCCAACTTCACTAGATATCCTGAATATTTTTAGGCCGCTGTTAGAGAAACAAGTGCTTAAAATGTGAGCACTGTAGTCGTCTTCAATAGGCAACTGCTCCAGGAAGTGGTACATTCAGCAGCAACTGCATTTTGGCGCCACTGATTACTTTGCATTTTTGAATCATTCTGACGCGCCATTCAGAAAAAAAATGATGGAAGGATAGTTTTACTCAGGATATCTTTATTCATGTCTCAGAAGGTTTTGAAGAGGACAACTTTTGACTTGAAATAAGATTTTAGTTTACTGTTATAAATCGGAAATTTATGATCTTTATTTTGGTCCCAAATATCATGCACAAATATTTGCTCTTTCATATGTTCTAGATAAATCGCTAATTTGTATTGGACCTGTTTAGAATATTTTCGTCAAAGACAAAGCAGTATAGAATGAATGTTACCAAAAGTACAGATGTTCTTTACAGCTTTGAGAAGACATCGAAACCTGACGACTCATGTTCGTCAGTGAATTCCTCTCCTATAGACAAATCGTTTATTCTTTTAGATGCGAAATGAGGTGGTTTTCAACGAGGCCCTAATTCTACTGCATTCTTCTTCCACTGCCATTTCTAGTGCTGCAGCCATTTAAAATGTTATTTAGAAACATCATCTGCGACTCCTTTGATGCTGGAGACCCCTTTTTATCATCCATTTGTTTCATTAATCTGCTACGAAAAGATGCGGCTCGCTTGTAGAGTGTTCGATATGATGGAGAGATTTTAAGTTCAAGGACTCTCTCAGTTTATCAACTATCTTGCAGAATGAGAAATTTCCTGACTCAAAACCTGCTTGTTGTTTGGTGACGTAGCACAACAAATCACAAAATAATTGGATAGATGGATGTCATTATGATTGAGAAATGTTGCCATCGTTGTTGAGCACCAGAGCTCGAGCATCTGAGGCGTCTTATTTCCGGAAAGGAGAGCAGTTGGGAACGCAGGAGTTGAGGAAAACAATCAGCAAGCAAGAATTGGATAAGTTGCGTGAAGAAAACAAACTTTTAGAGGAAAGAATAAGGAGTGGAGAGTTTGAAGGACTTCCTGAGATACTACAAAATGTCTGGGTACCATCTTTGAAACCCAATGATACTCCACAAACTGTTCAGAGACCCCTAAAAGTTCCTTTGAAGATTACCAACGAGATTCCACTAAAAAAGGAACACACATTACCTACTCACGATTTGACCAGTTCTGCTAGACTTGCAACAGACTCGTATTATGACCTTACTAGAGGGAGATATGAGTATCTCAAGAAGTGGAAAGATTCTGCAGCACTTGGGCAGAATGAAACAGTGCTTTCATTATCCCAAAAGCTCCGTGTTGAAGCTCTAGGAATAGGTTTCCGTGCGCTTTTCATATCAACGATATGTACTGCAGCCCTTGGCTGTACAATATTCCTTTACTTACGTCCAGAAGAGAGAAGAGACGACTTCGTGAGCGTACGCAACGCTTTTCTGAAAATTTGAAGAATTGGTTGAAGACACCTCTGTCGTTCATATCCACAACTGCGTCAGGTATGCTCAAGGGTGTGACGGAGGATAGTTCTATGAAAAGAGTTGTAGATTCTGTTTTAGACGTTGATCATGAGAATTCTAAATATAAAGGCAATAAATAATACTATATATATATATATATATATTGGAATTTACACAAGCCTTCTTTAGGAATCATTCTTAAATTATTAGTGTCTGTTTTGTGTGTGGCAGTCAAGTGATGCTGTTAGATGATGACCAGGTGCCTCTATTGAGAGCAACTTCCACAAAACGTGTGATTAGGAAATCTTTTGTACGAAACCAACAAACTTCCTTCGTTCTTCGTGGTCATTTCAGTAGTTTATGGATAACCTATTTCTCGTGGAATTTGTTATTATTGCCTACTGTACCACTGGGATTGGTACTCGGTTGGATGGGTTATAGTGAAACCTGGACATTTATTGTGAATTTTTTAGCGATAATTCCTTTGTCCACCTTACTAGGTAATTCTACAGAAGTTATTTCTTCCCACACAAACGACGTAATTGGCGGGTTATTGAACGCTACTTTTGGTAACGCAGTTGAAGTGATTTTGGGTGTCAGTGCACTACGATTCGGTCTTATAGACGTCGTCAAGTCGACACTATTAGGATCTGTTTTATCAAACTTATTATTTGTTCTAGGCTGGAGTTTCTTATTGGGAGGTCTCTTTCATACAATGCAACCCATCAATCCAGCCATCGCAGACTCTAACACTAGTGTTCTAGCGGTTGCTTTATTTGGATTTACTATCCCAGCAGTATTCTCAGCAACAGAAACGGAACTCTCTAAAACCAATGTGCAGATACTTTCCTTTCTAACCGCCATTTTCATGTTTCTCCTATATCTCTTGTTTCTAGTATTCGAATTGATTACTCATGCACATCTGTATGATAACCACAAGATGATTCGTTCCTCATCCAAGCGCATTTCGGAGGAAGATTGGAATGATTCTCAAACACAGGAACTAGTAGATGCCACTTCGACAGGTTCTTTATGGCTTGCCGTAGGAATTCAACTTGGCACCGTTATTTTGACGAGTTATTGTTCGGAATATTTGGTACATTCGATACAAGGTTTTTCCAAGAGAACAAAACTTTCAAGCAGCTTTGTTGCCTTTGTTTTACTTCCCATTGTTGGTAATGCTGCTGAACATCTAGCTGCCTGTGCATTTGCTATCAAAGGAAATATTGATTTGAGTATTTCCATTGCTTGTGGGAGCAGTGTTCAAGTGGCTCTCTTTGTTGCACCGTTACTGGTTATCAGTTCTTGGTTTATGCCTGGACCTTTGCTTACTCTAGATTTTCACCTTTTTGAAACAGTGATGCTTGGGATTGCTGTAGCTGTAACGAGTCTTGCGTTGAGGGATAATACTAGCAACTGGTTGGAAGGTGCGGAATTGCTCATTTCGTATGCCGTCATTTCTACCGCTTTTTTTCTGAAATAATTATTTTCTGTTGGATCATTTGTTGATCGAGCGACAAAGCACCGAAAAGGAAAACCGCGCGTGCACAAGAGAAGCCAATAATGACTGTTGGGGAAATAGGGACATTGGGCGGGCTGCCACTTTCCTAGGAAAATCGAAACGGAATTCACTTTTCAGCATTTTTTCCTGTTTGGGTAAACGGGACGCGAGTAGAGCGTTGTTTTTCCGTCTGGCCTCGGACCCCACAAATAAGCATTAAAGCACATTCTTATTGGATATTGCCCCTATGGATAAAGTAGAAGAACTCAAGTCACTTCTTAATACGGTGGAAGAAGACTGTGACAAATTTTTTGAAAAAGGTTTGTAGACTTTTTTAGAATATTGTTTGTCGCTAAGATACAATGTTAGGAAACAAAGCAGCTGGGGTGAGAGCGAGAAAGACACTTCAAGAAATCAAAAAACTTGCCCAAGAACTACGTGTAGACATACAGGCGTCGAAACAAACCGAAAAGTGATACGTTCAACGCAACTGTCGAAGATGAAAGTTTTTACTTTCGTGTGAATGACCTGTTTTTTTAAAATAAACAACTTGTTCCTGCTTGTAAAATGAAGGCTGAAATAGAGTTGTATTGTTGTTTGTTCAAGGAGGAGGAATGAAGACACCAATTTATATTATATATATACATATATATATATATACAAAATAATACCATATCACCAAAAGGGGCTTCCCTAGACCAAGTCGCACAACACGATCCCCCAAGCATCCATCCCATTCTTCTCTCATTCACACACTCTGCAAATATTCTTCAACTGAACGGATTCCCATCCCTCTCCAAAAGGACGAAAATGCCAAAGGACCTGGGAGAGTGTCTTATGTTACCTTGTGGTTAGTCTCAAGATATTTTCCAAGTATCTATCCTTTTAACAGGAGACTCCTTCGAATAGAAATTTTTCATTCTGTAGACTTGTAAAGTAATTTTTATTGTACATTCTGCATCTTTACTACTATTCTTTTTTATCACGGCCTACATAAACCTATTGCAAATTATCATTATTTTGGATTCCCAACTGCAGCAAGACAAGCAAAATGTCCTCTTTTCGGCAACGAGCCATGAAGGAACCTAGTTGGAAACTTGAGGAACTTGTTCACTATTTTGGATACGGTAAGTAAGGTCGGGCTACTTGTGTCTTTCCTTACTCGATAGAATAGAGGACGAACAGAAACCACCTGAGCCCAAGTTATTGAATGTAGCGGAATCGCTTTGTCCCCGACTTTCGTTTAAGGAACAATTGGTCATAGGTGAGGTCCTACTCTCCATTTCATTTATATTTCGAGCTCATCCAATAATAGCCATCTTAATAGAGGAGTTTTTGAAGGAACAGCTCAAGAACTTTGAGAGAAGTCGATAGTTCTTCTAAGCACAATTGGGAACTTTTTTGTTTCGAAAGTGGTTGCTACTCGTCTTTATCACGTTTTGCAACTGCGGAAAGAGATGTTTGTTGAAATAACGGCTGTTCTGTTAAGGTAGCTTAAGTGTCTTTGTTTCCAGCAACTTCCCTAATAATTTTCCTACTCAAGAGACAGACTATTCATTATAGAAAAGGCATGAAAAGTGCTCGACTCATGAAAGAAAAGTTTGCTTCTCATTTTAGGAGATATCAACCAAATAGATAAAGGAAAGTTTTCACGAATGAGAAACAACATATTTTAGTGGACGGAAGATAAGAAACATAAAACTCTTTGACAACTCAATCATTCAAAAAAAAGTTGTGACCGATAAGTGTAATGCAGAGTACTAATTTCGTCCTCAACTCAACATCGTCTATCAACTAACTGCCCATCCAACCCCTTTTGCGAAATATCCATATTTCAAGTCCCACTATAAGTAAAACCATCAACCTATTTCGTCAAGTTCTTACTAACATAGAATATGAACAAAAATTCTTATCCTACCAAAACACAGTATAACCGTGTCCGTAGTGTAACTCAGGAATACGAGGAAAATTCATTCCATAAATGCCTGCCATAAATGTTAATGGAATAAATATTGTGTTGATAATAGTTAAAGTTTTCATAACTAAATATAAGCAGGAAGCAAGATTATCACAAAAACTATGCCATTCACTTACTTTCTTGCATATTATGACTCACACCACTTAAATAGATATCTACTAAACCAAGTGCGCTATCACGATATACTTCAAGAATATCTATAATTTGAATCACGTGGTCCAAACAGTCCTGCAGATATCTAACAAAGAATCAGAACGAAATCCATATCGACCAATGTATCATTTCTTACGGCTTTATATCGCTATGTATTTCAGGAAGTACAAGAAACTTTTTCAACACTTCTCGCAAAGGCCAGGTGCTTCTTCTAAGAATGAATATATCTCGTTTTAACAAATTTATATCCTAACAAGAATTCACAATAAACAATACATAACATTATAGTTCGCTCTTACTCTTATCAAATAAGTTCTGTTTTCCAACATCAGCATGCCTTTTTGCAATCAGCAGGTACATTGATACTAATAGTTCAAATGCTTACTTTCAATTTCTTCAATTTTCTCACCATAATGTTCCAAAACAGGGAAAAAATTATCAGTCAACTTATCGATTATCAAATATAAGACCAACGAAAGATTTCTGCTAAAATGATCACCGTTTGACGCCAGCTTTTCTCTCACATCAGAAATCCAAGCTGTCGTGGTATTCCTTTCACTTCTTTCAAAAGTAAGGACTGTACGCTCCTTTTCCATCAACAAAATATTTAGTTCCTTTAAACTTAACTCGTATTCATCCTCAATAGAAACAACACTTGGACTATGTGTAACTATAAAAAGCATCTCTCCATACCTATTTTCCAGTCAGATATCGTTTGAGTCTGTGTGAACTCACATACTTGTCAATTTTTGGTCTCGTTGAAGAACAACGTATGTCTTCTATTGCCAATGGATGAAGATTAAATACCTTGGATAGTTGCTCAAGTATGTCACTCGAAGTATCTTCCAAATCCACGAGGTCAGATAAAATAGTGTGAATCCAACGCAATCCCTCTTGGTCTGAAGTATGTCTTCGAAACAGTTCGGATACACTAGAAGGATTCGTTACTTTAAAAAACGTTTCTCCAAACTCACAAACAGTTATGCTGAAAATAAGAGTTACAATCAGACCAAACAGTGGACTCTGTCTGTACATAAGCACATACCAGAAGGGATTTTCAAGCAGGTCAGACGTCATCTACAAAAAGAAAGCCCGATGTTCTTGTCAAAAACTTCGAAACAACGCAATTTTGAAAACCAGAAAACAAGCAATGTGGTATTTGCTACAGGGGGTAGTAGTTCCAATCCGCAGGACTGGAATAGCGTTGAAAGTTTTTAAAGTCTCTCTCAACTTGATAAGATTGTGAAAGGTTGAAAAACTGTTTTAATCTTCTTGGCAATAGTTTCTTGAGGGAAATACTGCATAAATACTTTGGTCTCGTCTTCCACCCAAGCTGAGCCTTTCAAGCAAGGATCCAATTGGCTTTATCAATTTATTTTGCTTTGAGAATACAATAGCGATGTGATGACAAAGCCATAATATGAAAAGAATAGAATATTTCATTCTAAAATGATGAGGCATTTCATTCCACAAGCAGCTTCCGTAAATGCAAAGGGGACTTTATATATGTGAACTTTCAAATTGCATGAAGGATATTAGGGAGAAGGCTTAGAAATGACTTTTATAAAAGTTCTATGTTCCAATCAGAGTCTATCGATTTCGTTTACGAATAGATGTAGTGGCAACTATTTTACAAAATACTTTGAAGAAGATTCGAGTTGAGAATGTTTTTTGGAGGGAAAAACTTTTGTCCAACACGAGTCATCCAAATTGGTGAGCATTTTTATTTAAATGGCTGTCTTGTTGACCAAGAAGCTCATTATCCTCCCGCTTTTTCTTTCTTCCTTTAGTTTGTTATTCTTCCCTAGAAAAATAGGAGTTACTCTATTCTTTACTTCGCTTGTGGCTTTTTTGAGCCTTTGGATTTCTTATCTCTTAGCCAAGCAAGTATTGGCTTTTGAAGAAGGCTCAGAGTCAGCTAGGAAAATTGCAGAGGCAATTAGAGAAGGATCAACAGGCTTCTTACGAGTTCAATTCAAGGCAATAACAAGATTTTCCATTATATGTGCCTTTGTGATATTTTTTGCTTATTTTGCAAGGAACTCCCTTCGAGATTCCTCTTTGACCAATTTTCAAGTAGCCTTGGTTACTTTTTTTTGTTTTTTAACTGGGGCTGCTTGCTCCGCTGCTGTAGGATATTTGGGAATGTGTATGAGTGTTCGAGCAAATAGCAGAGTGGCTTTTTGTGCCGGAAAAAGCTATGAACTAGGTCTAAGTGTTTGTTTACGAAGTGGGGCAGTAACAGCCTTATTGGTCGTATCCTTGTGTCTTTTGGGAATAATATTTTTGTATTCTATCTTATATTTGGTTCTTCCAATCTCGTATGTCCGCGTGCCATTCTTGTTGGTTGGCTACGGATTTGGTGCTTCATTTGTCGCATTGTTTGCCCAACTTGGAGGCGGCATATATACAAAAGCTGCTGACGTCGGGGCAGATATTATTGGTAAAGTTGAAAGAGATATTCCAGAAGATGATCCTAGAAATCCTGCAACTATTGCAGATTTGGTTGGCGACAATGTTGGAGACTGTGCCGTAAGTTATAAACATATCTATTTAAACACATCTTTATTCTTGGATAGGGACGTGGTAGTGACTTATTTGAGAGTATTGCTGCTGAAATTATATCTGCCATGATCTTGGGTGGTGTATTGGCACAACGTACAAATGTTCAGTCAGGAATGGGTTTCGTTTTGTTCCCTTTAGGTTTGCATGCATCAGATCTTATAGTGAGTACTATTGGGATATTATCTATTCGACCAAGGAAAAGTTCAAATCATCCAGATGTGGAAGCTCATCCGGGTAAATTAGTTGGGGAGCATGAAAGTCCCTTTTCTACGTTATTCAGAGGTTACAAAATAAGCTTAATATTGGCAGGAATTTGTATCATCATTCTTTCTTATTTGTTTTTATATACTTCTGATGCACCTGACGCTTGGTGGCATTTTGCTCTTTGTGGAATGATTGGTCTTTTGTGTGCAGTAGCATTCATCAAAATTGCACAATATTATACAGATAGCGAGTATGGTCCTGTGAAACTTATCGCTGAAGCTAGTACAAGTGGTCATGGAACCAATGTTATCGTTGGTCTTTCAGTTGGAATGATTTCTGTTGGACTATTTTGTGTCATTATTTGTATTGCTCTCGTACTTACCTATCGTTTGGGTCAAGTAAGAAAGACTCGAGATATTCATCCCCTATTGACATAAATTTTTTTAGGATTCAGGTTTATACGATCGAGTTTCGAATGGTCCTACTGGAGGTCTATTTGGAACTGCCATTGCTACTATGGGAATGTTGAGCACTGCAGTCTACATTCTTGCCATGGATATGTTTGGACCTATTGCAGATAATGCAGGAGGTATTGTTGAAATGACTGGTATGAAAGGAACTTGTCGTGAAGTTACGGATAAATTAGATTCTGTTGGAAATACTACAAAGGCAGTAACAAAGGTAGATTCCTTGTTGTATGATTTATCATGAAACGATGATTATTTTATATGAATAGGGATATGCTATTGGCTCAGCGGCATTGGCCTCCTTTTTACTTTTCTCGGCATTTTTAGATGAAATACGAGACTATACTGGCCGAATATTTGAGGCGGTTGACTTGTCTATTCCTGAAGTCTTTGTTTCAGGTTTCTTTGGCTCAATAGTAGTTTATGTATTCTCGGGTTATACGATGAAGTCAGTTGGCATTGCAGCACAGGCTGTTGTAACTGAAGTGAGAAGACAAGTCAATAGTTCTTCCAAAATTCTTTCAGGAGAAGAGATACCCGATTATCAAGCTTGTGTTGCAATAGTCACACAGGAAGCTTTAAAACAAATGGTTGCACCTGGAGCCATTGCCATTTTCTCTCCAATAGTGGTTGGCTATGTGTTTCGGTTCTTATATCCTTACGATGTTGACCCGTTGCTTCCACCAAAATGTGTTGCTTCATTTCTTATGTTTGCAACTTCATCTGGAGTTCTCATGTCATTGTTTCTAAGTATTGGTGGAGGTGCTTTTGATAATGCTAAAAAATATATAGAAACGGGTGTTTTGGGTGGAAAAGGCTCCGAAACGCACAAAGCAGCTGTTACTGGTGATACTGTTGGAGACCCTATGAAAGATACTGTAGGACCTTCATTGCACATATTTATCAAGTTGATTGCAACTGTATCTTTAGTATTGGGACCAACATTTGTTCGTAATTGAGAATCATTGAGTTTAGTTAGGCAGTTTATGAATAGAATTGCTCCATTCATGGACGAAAAACGGCAGATGCTTGGGTAGACAACATGTGCCATCTTTTTTTTATGATTTCTGATTTTGGTTGGACAAAATAAGTATCTATCTGTTGTTTGTTTTCTGCTTTTTAAAATTTCTGCTCGGCTCTTGCAACTATTCTATGTTTCTATATAGAATATATCCAAACTTTTCTACGAATAATAAGAGAAGTATCCTTTGCTTCATACTTAGGAAAAGGTACAATTTTCAACTCGGATTTTGAACTTGAAATTCACAAACCTTGTCTTCTACTGTGACTCTTTTAGGGGTTTAACATTTAACCAACGTCTCTTGAAAGCTCAGGGGTTATTGAAGTTGACTATTTCCTTGTCTTTTTGTATTTTGAAAAGTAAAGCTTTGGTTGCCATGGAACTGGACACGAAGAAACAGGTAGAACAGTTGGACAACTGTAACTCTGAGCCTCCAAGTATGAGAAGTGAGCAAGATTGGAACTCGAATAACTTATATGCCAAAAGACCTGATTTGTCGACTGACAAAGTGCTATGGAGTGTTTCTCGATTGTGCACTGCCTTTGAAGTGTGGAGAAGGAAGGATCTTTCCAACAACGAAAAGTTGAAGAGAATCAGTAGCGCAAAAATATCACGAAATATGGAAAGAAAACTGGGAAGTACCATTTCACAGCAACTTTCGTCGTTTGTGAGTGATGAGGAAGCTCAGAAATATTCCGTCACGTGGGAAGACGTGGAAAGATTGTACCACTTTTGTGGACCTTATTTATCCCTCCCACAAGCCAATATTGCAGGCTTTCTTGATTTGGTTGCTGGTCAGTTTAAGGGAACCAGCAAGGATGATACTAACCAAGTGGTAGATACAGATAACATAGAACCAAGTCCTGGAAATCGAGTAGAAGCTAGCCTATATGGATCTCGAAAGGGAGAAATGGGAACACAGAACACTGTTATATCGAAAAGCCCTGATGTCTTCATAAACTTGGAAACGAAATTATCACCACAACATAAACGTGCACGTACTCGTAATCTGGTGGAAAACAATGACGTTGATTTGTACAATTTCTTTCAAAGAATTCCGGAAACCACAAGGTCTCGAAGCGAAAGCATTGATGAGCCGAATAAGCTTCGTGCGAATTTTGCCTCTGAAAATTTGCAAGTTTCAGGAACTTCCTCCAGTGGTTTTTATCCTTCCAAATATGCGAAAGATGATTCAAATAGGAAGCGTCTTTCCGCAGCTTGGGAAGTCGTTTCTTCCACAATACATTCTTATAGATTGAAAGGACAACCAACTATTGAAACACGCCCGAACAAGACCGCATTACAATGTGATACGAACTATAATACATTTGATACTGGAAGTACAGCAAGAAATGTACTAGAACAGGTCTTATCCATGGATACAGGTATTGTTCGATGGTGTTTGATGGAATTTTTCGATTCCTACGTCGACTCTACTTATCTCAACTTCTCCGAATTTTCTGATGTGCTTGAGAAGGAAATGGGAATAGACACAAATATACTCCTCAGTAACAGGGAGTGGCATTTCCTTCGAAAGGCTATGTGCGATATTTTTTCGTCTGGAACAAAGCCGAGGCGTTTATCTAAAAAATTTTTATTGGAAGAAAGACAACGGTTATGTAGGTAAGTCCTATGCATTCATAGCTATATATCAAGTCGAATTACTATTTCAATATTCTAGTTACAGAAACCTAGTTCGTCAGTATCTGATCAATTCTCAGCAAGTGGAGTTCTATCCTTGGGCTCCATGTCCGTCCAAGTCTCTTACGGTTGGTTCAAAAGTGATTGCTCGCAACTGGATGAGAGGGGAAGTTTACTCAGCATATGTTGTAACGTTAAACCCTTTGAAGGAACAAATAACTGTGAAGTTTGATGAGGCACAATTAGCTTCTTCATCTATCAAGGACACTGATGTTATGATTCCAGAGTCTACTGCTCGACTCTCGAATGAAGATGAAACCACTTCTTCTAAAGACAATCAACCAAACACGGAATATCTTTTGAAAAAATTGCAAAACTTGCAAGCAGCGGAAGAAGAGTTGAATTTGTTTGACACGACCAACCTGCAAGGCAATGAAGTCATTTTTGAAATCCTGAAACGCAAATCTCATATTGCGTCCTTAAATCTCGAATGCGATGAACTGTTTTTACAGACTTTTCCGCATCTTCGAGACTGTCACGTAAGTTGCATGTAAAATAATTTAGAAGACTTGCCTTATCCCTGTTTAGGATTTGAAATACTTGAGTCAAATTTCGAAGATTTTGTTGAGGGGAATTGTAGGAGACGACGAATTTTTCCAGGGAAATGTAGAATCAGTAATGATTTCCCTTATCAATGTTCTCATGAGTGCTTTCCAAGTTGTCAATTTTTCAACTTTAGAAAATTCGGACGGTACAAGTCAATCGCTACTTATGTCAAGTCTGCAAAACTTGGAAAAACTTATGACCGACAAAAATAGGCAATCCTTTGCCATTCTGATGGAGTCTGTGAAACAACTGTTTTCGACGTTTTAACCTGTTGTGTAAATATCCCTATCGTAGGAATGTGAATATCGATGATCGAGAATAGAAAACCAATGAGGAAACGAAATAAATTTTATCGTAGCATTATGAAAGTGATTTTTCTTTTGTGAGAATAAGCAATGGGTTGTTTTCAATCTACAAAAAGCCGAACTATATCTTCTTCACTATATCTGGTCAATATTTTCAAAGTTGCCAACTACAATCCATTTCAGTAGATGTGTACATCTGTATTGTAATCAAGCCATTTATTCTCAACAAAGAATGTGTAGAAATGATATCAGCCGCGGAGAGAAATGCAACCTAATGAATTTGATGACGCGTAGAAAGAGAGAGGGTATGGTGGCCTTTCAGTTAACCGCTTTTTGTAAACTTCAATATACTTCACAAGTTCAGCAACACAAGTGTCAAAGGAAACGATGGTTCAAAAGACGCCTAACCTTTGGAAGAGTTCGACCACTTCAACTATACAGTTGTACTAACCTACAAGAGACCAGTCAAGAGCTACAATCAGGAGGAGATAGGAGTTATCCCGTGCCTAGAGAATATTTTGATAGAGTTACAAACCACCACATTAATAATATAGAGCAGTATATGCTGCTCTATAATCATTCTATTCTTCAACCGGACGAATTCTGGTCTGATAAGGCAAAGCAGGTTTTATCATGGAAACAGCTATGGGACGATCAGATATGCAGCTTCAACTTTGATGTAGAAAAAGGTCCTATATTTTGTGAATGGTTCAAAGGTGGAAAACTGAATGCTTGCTATAATTGTATCGATAGACACGTCGAAGCAGGCCATGGTGACCAAGTAGCGTATTATGCTGAAGGTAATGAAGAGTCAGCAGATATTCGTGGCTACACCTACCGAGAGTTACTGGATTATATTGAACGCCTGGCTTCTGTCCTCAAGGCTAGAGGTGTTCATAAAGGTGATGTGGTGGCTATCTATATGCCCAATATTCCAGAACTTGTTATTGCAATGCTTGCTTGTGCACGAATAGGTGCCATCCATAGCGTTGTTTTTGGAGGTTTCTCAGCAGAGTCTTTAGCAAATAGACTACTAGATGCGAAGAGTCGCGTCGTTATTACTTGTGATGGCTACAAACGTGGAGAGAAAATCGTTCCACTTAAAACTGTGGCAGATGCAGCAGCAGAATTGGCAAGAGAAACATTGGGTTACAATCTCGTAGAGCATAAAATCATTTATCAAAGGCTGAACTCAAAGGAACACACGGCTACTATGGATGGTCATGTAGATGAATGGTGGCATGAAGCACTTTCAAAGGCAGAAAAGCACTGTGCCATAGAATGGATGGATGCAGAAGATCCACTGTTTGTGTTGTACACATCTGGTTCAACTGGTCGACCAAAAGGTATTGTCCACACAACAGGAGGTTATTTACTGTACGCAGCATTGACTCATCGTTATGCCTTCAATTATCATCCTGGTGACGTTTATTTTTGCACTGCAGATTGTGGTTGGATTACAGGACACAGTTATGTCGTCTATGGTCCACTAGTCAATCGTGCAACACAAGTTATCTTTGAAGGTGTTCCTACATACCCTAGTGCAGATCGTCTATGGAAAATTTCAGCCAAATACAAAGTAAAACAACTTTACACAGCTCCAACCCTTATCCGGTCACTTATGAGATTCGGGGAAAAGTATGTCAAGAATAGCCAAAGAGATTCCTTGACGTTACTTGCAACTGTTGGAGAACCAATCAACCCAGAAGCATGGAAGTGGTAAGATTGTTCCTCGTTATTATATCCATTTTAGATATGCAGTTTATTTCTTTCATTCAAACATTTGTATTTGGTTAGGTTTTCGCGTGAGGTCGGTGAAAACCTCTGTCCCATAGTAGATACTTGGTGGCAGACAGAGACCGGTGGACATATGATACTTCCTCCTCCCGTTCAAGGTTTCTATCAGAAACCAGGGAGTGCATCAATTCCATTTTTTGGTATTGTGCCTGTTGTTGTCAATGAGAAAGGGGAGGAATTGTTTGGAGAATGTGAAGGGTATCTTTGCATCAAGAAGCCTTGGCCTGGCATGTTTCGTACTGTATTAGGTGATCATTCCCGCATGGAGTCGACGTACTTTAAACCTTTTCGAGGATATTATATGTCTGGAGATGGCTGTAGACGAGATAAGGATGGCTATTACTGGCTCACAGGAAGAGTAGATGACGTCATCAATGTTAGTGGACATCGCATTGGAACAGCTGAAGTTGAATCCGCTTTGATAGCACATGGAAGCGTGGCAGAAGCAGCGGTTGTTCCAGCTCCACACGATATCAAAGGCCAAGGCATTTATGCATATGTAACATTGCGAGAAGGTGAGGAACCAACGGAAGAACTGCGTAAAGCCCTCAAACATGCTGTTCGTGAGCACATAGGTGCTATTTGCACTCCCGATGTTATTCATTGGGCTCCTGCGTTACCAAAGACAAGAAGCGGTAAAATTATGAGAAGAATTCTACGAAAGATTGCAGAATTAGGGACAAACGTGACTCCAAATGACTTGGGTGACACATCCACGCTTTCTGATCCTCAAGTAGTGGACATGCTAGTTTCATTGTATGGAAAGTAATTACAGATAACATCACCAGTTTGAATAAAGTATCATATATAGGCTATACAAGGTTATTGTTCACATTATACATGTTATGTGAAATTTTCAGGTTGTTATGCCTACAAAAAACTCCAATTGCTTTTATGCCTCCATCTCTGAAGGAAAACCAGCAGCACTAGTAGACAAGTCCTCTAAGTGCTGTGTCACCAGCAATTGATACTAAAAACTGGCATGTGTGTTGGCCATTTGGAAATATGAAAATGGCGCCTTGAAAAGAAAAATGCCTGCAATAGAATGTGTGGAAAAGGGGCGCTGCTACATTTTACGTTCAATAATTAAGGGATATGGCTAAGGAAGCGTTCTTCACCTTTGCAAAGTTAGGACTCCAACTTAGAGAGGAGTTTGGACTTGAAGACGTTTATGAAAATGACGAAGAATTAAGACTCCAGTTAGTATCTGTAAAGGGCTTGAAGAAGTCTTCAGAACTAATAAAAACGAGATTTACAAGGTAACTTGCAGCTGTTATGTTTGTTTGTGTTTTTTGAGTACCTTATAGGTATGCAAACGCAAGCAACGCTATGGTTGTAGCTGGAAGAGCTGCAACTTCGTCTCTTGGAGACATCGCAAGGCTGGCAAGACCAAGGAACCAAGGCATCTTTGGTCCCAAGAACTCAGCTGACGATGACCTCTCGACGGACACGTCCTTAGTGGCAGTCACAAACAGCACAAACGAATCAGGTTTGTGTTCCAAAGAACTAAGGCAGCTTCTGTTCGCTGTCTCTCGCGCCGAACGAGATGTTCACGAAGCACTGAGCGCCTTTAGTCGTGCAATTGACGTGACAATCGTGAAACCTAGAAAAGACTTTCTTGAGACATATTCAACAGAGTTTCGTGCACGGAAAAACGCGTTTAAAGAAGCGAAGCGTAACTTTAAAGCCCATGCAAGAGCACAGCAAAGGGGACAGGACTCCGAAGTAATTGGCGTGAATGGTATCGAACGATTTGAACTTGCTGAAGCACGCTCTGCATATGAAACTGCTGAGGTTGAACTTGCACGATATGCCGCTAAACTGGAGGAAGAGAATGACAGGATTCTTTTGCGCAACGTTGCTGGATTTGTTATTCAACACCATGCCACTCTTATGAGATGTCTAGTTGCTTTGGAGAAAGTTCTGCCCCTTTGTTATCAGTACGCTTCTGAAAACATTCATCGAGCCTATCATCGTGCTTCACAAGGCTCCTCTTTGGATACTTATTTTGCAAGTGAGGGTCCGCGATCTCAACATATGGATGCACTTACCGCTGTTCCCCATTCTGGAGCGTTAACCTTTATTCGCAGTAATAGTGGTCTATCCGGGCATCAACTTAAACAGTCCGTCAAAGGAGGCGGCACGAACTCTGACGATTTTTCATCATTTGATGTTGAACACAGGATAGAACTGATGAGAAACCTTATATCTCGTCTTGTACTTACCGTTTGGAAATTGGCGGTGAAGTGTTCCAGAGAAAGTAATAAGAAAGCTATGGCGATATACTATCCACACTCAGATTCTCTGAAAGGCAAAAGTTTTGAGAGGTCTACACAGTCCTCTTCTGAAACTATACCAAGTTTTGACGATTTTCAACGAACTATTGCAGCCCAGCGGCTGATTATTCATCGTTTAATTAGCACCCGATGGCTGACAGCAGCTAGATTTGCGCAGACACAACGTGCAGTTGTCAGCTTTACCTCATTACCTTGGAGAAGACGTTCGTTTCGCCTTGCTGCGAAACTGGCAATTGCTCTCAATAAGAAAAAGAAGACGGGACGCTTTCATTCGGAAGATTTAGATGGAAGGCCAGAGGGGAACGCTATGGACGAAGAAAGAAAACTCGAACAAGAAGAAGTTTTTTTACGAGAACAGAATCGTAGAATTGCCGCAGAGACAGAGCTACGTAGAATGAAATATAGTGTTACTGGGATCATTCGTCAACACTCTTACGTTGAAACAGAATTTTCAGCCAAATCTGATAATCAGTCACTGAATTGGTTGGGTGGGTGGGACACTCCTGAGTTGCTATTTTTGTCCAAAGTAAGGAAAGTCTTCATTCGAGAGACTAATGCAACCAAAGTGATTGACGATGTAACAAGTAGTAGCCCAGGTAGTATATGCCTTATTCGTTAGCATAGTGTTCTTACACTCCATTCAGGCCAATATGATGGTTATTATTCTTACGAATATGATGCAGTTCTTGATATGGACAGCTCCCAAGAACAAACTTTGCGTTCAATGGCTGAGTTGTTAGTTGCAGCACTGGAAAGAAAGTCAGGAACTCTACTGATATTTGGTTCATCAGCAGAAGCAGAAATGCATACTGCAGTGAGTTTTCTTTTCGTATCTTTATTTTGTTTATATAACACGCTGAATTCAGATTGGTTTGCGTGACGATCCAGGAGTATTTCTTCTTGCGGTTCAGAAGATTTTACGAGTATTATCTCCCGATCAAAATCTATTTGTCTCTTTTGAGACGTATGACCACGAAGGAAACAATCGAACCAACTTGTTATCCAATTATAAAAGTCCACAGAATTCTGCTCAAGGAGAATTCTGTAGGATGAGTTTGGATAGTTCACAACATTTATCGTCGAAGCGACTGGAGGGAAAGAAAGTTGAAAGGGGCATCGAAAACGATGGAGAGTATTTGGCAGACTTTGGTCAGTATTGGAAAAACACTTCACAACAGCAAAGTATTAGCTTTGTCCACGTTCGGCATCGAAGAGAATGTGAAAGAATATTGTCTCATGCTATGAGAGAGTATTCGTTCATAACACGGGAAAGAGAAGGAACTTCTCATCTTCTTATTTCATTGAAGATTGTAAATCGAGATAGAGTGGGTGCTGGAAGTCAAACGGAAGGACTTGTAAACATTGCTGTTATCTTCTGTAATGCATTCTCTTTGGATAAGAACTTTTATGCTCTTCGAAATCCTCCAAAAGTATCACTCTGTGAAACTATCATTCAGATTCGACAGCTTCTGGCACATCGTGAAGAAGTCCGGTTAACATCCAATGTTTATTATCCTGAAATAATAAGAGTACTTGTAGAAAGGGGCGCCTTTATGAGAAATGGAAGAACGAAGTTGGCAGTGATGGGATGTATCGATCAACGGAACGATATAGAAACAAATGCGAACTTGTTGGAGTTCGTCAGTAACTGGAGATCGATTTCCTTGGCCGACTGCGACAACTCTAGTCACTTGTTATCATTGTTATTCGAAATTAACGAAGATGACAATAATTTACAAGCTCGACGGCGTTTAAGGACACCTCTTCGTACTTCGCGGAGTGATAACTCGGATTTCGAAGAATCCACCAAGACGATTGCGTTGCCTTCATCATTGACTAGGCATGTTTCGACGACGTCGTCTCTGGACAGAAAAAACTCACAACGCACTTTCCAGGCGACAGAATCCTCACTATCCGGTTCAAGAGAAGCACGAACGGCACTGAAAACAAGACGACCTTTTAGAACTTCTGAGGCATTTGAATGGAACAATGCCACAAGTTCGGAAATAATAAGGAAGGATGATATGTATGAGTCTAACACTTATCAATACTTGCTTTGATTTGGCTGATCTGGGTGTTGTATACTGGCCGTTCTTATGCTTTTTCTGTCTCCAGATAAGTACGTATCCGTTCAATAAGTTCCGCTTTTCTTCCGGACTTTTTCAAGTCATGTGCGGCACAAAACATTTTAAGCGTGGTTACGTTTTGTTTCTCAAGTCCATCGTTTCCTTTGTCAAATGCAAGCTGTTTCCAATCCAACTGTTGCTCTAAAAATTGCTTTGAACGCAGCTTTTCTACTGCACGTTTGATATGAAACCTTTTTGGACTTCTCAATGACTTCTCTTGCTTTATAATGCCAACTGGTTCCGAGGCAACAATTTTGGTCCATTCTTCCAACTCCTCCTTAGCTACTTGAGCCATTTGGGCATCATCCGTGTCCAGTGTATCCTCGACTTGTGGAAAGTTGGTTTGATTCAGAGCCAGAGCTTGTAATCCGTTATAATATCGTTGAATATCAGGATCCGAATATTTTGACGGATCATAGGATGGCATAGAAAGTTTGGAGATAACATTCATTGCGGCCTCGACGCATTGTTGAGAAGGTAGATTGTTCCACTTTGGGTATTGTTTTTTCCATTCTTTGCGAATTTCCTCCGCAAATGGTAACCATATCAAATGGAATCCGCAAGGTTCTGTTTGAAGGTGTGACTCGGTCTTTTTCTCGTCTTGAGGCACTAATGCTGCTAGTCTCGGATGTGAAGTTCTCCGAAAGCACACTCGGACTATTGCTATTTGGTTTTCTTGCAACATTTGCTTCCATAAAACGGCCATCAATAACTGACTGCCTTTGATTGTGTGATCTAAATAAGAAATAGGTCAACCAGTACAGTGTAAATAAAATGAGCTTAGGCGCACCGCTTGGATAAAGAAAATAAGATGGCCTCATGTTGTATTGCCATTTTAATTTGTTCTTGTTTTCAAATCCTATGAGTTCCATTCCATATCTACAAAGATGACCAAGTTCCTCCATTTCTGAGTGTGTAAAAACACAAGCGACTCCAGCAAAAGGGAAACTGTAACGGATATCGTTGGCATTGGCTAAAAGTGCACCGCTTTCTTCAGAATATGCAATGGTAACACGCCGTACAGGTTCATTATTGCGAGCTTCTAAGAATACCTTTTTCGATCGGCTTGGTCGATGAAACAAGGCATAAACTTCCAATCCAACAGTCTCAAGTTCTGCATGGGCACCTTCGTTTTGCAAACCATTCAAATATAAAAAGGTATTATTCAAAACTCTCTTTTTGTACTTCTTCTTTAGAATATGTAGTTGCAGTTCCTCGAATCGGGAAATGGGATCACTCACAGGCTCCAATTCTTGCCTACTGCTTCCGATGACATCTTCATAAAATAAGTGGTAATCGAAAGGTTTCGACCTAGAACTTTTCAAAGGCAACAGTTCGATATTCATTCCACTTTCAGACAAGTCTCTTGCTTGACGAATATTCAAGTTTTTTACGTTTTCGTCGTTTTCAATGGGGTCGTCGTCATCGGTGAACAACAACAAGCGCTTCCGAACGTTTAGGGTTTTCGACCGAACCGCATGATTTAACAAACTCCGACAAGTAAACAGCAACTCCTGGAATTTCACTTTTGCATATCTTTCCAAACTACCCAATTGCGACATCATCCACTGTGGAGTTTTCTCAAGTGTCTCCAAGTAGAGTATGCTTTCAGGGTCTGGAACATCGAGCTCTAATAGAACATAAATACTAGCCAAGTCGTTGGGATTATTTACTTTGCTGGTACCGAATAGGACCACACCTAACAAGTCACCGGTGTCGGAGATGATTCTGGACTTGAAAATTTCTTTGATACAGTTGAGTGCTAAGGTTATCAGAGGCACTTTATCTTCGTTCTACGTAAAGGCTGAAAAAGTAATTTCAACTATCAGAACATATGATTTACCTCGTCGTACATATTTTTTCTAGCGTCGACAGCAAACAAGAGCAGCTCTCGACCATCCTCATTCATGCTGTTGCTTTCTCTACCCAAGAGAATCAATCATTCCATGGAATCTAAAGTAAAGCATCCTAAACTTCCTTGTCGAAACTTTTTTAGTATATATATGCAAGTCCGCAAAAGATCTTCATTTTCATGTGTATGCTCTTTATCCTCCTTTTGAAATGCACGTATTCTATGTGCAACCTTTCGAACAACTTGATGCGCAGAAATATTCCAATCATTTATATCGATACCTAACCTTGACATGGCAACCGAATCATTTCTTTCTATCAACATGTTCAACAAAAACTGACAAGCTGCAATCGAATCCACAGACTGGTCTCGTATACAGCCGGTGATTATTAGTTTCATACCACTTTCCCAACTGTCCAATCGTGGATACATTACACCAGGAGAATCCAACATGTAGATATAAGGTTGATGCGAAACCACAAAACCTGCAACATTTTTAGTGACTCCGGGATGCTTCCCAACTTTAGCCACTCCTCCATCGTCAATAGTATGTTCTACAGGAATGTCTTTCCACTGATTGCGACAATGACGCTGCAACAGATTTATAAACGATGACTTGCCGACGTTCGGTACACCTATTACGATAACTTTGGTAGGCAAACTTTTCAGTCTTTTTCTCACAGGTACAGCTGCTAAAGTATCCAAAACAGATGATATATGGTTTCGTTGTACTTGTTTGCAAGAAAATGGCAATATCGAGCAATAAGATGACTTGAGACCGCCTTTTGCCAGCCGACACATAGCTTTGGACAATAACAATGGTTCCGATAAATCTGCCTTGTTCAACAAAATAATTCTAGGAATAGTACGTGAAGGTAACTGTGAAACTTCTGCAACGGCAGCTGAAGTCAAGGGAATTCTCGCATCCCGAACTTCTATGATAATATCCGCCAGTGCAAGTTTTTCTTTAATCTCCCTTGATGCTTTGTACATGTGTCCTGGAAACCTAACTTTGGTTACAAATAATTATCATTCCACACAAGTATTCTCACCAGTTGATAGTCGATAACAAATAGTTGGAAATTCTCAACATCACAAGTCTCTCTCTCTCCTCTTCGTTGGGAAAAGGAATCGAGAATCATAGAATTGGTTAGGTTGGATCGTCGTTGTGTTGGCGGTGTGACAGAAGAGATATTTTTGGTTCCCTATACTGGAATACAAAATGGAAATGGACAACCATATGCAACAAGAAGAGCAAGAACGACCTTTGCGTACTGGTCCACCAGATATATCAGGAACATACTCCTTGTTGGTTTTAAATATTTCCTTCCGCACCACTCCCAACGACTTGACCCCTTTGTTTGATAAGTATGGGGAAGTAGTAGATTGTTACATTCCAAGGAATCGAAGAAATGGACATTCGAGAGGTTTTGCGTTTGTTCGTTTTCGAAAAGAAGAAGATGCAAGAAAGGCAATGGAGGAAATGGATGGAAGGGAGGTGGACGGAAGGTCCATCACCGTTCAGTTTGCCAAATATGGACGTGGAGAGGAAAGGAGGTGAGCACAGTTTTTGCTTCAACGGATAACTAGTTGTCCAACGGCACGGACTTTAACTTCAAGGTTGTTGTTTGTGACCTGTTGAAACTAGTTGAGTGTTTTGTGTGTGGTTGGGTATATAGAGTTTGTGCTTACAGTAATTTCGCTTTGGATATGTTAGAGAACGAAGAAGCTTTCGGACGAGATCAAGTCGTTCTTTCGGTGGCAGAAATGGCGGGCCACGCTTTCGAGAGGACTCGTATAGAAGGAGACGCAGTAGTCGTTCGCCAGAGCGTTCGAGACATTCTCGTCGTAGGCATAGTAGGAGGTAAGTTGTTGTTCTCCGTTTTTTGTTAAGATAATCGCATTCCTTTCTAGTCCTCGTAGAAGACATTCACCGAGGCGTAGCATTTCACCACCACGCAGACGCCGCGAGGAAAGAGATTATTCTCATTCCGCTAGTAACCCACGTTATTCAGAAGATAGGATGAGAGATGTGGATGAAAAAGAAGTGGTTTATGAGCGCAGGTGATTGAGTATTCCAGTGGATATCCCGTTGTTTGCAAAAAATTACGTTGCATACGTCTCACTCAAAGTGCTATAGCTGCCTTTGGTATCGTGCTACATTATAAATGAGTACTTTGTTTGCGAGCTGTTTTATCTTTGTTGAACCAGAAAGACTTGTTGTGTGTGGTTGTTTGCTAATTTTCAAGTCTACTTAGCTTTCATGGGAAGACATTCTAAAACCAGATGGCTAAATGTGACTTTATTGAACAAGAATTACGCAGTACGACGATATATACATATATATATTGTCTGACAACTTGTATAATAGAAAGGAATGTATCTTGTGAAAACAAGAAAAAGACCTTTTCAAATTAAAAACTCACAAAAACGATGAAAATTGATTAATTCGTTGAGGAAAAAAATCACAGTTTTTATTACCACGCAACAGCCATACAATCCAATCCTGAACTCACAACTTATATATTTAAGCTGGTTGAGGTAATATGATCGAAGCACCGTTAGGAACTCCAGCCACACTAGTAGGCGCACTAGTACCTACAATGACGCCACTTGGTACACCGGTGGAAATTGGAACAGAACTTGGAAAACTGGTTGAGATGGGTGCTGAGGTCACTGCGCTAGGAGCAGAAGTTACTGCAACCGGAGCTGTTGTGCTGGGAGGAGGTGGAACTAGAACACCATCCAACACATCAATGAACGATGAACCGACAGCTACGTCAGATTTCACGACGCTGAAAGGTCCGACAAACGATCCTATATTGCACTTAATATATTGTTGTTACAAGAAGAGATTATATTTCTAACCTGAAGAGTTCTTGACAATAGTCAAGTTCAATCCTATGAGTGAAGTAAAGTTATGGGAGCCAGGCGAAAGCGAAGATAAAGATATCGATTGATTGAAAGTTGCTCCAAGAATGACTCTTGTAAGGAATGAGACTGCACTGCTCGAAGAAGAACTACTACTGCTTGTGGGCCCACTTGTAGGAAGAGCACTAAGAGCTTGGGAGGCAGTCGAAGTGGACCACACGGAATCATTTGCTGCAAAGAAGGTAAGAGTTGCTGAAGGGTTGTCAAATAGAGAAGTGAGTCCTGCTGCACTAATAGCTTGAACTGTATCATCAAAGTTATTGGCTTGCAATACACTCAAGATAGTGAGCGAAGATGTTGTTGGTACACTAGTAGGAATACCGGTGGTCACCGAGGAAGGAACCCCAGTTGGAATTCCGGTACTAACCGTTACTGGAGCACTTGTAACAACTCCAGTTGGAATAGAACCCAGTCCTGTTGGAGCAGCACTAATTGAGCCTTGTGCTTGTACATGAGTAGTAGAAGCAATGAGTACTATGAGAAGACAAAAGTTGATGTTCAATTGTCTCATTTTGATAATTCACAAAAACGAAGATTAAATATTTATGAAATCGTCTCTTTTAAAATGAAACGATGGAAAAATGCCCCGATCAAAAGTTTCTGGTCCTGTGGAACACAATTGCTTGAGGCAAAAATGATTCGTGTAAAGAATCCAAAATCGCATTAGATGCTAAAACACGTGGTATGCCCAGAGAAGCGGGCTTTACCCATTTGTGTAACGGTTCATTTCTACAAGAGCAATGGAACTGCGGTTGTTTTGTACACCGTGTCTTGTCTATTCACTGAAAAAGAACTATAGCAAATAGTATAATTGAAATTTTGGAATCATAGAGATGACTTTCAGTAGCTTTAAATGATTTTGGGTCGAATACAATCCGAAGCCTCTTTAGTATTATAACCTGGAATGAGTTCAAATAATGGCTATTCATATATATGTCATGTGTGTGTGTGTGTGTGTGTAACGAATGTGTAGAGAACGAAATTAGTGGAAGAAGAAAAACTTATCCAAAACGATGCACAGACTCTATATAGGAAGAGGGAATTCTGCCGACTATCTATCTGAGTCACTTTCAATATAAAAGGATTCCTGATGTTAGTAACAAAGATAGGATAATGTTTACATAATATATACCAAGTTGCTAGTTCAAATGCATGCACAAGGCTTTTCTAGGAATATGGGATAACAAGAATAATCGAATTTTTTAGATTCATTCGAGATACGAATGGATTTCGGGTTCGATTCTCCTGTTGAGATGTAGTATTTTTCCTTGTTGGTTGATAGTCCCTAATGAACGGTAAGGATAGCTCTATGTCGAGGAATACTAGTTCAGCGGTAAGTAATAGTTAGTAACAAAGGACGGCTAAATAAAATACGTGTATATAGACCAAGTGGCCTATAGATATCGAGTGTGACGAATGGAGTGGTACGAAACCCAACGATATTTTAGATAAACTGTTGGCTTCTTTCTTCGTTATGGGCATGTTTGGACTGATTGCTTATAGAAGACTAAGTGTTCCTTGTTGATAGTATAAAAACGGCGAATATCACAATATAGCTCTATTACTGTATCCATAACAGTTCCCTTACTATTTTTTTCCTCTAGAGTTTGACTTAAAACCTTCCAACGTACGACCAACGTTTACTCGGAACTCATTCCAACCCCAAAAACTTCCTTCCTGTTCCACATCCCAAGAAGCAGAAAATATCCCATAACTCAAGGCTGCCATGGTAGCCAAGATCAGTAACAACGAACTATAAGCTACTAGAGACGGAATGACCGTAATATCGAACTGAAGTTTAGCCACAAATACAGAAGCAAAGAATACAATGAAAAGCATAAAAGGAACACTTGAGGCATATAGCATACGTTTACCCATCCGGTCTGAAACTATGGGTGGCAAACTTCCAGAGTTGTGTAAGTTATCTTTACTTCCCGGTTCAAAATAATTATTTGTCTGTTCTTCCTCCTCCTTCCATCCGTTTCGTTGTTCCTTCCCTTTGACGACAGTAGTTTGGAAACCTTTCCCAGTTTTTACAAACTTGGGTTGACTTTGCTCTGCTTTTATAGTTTTATGTAACCTATATGAAGACTTTTCTCGTAGCCGAAAACTCAAAGTTTGCCATTTTGGACAACAATACTGTCTCTTTTGGCAACCATAAACACATTCACCACAAGTCACGAAGAACAGCATTGACTGAATGTGTGTGTGGATGGGATGAGCCAGTCTTTCTTGACTCAAGGCACCGAAAGAGTAGAAACTGGAATATTAGACTGGAAGAATGCAGAAGATGCGGAAAGAGAAGTCATCGAAAATTTTGCAGATACCACAAAGAAACGTTTAGAAAGAGAAGAAGAGTCTCTTATTGCTAAATATCAGAAGCAAAGGGAAGTTGTTGTACAGCGATATGAGGAAATTCGAATACAATATCAACTTTTACACAGCGAAAGTTCAGTGAAGAGTCAAGAAGAAGAGCAATTTGGTAAACAGTTGAATAGTCTGTCTAGACTTTTGAAGCGAATTGATGCGGAGAGAACTGAAGCTCTTGCAACTTTTGAAAGGAAGAAACGAAAGTTATTGTCTTCTGCAAGTTGTTTAGTGGGAGAAAGTACTAGTGAATTGGATGAAACAGGCATTGTTGACCTTGAAGCACCCAAGGACTCTGAACTTGCAACTGCAGTGAAACTAGGACAAGTTACTCCCTTTCAAGGTCAGAGTGAACTTGAAAAGACTGTAATGAATCATACCTCCAAAGAAGACGTTTGCTTTGATGGTGGTCTTCGTCTACCTGCCGATATTTACGATCGACTTTTTCCATATCAACAAGTCGGAGTGCAGTGGCTATGGGAATTACACTGTCAAGGCGTTGGAGGCATTGTTGGGGACGAAATGGGTCTCGGAAAGACTATCCAAGTCATTGTACTATTAGCGTCTCTTTCTTATAGCCATTTATTGCCTGGACCTGTATGTATAGTGGCACCAGCTACTCTACTTTCACAATGGAAGAGAGAGTTTGCTACTTGGTGGCCTTCTTTTCGAGTTAGAATTATGCACAAGTCAGCTGGAGACGGTGATTTATGGATAGTGGAAGATATAATCGAACAAGGAGATATACTAGTTACTAGTTATGAACAAGTGAGACGTTTTCATGAATATATTCTTGTACATAAGTGGGATTATGTTATATTGGATGAAGGTCATCGCATAAGGAATCCTGATGCAGAAATAACACTTGTTTGTAAGCGCTTTAAGACTGTACATCGAATAATTATGACAGGAGCACCACTTCAGAATCGATTGAAAGAACTCTGGAGCTTATTCGATTTTGTTTATCCTGGAAAACTTGGAACACTACCAGTCTTTGAGGAACAGTTTAGTGTACCGATTACTTTGGGTAGTTATTTGAATGCAACTCCACTTCAAGTGCATACTGCTTATAAGTGTGCATCTGTCTTGCGCAATTTAGTATCGCCTTATTTACTGCGGCGTCTAAAGAAAGACGTTGCACTTCAACTTCCTAAGAAACAAGAACAGGTAACTTTACTATTATGAGGTTATACTTTACTGAGTTGTAATATCTTCGTTTTGGCTATTTAGATACTATTTTGCAAGTTAACAAAGGAACAAAGAGAATTGTACAAGAAATATTTAAATTCACGAGAGTTGCAAAAAGTTCTTCAAGGTTCAGTTAATATGCTTACGGCAGTCTCTGTGTTGAGAAAGATTTGCAATCATCCGGACTTGTATGATGAAAATGCACTTGAGGATGATCGTCGCTATGGTGAGTGGACTAGAGCAGGAAAACTTGTGTAAGTACTCTTTCCATTTTCATTTGCTTTATTTGAATAGGTTTTAGAGTACTTGATCAAGTCCTTCTTTCCTGGTCAAAGGACGATAGTCGTGTCTTAATCTTTTCTCAAAGCCGAGCCATGTTGGATATTTTGGAGATGTTTGCTAGACAAAGAAGGTACACATATTTACGAATGGATGGAGAAACAGCTATGCAAGAAAGAATGAAGTTGATTGATTCGTTTAATCAGGATGATGAAGTTTTTTTATTTTTATTAACTACCAAGGTAAGCTTATCATATAATGGATGATCATTTTATTCCTACAATGTGTGTTTCTAATTAGGTTGGAGGACTAGGAATCAATTTGACAGGTGCCAATCGAGTAGTTTTATATGATCCTGATTGGAATCCTAGTACTGATCTGCAAGCGAGAGAACGAGCATGGCGTATTGGACAGAAGAGAGATGTGATTATTTATCGTTTGGTAACTAGCGGAACCATTGAAGAGAAAATTTATCACCGACAGATTTTCAAACAGTTGTTAACCAACAAAGTTTTAAAAGATGCTCAACAAACGCGTTTTTTTCGTCCAAAAGATTTATTTGATCTTTTTACTTTGGGAGATGAATATGAGGATGGAACCGAAACGGGTGATTTATTCTCAGGTACGAGTGCAGTTGAGTGGACAGGGAGTAGATTTCAACGTTCTGAGAATGAAGAAGATTGTGCAGAAAGTGATAAAGACAATTGTATAGAGTCTACCAATGAAACTCGTTTATTGAAGGAATTATTGGATGGAAAGTCGTTGCATAGTGCTATGGATCACGATGCTGTGTTAGATGTGTTAGGAAATGGTACGGATCGCCAATTATTGGAAGAAGAGGCAATGAAAGTTGCAACAGATGCTTTAGAAAATCTTCGCAAGTCGAGAGTTGCTCGACAACAGTCATCCATATTTATGCCAACTTGGACAGGCAATGCTGGAGAAGCAGGAGCTTTGAGTGTTCCACGATTTGGAAGAGTGAAAGCAACAAGTGTAACTCCAAGTAGAAAAGAAAGCCTTGATAATGAAAAATATACAAATAGTTCTTCGGAAATTCTCCGCGATATACGGAAACAATCTTTGGGTGTTGTAGGTGGAGAACTCAAGTCACAAGGCAATCGACATGTGATGCTTATGGAAGAATTATGTCAATTCCTCAGACAACGTCAAGGAAAAGCAACTACGACAGAAATTGTTTCTACATTTCGTGAACAAATATCTTCCGATGCATTGTTAATATTCAAACAGTTGTTAAAACAAGTAGCAACGAAAACTTGTGAAGAAAGCGGTGCATTAGTATGGAGTTTGAAAGAAGAGTTTTACTGAGACAGTGTTTACTATTTTTTGAAATTGACAAAGTATTCGGTTGGTAATTGGAACCTCTTTTTTTGAAAGGAACAGGAAGATTATATAAAGAAAAGTATAAGTTTTTGAAAGGCACTTGAATTTCTTTCTCTTCCCATTCATCATTCTCGTGGGAGGAAAATCACTTCATATGTTATATCATCTTTGAAGTATTTCGAGTTTGACAAGATATATACAACTTACGGGAATTCATACTTTTCAAATCGAGTTTTTCTTAGCGTTTCTTGTATGGTCGAATACTTATGGGTAACCGTCACTCTTCCAATGGTAGAAACGATATTTTAAGATCCCAAAGACAGATAAACGAAAGAGACTTGACTAGTTATCGCAACCATATTCCAACACAAGAGAGTAACAGAGAAATAGAAACGACTTCAAGAGAACGAATGAGAACTGGAACAGCACAACTATTGGTGGAAGGACCGTTGAACACTTCCTCAAAGGTATTCTTTACAACGAACAAAACTTTATTATAACTCTGATTCAACTTTCTTAGATTCCAGTTTACTTTGAGAAAGCAAAACCAATTACTTTGAATTTGAGAAAAGAAACATTGAGGACAAAGCCACTTCCAGACGACCCCGGTTTGTTACTATTGGAATTCATCTTTGACGCTTCAGTGGCTGGATATATTACAGTATATTATTTTGCAAAACAAGTGTCAGCTCTTGACTTTACCCAATTTGAAGGAAAGTATGAGAAATATCCAGGGAAAACCTCCTTTCAACCAGGTAGTTATCAATTCTATCGGCAAAAGCCGGCAAAAGGGTTGAAAATACACAAGTCTTTGAAAGAAGAATTATTCTATGATGGAGGTACCTATTTTCCTCTAGTAATTGTTCTTGAGTCTCGACAAGAATCTTTCCATTCCTCACCAGTTACGTCCTCCTCTAAGCAAACTAGAAAAGGAAAAGCTTCAACAACAACCCATGCTACTGCCCAGTTAACTTTTGGCACATTTGTGAGGAACCCTGACAACTCGATTGGCGTGAAGTGTCTCAAACAGCAAATAGTTATTAACGGAGACTTGTATCAACTTGAAGACATATTTGGTTTGGAAGAAGATAGTTCAAAGTCCAATCAACTTTGTTTAATCTGTATGTTGGATTCCATCGACACGTTATTATTGCCTTGTAGACACCTCTGTCTGTGTATTGAATGTGCAGAAAGAATACGAGTTAGGTCCTCTTGCTGTCCCTTATGTAGGCATCCCATAGCGCAAATACTTCAAATTCATAGTCGGTATCTTAACAAAGAGTAGAAATGGAAACTTGCAATCTCTAAGAAGAAGAGGACTGAGCTCCCCTTCCACTCCAGTTGATCCAAGGGACATGAGCCATCTAAAATGTTTTGTGTTAGCTTTGGGCCATTTGATTTCTCTTCAGTTTCCAACTTATAAGAGACGGGTTTTCTTCCTTTGCTTTTGTGAAATTGTGAGTTTGGATTGTTAGATACCAAAACATGGCAAATGTCGCACACCATGGAGTTATTGAGATGGAAGATGGGCCTCACCATATTGAAAGAGAGAGAAGTATCTTTCTCATGGTATCTCCCGTCCATAAGACTAAACTCAAGTCTGAAATAAAGAAGCTGATTCCCTGTCTTATTGCTGAGTTTCTTGCTAATTGGTTTATTTTGGCTACAGCTACAGCAATAACTTCAATGATGTTGTATTACAAACCAAGTCCATTTGAAAGAGCATTCAATGGTTTGGCCTTTCCTTGGGGTATGAGCTTTACTTTTTGCATTTATGCCATTGGTGGTGTCAGCGGTGCTCATTTGAACTTTTCAGTAACGGTTTCTTTTGCGGCTTTTAGAGGATTTGAATGGTGGAAGACACTTCCTTATTTCTTTGCTCAAGTCTTGGGTGGAACTTGTGGGACCTTGAATATGTGGCTTACTTATTACCCACTGGGTTATGCTTTAGCCAATGGAAAACCTCTCGATCAATCTCCTGAAATGGCTGCAGCTTTCTTCAATAATGCTAATCAAGAATATTACACAACCATTCACAGCTTTGCCATTCAATTATATTATACTGCTTTTCTTGTATTTATGATATTTGCATTTACTGATCCCTACAATCCTATGGCACCAGGGGCAAGTATGTTTCCATTATTGATTGGTTTGTTGGTAATGGAACTGGGAGATTCTCTTGGAGATATTGGTCAATTTACTATCAATCCTTCACGTGATTTAGGGGCGAGAATTGCTGGTGCTATGATAGGTTTTGGTCATTTGGCTTTGCCTGGTGTTGGTGGTATGTTGTGGGCTAATCAATGTGGGTCAGTCATTGGAGGCGTCGTTGGGGGTCTTATTTATGAGTCTTTGGTTCGTCCATTCTTTCCAACTGTAGAAGAACTTGGACCGACCATTCATATGAAGAGAATGGAATACATATGGAATTTCTTGCGAGGTAGAAAGAATGTCCAGTTACAGGACTCTTCCATTTCTCATCAAATAGAAGGAAATGATACGAGTGGGACTGCGGATAATACCAAACATGTCATTAAGGAAGAGGAAAAATTTTCTTAACGATTGTGAGCAATAAAACTTTGTCTCATTGGCAACTTACTGTTTTTGTATCCTTTGACAGTTTGGAAATGCATCTTCGTAAGATTTGCCTCGATGATCACTCAAGGATTCCTCAACTTGTCCTTGAATAAGGTTGAGAGTTGCTTTAAGAGGAAGTACATATCTTTGGAAAAGTTGCCATTAAAACACAACACAACTTTGCAGTTTCTACCTCTTACAAAAAAACGAAAGTTTGAGTTTTTCAAAGGATATGAAAGACGATTTTCTGTTGCGCCAACTGTCGTGACTTGTAGTGGAAGATTGCACGATTATCAGAGACCTTTGTCAGAAAATCGCAAGTGGACTTTTGGAGAAGAACATTCGGAGGTCCAAGACCCGTCTACAACAAAGGGCACTAGAAGTAAGTTTGAAATCTTTGCAGTGGGATTGGCTGCGGTATTGCTTCTGAGTTATTTATGTTTGATTCGGGGAAATGGAAACTTTTCTATTATGGATGCAACTGAACCCAAGTTTGCTGTAACGGCGAGGGAAATGTTGCAACGTGGTGACTGGTTGACACCTCAGTGGAATAATCGTTTGAGATTTGATAAACCTCCTTTAACATATTGGCTTATGGCAATTTCCTACCGACTATTTGGTTTAAGTGAGTTTTCTACCCGCCTTCCTACATGCTTGGCTGGTACTTTGATGGCCATGGCTATTTACCTTGCAGGTTGGAAGTTTTCTTTGCTTCCTTCGACACGTTGTCGTTTTATTACTGGTTTGGTTTCTTCCATAATTTTCTTGTGCAATTTATTTACAATTGGCTGGTCAAGAGCAGGTGTATCAGATATGCTTCTATGTTTTCATACGGGAGCAGCTTTGTTATGTTTCTTTACAGGATATTCTTTGATACCTAATATTGGAGATGAAACCTATTTAGAGAATCCACTCTTTCCTTGGAACAAGTTCAATACAATATTGGCCAAAATAGATCCTCAAAATACAAAAAGAATATGGATACGAACATCCAAATTGTTCTATTGGATGTTTTTTGTGTTTTGTGCTTTGGCAGTCTTGACAAAGGGACCTTTGGGTTTATTCTTACCTATTAGCATCATTTCGTTGTTCTTATGGACCACAGAAAACTTGAAACAAGTTGTCTTGTCGGAGATTCCTTGGATTCCTGGAATAATATCGGGTTCCTTTATATGCTTGCCATGGTACATTCTTATTATACAAAAACATGGTTGGAAGTTTATACAGTCCTTTTTTGGTTACCATAACATGAATCGGTTGACTTCAGCAGTGAACGGCCATACTGGACCATTTTATTATTATTTGCCTATTTCGTTGATAGGATTCTCGCCTTGGATATTTTTAATACCAGCAGCTATTGCCTTTTATCATCCTTTAGAAAAAGCATTATGGAAAAGACGGTCTCGTTATAGACAGTTTCCATTATTTTTGTGCATTTGGGTTCTCTTTGTTTATACTTTCTTTTCTTTGATACGTACTAAGCTACTGAGTTATGTCATTCCAGCAGTCCCTGCAGCATCTCTTCTTCTCGGTGTTTTCTTTGGTAGACTTCATTGCTTAAACGAGGAAACAGACTTTGCTATACCTCCTAAAACAACGTATTCTCATGAAAAGTCGATGAGTTGTGTATCTGACAATTTAGACAAGGCTCAAGAAATGACGGAGAATTCAAAACCAAGTTCAGAATGGTCACGGAATATTTTCGAAGAGCGTTCAAAATATATCTTTCAAGAAAACAAATTCTACATGAAATTGTTTGCTACTTTAACGACACTATGGATGTTCATTTGTTCTGCTTTCGCGTTCTCGGTTGTGCAATTTGTAGAAAGAGCAACAGGAGATCCAGTGGTTTTGTCTCTTTGCATACAAAAGCTTCGATCTCAAATGTTCTCGTGGCGTGGAGGAATTCCTTGGTTACTAGCTGGTTTGTTTTCTTTTATTCAACTCACTTCGAAAAAGGAAGGAACTCGATATATTCGTCGAATGCGATGGTTATTTGTACCATTATCAATGGGTTTTCTCAGTTTTCTTTTACTTTTCGTCCAACCCGCTATCAAAATATGGGATTCTGCTTGGCAACAACCACTCAAGGAACTATCCCAAATTGCTGGCACTGTGTCGACCAACCAAAAAGAACTTTATATGCTGGCATATGGGCAGTGTGACGGTGACATGGAAGGACAACCTTCCGTAGTCTGGTATAGCCAACGCAACTGGAAGTCGCACGAGGATCCAAAACAATTCCTAGCCAATTTGGCACAGGAGAATGACCCAAATATTATTGCTCTTGTAGAACATCGCCTGTGGAAGAAAATACCCTTAGAAGGAACACTATCAAACGACATTGAAACTATTGCTGAACGTGGGGGTTTCAGTCTAGTCCGTCTTTCACCGGAAGTTGCAAAGACCATTCTTAGTCTATGGGGAAGTCAGTAAAGGTTTTGTAAACTGCCCAAAGCTTTCAAAGTTTCTTGTTCCAAACTGAGTCTATCCTTGGAGGGTTTCCTGTGCTTCCAAAGTGCCAACCACTTGTCTTTGGAGTTTTTCTTTCTGGGGAGTTGTTTCTTCTTCACTGGGGTTGTTTTTTTGGTAGGTTTTAGGTTCTTCATATGCTGCTGCAACTGTTTTTCGAATAATCCGTTAAGTTGTTTTGTTGAAGTCTTCTTCACCATGAAATTCGTGAGTTTCCTAATGAATCAATCGATTGTCAACGCAATGCGTAAACAAATGTCGAAGATCCCTTTTCAAAAGAGAGCAAGATAGCTTAAAGGATGGATTCGTACATTGTTTAGAAGTGTTTGGTTGAGACAGAGAGAGATAAAACCAAATTGCATCTCAAGACGAAAAGTTCACAATACGGAAGACACAAACATATTTAACAGACTTATCAAGCAACACTCAATACTTCTACACAAACCCACTCAAACTATCACGAAACTAACTCATCATATAAGGAGGTGGCATATTTGACCAACAAGGTGGTTGGTATGGAGGTCGATAATATGGACAAGGATACTGTGGAACTTGCTGTTCGACTGTGACATTCAAGCGAATGTTCAGCAGTTCCTTCAGAATATCCTCAACGTCCACTGTCACATTCATTTCATGACACATAGTCTGGATTTCATTCAACACATTCTCCTCAAACTGGGAAAGTTCGCTTTCAACTGAAGAAAAGTTAGAATCCAGATAAGCATTCACAGTATTGAGTTCCTGTTCAATGTTGACTGTATTCTGCCATATTTGAACGATTTTCATATACTCCTCTGTGAACTCTTTTTGCATGGTGGTAATAACTGTTTGCAAGTTTGTCTCAATCTCCGAAAAGTTGTTACTTATATACACGTTCTCGTCTACAATATCAGCTTTGATCTTCAGAGTGTTATTCCATATTTCAACAAGCTTGGCATATTCCTCCATAAACTCGTTCTGCATATTATTGATAATGGTCTTCAGTGTCGTCTCGATTTCGGAGAAATTTGTACTCATATACATATTCATAACGCTCAGGTCATTTTCTATGGTCACAGTATTGTCCAATATTTCTGTAAGTTTCAGAAGCTCCTCGTTAGAATCTTCTCTTACATCCAAAATAATGGTCTCCAAATTGGCTTCAACCAAGGAGAAGTTGCTACTCATATACATATCCATGTTGCTGAGGACGTCTTCAATGTTTTCAGTGTTCTCCCATATTTCAAGCAGCTTTGCTTTCTCGTAGCTAAATTCTTGTTGCACAGTTGAAATAATGGTCTTCAAGTCTGTCTCTACTTCGGAAAAGTTGGTATCCATATAGCTTAGAATGACTTCGACATCGTTCTCGGTGTTCTTTGTGATGCTCACCACATTCGAAAGTTCATTATCGATCGAAACGAGTTTCGTTCTCAAAACTGATATATCGTTTTCAATGGTAGCAGAATCACTTTCCAAGCTCGAAAAATTGCTATAAACTAAACTAAAGTTGCTCTTGATATCCTCCGACAATTCGTGAATCTTCGATATCATCTCTTCCAAGTCAATCTTCCTAATTTCTTTACTAATAGTGGAAAGATTACTTAAAATCTCATTTTCAGTGGAATCAAGACTATTAAAGTCCTTTTTGAGATCAGCAGAAAGAGTTTTTAGTGCTTTGGTGATATTATCCAGGATAACTCTCTCAATCGCCGTTTCTGCGCTGACAATATCTCCAGAAAGATCTTCCACGACTGTGACACCTGTATAGCTACATAGGGAAGAAGCATAGCCAGATTCAATTTTGAAAAGGGAAGCGCATGTAGTATTGGTGCATTCCCCACAGTCTAAGCCCGTATAAATACCCACTACCTCATATTCTAGAAATGTGTTATCATTTGAAAGACAGAAACAAAGTCTGTCGTTAGCAGAGACATGATAACAAGCATAGATACTGAAGATAAACAAGGCAAGTAAAAGGGAACGCTGTTTCATTCCACCCAAAGAATCACAAACTAACAATGAAAGGACTGTAGCTTCAGCTATAAATATCCCTGGGGGTTCGCAACCTTGTGCATTAGCTAATCGTATCACATCCACGAAATACGTTTGCAGAATCTCTCCTCCTTTTCTCGTCGAATGGACTTCATCCGTCCATCATTTATTCCACATTTGCAATTTACAATTGGCTTTGGAAGGAATGCAGTAGAGTTTGGAGCCAAAATGATAGGTGCAATCAATCAAAATTCACCTAGAACCAACTTAAATTTGTGCTACTCTTTTAGGAATGTTAGAATAGCTTCTAAGAGGGGAGTCTGCCTGCTAAACTCTCGAACGTTTGTTTTGAGTTTCCATTTTTTCAACTTGTCATTTCTATATGTATAAAAAGATTGATATGGTATATTTCCATACATATTCCAAAAAAGAGTTAAATGCAAATACATTTTTATTTCGTGGTATTTTTCCGTTCATCAACTCTTTCAGGAGAAATATCATGAACAAGAATATCGCAGACGCAGAGTATCTTGACTTGGAAGGTAGGCTAATTTTATCATATACACAGTAGCTCAGTCAAACTGTCTATAAGCTGCTATATTTGAGGTAATAGAGATAGTTTTGTCTTGATTCGGTGGTTGTCGTGAACGTAAGATAGACTAATATTTCTACTGAAACAAGTTTCAGTCATCAGATGTAATGTGATTTGTTGAAATAGGTTGTTAGACATTGAGTCTGTTTCATATATCGGGGTCCATTTACATTTTGTTTTGACATTGGTTGACTATAATCTGGTCTGAATTTATTGAAGAGTACTTGCAGAGTACAGGCCTTTGTATGAAAACTAATTGCTTGTATTCCATTAAGAAAACCACATATGAAAGCATGTTGAATGCAATAGAATGAATGCGACATACCATCTCGAACATATCACGGTGCTTGAAATGAATCGCAAAGGGACGTGCTGAACCTCTTGAAATCGGTTATCAGCATTTTGGGTGAGTGAGAAAAATTGCTTTGGTCACGTATTTGCGACGTGCGTGATGCCTCAGCTTTGTGTGAAACGCTGAAAAAGTTGCAACCAGAAGACAATAATCATAGTGAGACGGTAATATATGGGTGGTGGTAGGTATTTTCAAGAAGTGGTTGCTAGTCTTTCTTCCACGAAAGACACTGAAGGAGATAGGAACTCTGAGGGAACGAGAACTGCGGGCAGTGTTAGGAACCACGTTCAAACCTTAATGGAGGAACAAACACCAAACGAAGAAGACGCAAACGTCGTTACTTTGTTACCAGCAGTTGCTATGGAAACATTGAGTGACCCGAAACTTCAAACAGTTTCCAAAATGTCTGAAGAACGTTCTACTGGAGACCCCCATAGTACGGTTCAGCCTGCCGCAGAGGAAAGAAGCAAGTTGCTTCCTAAGAAGAGAAGTAGAAGACCACCGGTGCCACTTGGACAGGTTAAGTACCCAACAAGGGAAGTTTTGAAGTACGAAGTAGTTGTTGTGGGAATTAGAGGCACTATTTGCAAGCAGGATGTGGACCAACATTCGAATAACGAGGTCTTGTTTGAGGATGTAAGACTAGCTTGGAGTGCATGGAAAGCAGTTGGTGTGCAAGTTGCCCTTGTCACTAACAGTATATCTTTTGTGCAAGCAAAGAATATCTTGGGAGAGGAGTTATTCTCTTACATAGTACAATATTTCGACGAAGAGACGATTGGTCCTTTGGATCTCCCTGATACATATATTGCAATGGCGAAAAAGTTACAAACGTCGCCTAACAAGATTTTATTCGCTGGTAGCGTTTATGAACATGTGGCTGCTGCATCGGAAGCTGGTTTGCAAGTTGCTATAGTTGTTCGGTACGACAATCCACCTCTTCCACGAGATGTTCGTTACAAGATGTGTACAAAGCTGACACACTTAATACCAGCTTCTTTGCTCATAGACAAGACTGGTTATGTGTCTTCAGAGGGAAGTACAACTTCTTGCTAATAAAGGTAACCTTCTTTATCAAATCTTATGAAATTTCCGTCATAATCATGTAGTTGTTTTTGACCTTTCAATCAAGTCGTTGCCTATTATAACTTCTGTGCCTGATAGACCAACAGATAGAAAGAGAGTTATACTTGGGTTTCCTCTTTTGAAAGTTTGTGAGGAACCTACAACTTCACCTAAGTCATGTACCTGCACAGAAGAAGAGAATCCTTTTATGAAATGACTCGGTGAGTAAGCTTCTAACTGTTCTATTGAGTCGGTTGCAATATATTCACATTTCGTGACCAAGTCCTCTGGAAGCTCATGCTTATCCATGAATTTTGGACCCACGCTATTGATATGAACTTCTGGTGATAACCACTTGGTGTCAAACACAGGTAACGAACTATTCGTTGCGATAATCAAAATTTTTACATTCTGTACACAATCCTTTGCACAGTCAACAGCCACTATATCGCAAAGTCTTCGAAACTTCTGAACAAAAGCACTACGATGACCAGGATTCGGACTAAAGACTTTGACTTTGGAAATATCTCTTACTGCTATACAAGCTCTCAACTGTGTTTCTGCCTGCACACTTGAACCTAAAACTCCGACTTCACAAGGTACTTCTTTCGACATATGTTTGATGGCGACACCACCAATGGCACCTGTTCGCATAGCGCCCAATCTACTCCCCAATATAATTCCTTTTATTACACCAGTTTTGCCGTCGTATACCGTTGTTGCTTGAGTTTCTCCACAAGTAGGCGTTGGAAAAGTACTATAGACACGAAAGCCCATTACATCGACAGACCTATGGATAACGGCTCCACTGGTAAAGACAAGGTCGCCATTATTTGTTTCTAAACGAAAACGTGGAGGACAGACCAGACTTCCACAAGCTTTTGCACTGATTGCATTTTCAATAAGTTCTACTGCAGTACACATATCAAGAAGATTGTCAACTTCTTCATCGTCTAAAACAACCACGTCCCTACTGCAATGAACGATCATCCGTAATTCCCGCCAAACGTAGAAACTGAGTTGGTTCAAACAAGGAACAACTTCAGAAGCTACTCCGTTTTGCAAGTGTTTCGAAGCTGGAAAAGTAGTATCTCGTGCAGAAGATCTGAAGTTCATCCAAGGCTCTGCTTTTGCACTTATCGTCGGAACTACTAAAAGTCAGAGGTTCTGTGCAGAGGACTGTAGTAACAAGGTGGGAATGGAACGTAGAGAAGAGTCAGGGTGGAACGTTTATGTTAGACCACTGAAGGAGCGAAATGGCAAAAAACGTAAATGTATTCCTTCAAATGAGCACAGTGCTTCTGTTGTACCTAACGGGAAGCGTAGAAAGTGGAAAGCAGTTAAAGCAACAGTGGTAGATATGAAGTTTTTTGAATTGGACTGTTTTCCTTTTTCTGTCGGAGTTTTAACGTTAAGTTCGTCTAGTAGGAGTATAGAAAACTTATCGGCTCGCTTCGTGTCGCTGTGTGCAAATAGAGGACTGTGTCGAGTTTGTGGAAGCCAAGTGAACCAAAGCTTTTTATTATGTTTTTCTTGTTTCGACGTGTATCACTATTATTGTGCTCCCCACGTTGCTAAGGAAAATAACAGTGTTGCTATCAATCAAGAATATGATCACCCTTTGAACTTAAAATGGCTCTGTTCGTATTGCAAGCCTTGTGAACTGTGCTCTGAGCCTCTTTCGAAAGACTTTATCGAAACTTGCGCAAGTTGCGGCCTTTGTGTCCATCAAAGCTGTCGAGTAAAGGTAGTGAAAACCTCGAAGAGAGGCCTACAGTGTCTGCGTTGTGAAAAAATGTTTCTGGATCCTGTCGACTGTTCTTCATCTGTCGAGGACTTTGACGAGACTTCTTTGAAACATGCCTTTTGCGTTGTTTGTGCGAATGCTGTGACGGAAACTGCTGGTTTGTATTGCTCTTTATGCAATAGATACGTACATAAAAAGTGCGACCATTGTACATTTGAACTTTCAACATTGGCCGGTTTTTATCCTTACAATTGTCCTTCATGTCGACAGAAAAATACCGTTAACTTAGAGTTGGGAACTCTAAAGTTTTCATACCTTATGGAAGAGCCTCGACAGAATTCATTACAAGTTTCCGATAGGGGAAGGGAAGTGAACATTGTTTATAGAAATGCTGTTTGTCCATTCTTTACATATGTCATGGGTAGAAGAATATGTATTAGTCTTCACAAGTCCGTACTTTCCAAAATCCTCTTATTGGAAAACAGTACGGCTGAACAACTCTCATCTGAACGGTTACCAGTGATTATCAAACTTCGACTTGATGTCTTGAAACATATAGAACATCTAAAAAGTCGTATCTTAAAGGATGCCGAAGTTTTTGAAATGAACTGTTTGGACGAGAAGGCATCGAAGGGGTTGGTCTTGTCTGACGCCAAAGAATCTCCAGAACTATTTGGTCTAAAGAATTTATCATGTGAAGTTCCTACCTCAGTCATCCAAGAAATTGTGGAAAGAGATCAAGTGAATGGATTGCGTGGTACAACCTCCAATGTGTTTCAAACTATTCACTTGTCTTCTATGGAAGACTACCGATTTTGTGCTTTTTGCAAGTTGCAACAAACGTCATTGGGACGACTCTTACCCATTTTTGATGACTCGGCTCCCGAAAGGATTCGATGGGTTCATTCTCAATGCGCCTTATTTGCAGCTGAGACCTTTGAAGACAACACTGGAAATATTCATCGTGTTACAAATGCCTTGTCTCGCAGTCAACGGGCTCGCTGTTTCTCATGTAAACAACCTGGAGCAACAGTTGGTTGCTGTATGTCAAGATGTCAACGAAACTATCATCTTCCTTGTTCTATTCGTACTTCTGGAAAGTTCGTGAATGAGAAATTTTATTGTTCCGAGCATGCAAAGAAACTGAAAGCTTCAAGTGAAGCTATCAAGTCTTGTCCTGTTTCCGTTGAAGGCGACCCTCAAAGATGTTTATATATCCTACAAGAAAAACGTTCTTATCAATCGTTTGCTACATCAAAGGCGCAGTATGCTTATTTAAGAGTCGGCTCTTTCATGTTGATTTTCCCGGGATGTCTTTCAGCCGAGTATGCTTTCTTTTTTCACGACCAAGATATTCTATTTCCTCTTGGCTATATTTCCTGTAGATATTTCTGGAGTGTTGACCAACCTGAACGTGTAGAATTATATACTTTTCATATTTCCATGAACGAGAAGAGAAAGCCCTTGTTTGAAATATACTCGGCTACGCGAACAACTTCAAACTTCACTTGGCCAATACAAGGCTTGACTCCAGACGAAGCATGGAAACATTTGTTGTCTCGAAATCCAGCAATTGAATCTAAGTTGGATGGCAAGGCAGCATTTGGCTTATCTATTCCTGCTGTTCGATTCATACTAGAACATCTACCCGAGATAGATAAATGTAGAAATTATGTGCCACATTATGTAAAGCTTAGTTCAATAGATAATGATACGGAAATGGATTGGAATGATAGACTATCTACGTGCGCTAGATTAGAACCTTATCGAGGTTTTCGTATGAAAACCAAACCTGAAGTTGAAATCAAATCCGTCATTACTCAAAATGGACTTTGTTTGCCTTCTATGAACAAGAATGTTTTCAATGATGTCAGATTTTCAGACCAACAAATTCAAAACTATTCAACGAGTTATCGTCGAATGCGTCGAAGATGGCGTCAACGTTGCAAGGTAAAACAAAGCGGCATTCAAGGTTTGGGTTTATATACCTTGGAGAACTTGCCTGATGAAGAATTCGTGATTGAATATGCTGGTGAGCTTATCCGACCAGTCATTGCAGATATTCGAGAGAAATTCTATGATAGACGCAAGATTGGTTGCTACATGTTTCGACTGAATGATGATTTTATTGTAGATGCTACTATGAAAGGGAACTATGCCCGATTTATTAATCACTCCTGTGAACCCAATTGTCGTTCGAAAATAATTACTGTAGACGGTGACAAACAAGTTATTGGGATTTTTGCAAAGCGAAATATTGCTGCGGGGGAAGAACTTACGTACGATTATCAGTTTGAAGAATTTGGTGAAACTATTCCTTGCAACTGTGGCGCCCCTAATTGTCGCGGAAAAATGAATTAGAACTTTGTAAGCTTCCTACAGACATAGGGCTCATTTGAAATACTGTAAAACACACAATATTTTAATTTGGCTATATTTGAGCATCACAGCGGAATAATTCGTCTTTCCAAAAACAACAATTTCACTGAATAGCTTATATATTTATAAATATAGAAAGAATAGAAAAGTGAAGAATCTGTCATTTAGAAAAAGTAAATAAATTGTAGGAGGAATTGGCGCCAATCGACGATTCTAGACTCAGCCTTTGTATTGTGAAGTATTGTGTGAACTTGTAACTTTATTTTCTTGAAGATACCATGTCGCAATTTATGGTAACCATTTCTTACCCTTTCTAAAGTATTTAATATTCACCCTCGTTTACAGGCACCACAGATCCTTCTTTTAAAGGAAGGAACTGATACATCAGAAGGAAAGAGTCATCTCATTTCCAATATCAACGCATGTCAGGCTGTAGTTGATATTGTTAGAACTACGTTAGGTCCTAGAGGAATGGACAAACTTATTCAAGATGACAAGGGAAAAGTTACCGTTTCCAACGATGGAGCAACGATACTGAAACTTTTGGACGTTGTGCACCCCGCCGCCAAAATGCTAGCAGACATTGCCAAATCTCAAGATGCAGAAGTTGGAGACGGAACAACTTCAGTTGTCGTTTTTGCTGGAGAACTCCTGAAAAATAGCAAAGAGGTTCGTGCGACTTTAACTTTGTGTTGGAACAGTTTTTCTGATAACAAGTTAGTTTATCGAAGAAGGTGTCCATCCACAGATCATATCGAAAGCTTATCGAAAAGCATGCGAACTATCCTTGCAACACTTGAATCACCTGGCTATAGATATAGCTGGAAAGAGTCCAGAAGAGAAACAAACATTATTAGAAAGATGTGCACAAACATGTTTAAATTCTAAACTGATTGCAGGAAAGAAGGAAATGTTCGCCAAGATGGTTGTGGAAGCAGTCTCATCTTTGGATCCCGATATGGACATAGCGATGGTTGGCATTAAGAAAGTTCAAGGAGGGTCACTTTCTGACTCTCAGTTGGTGAAAGGAGTAGCTTTCAAGAAGACATTTTCATATGCAGGATTTGAACAACAACCAAAGAAATTTACCAATCCAAAGATAGTTGCATTGAACGTGGAGTTAGAACTGAAGTCCGAAAAGGAGAATGCAGAAGTTCGCATTGAGTCGACTCAGGATTATCAAGGAATTGTCGACGCAGAATGGAGTATAATTTATGATAAATTGGAAAAAATAGTTGCTACTGGCGCCAAGGTTGTACTAAGTAAGTTAGCCATTGGAGATTTAGCTACGCAGTATTTTGCAGACCGAGACATTTTTTGTGCTGGCAGAGTTCCAGAAGAAGATTTGAAACGCCTTATGAAAGCAACTGGTGCGAGTATGCAATCAACAGTGAATAAACTGACTGAAGATGTAATTGGCACTTGTGAAGTATTTGAGGAAAAGCAAGTTGGCAATGAACGTTACAATTTCTTTACTGGTTGTCCATATGTAAGAACTGATTCACTCGTCTAAAGAAAGATTTATGTATATTTAATATTTTCATAGGCCAAAACTGCAACTTTTATTATCAGAGGTGGCTCAGAACAGTTCATGGATGAAACAGAGCGTTCCTTACATGATGCTATCATGGTTGTCAAACGAACATTGAAACACTCGAAAGCCGTTCCAGGTGGTGGTGCTGTGGAAATGGAACTTTCAAAACTTCTTCGAGAATACGCTAGAACGATACATGGCAAGTCACAGTTGTTGATTTCCACTTTTGCAAAGTCGTTGGAAATTATTCCGCGAACCTTATGTGAGAACGCCGGGTTAGATGCAACCGATATTTTGAACAAACTTCGAGCGAAACATGCCAGCAATCTTTCCAGTGTAGGTATTGATTTGACGACAGGTGAAATCTGTGATACTTGGAAATCTATGGTTTGGGAACCTTCGCTTGTTAAGATGAATGTTTTATCGGCTGCTACTGAAGCGGCTTGTTTGATATTGCAGGTGGATGAAACCATTAAGAATGCACAAAGTAATCAAGGTAGTGATAGCTTTGGTGCAGGTGGATTACCTGGTGGCCGTAGAGGAGGCGGGGCAGGTGGAAGAGGTCGTGGAAGACCTTTTTAGATTCATATAAAATCACATTTGTTGCTTTTCATCTTTTACTAGTAAACTGCCGTTTTTCTGTTGAAATAATAACGTGGAAACTTGATAACGGTTTGTGACTGCACGACTTGTGAAGTTTCCGTTAAATGAATTTTTAATATCAACACCTTTGTAGCAGGTTCAGATGATGGTTGACTTGTCCTTCAGTGGCGATCAGCCGTTAAGAGATCAAAGTTTTTTTGCGAAAACTTGAGTTTCTTGTGCTTTTTGCGATTGCCCAAACACAGCCATTATTTCATATTGGCATGTCAATTTCAAAATGAAACGCACACGACAAGTCGCGGAAAGCTATAGCGACGATAGTTCTTCCGATTCAGATACTTTGGAACTGCGCCAGGTATGTTTATCGAATTGGAAAAGGTTACTTTTCAGGTGGACTGTCATAATTAGGCTCTACCTGTTTCAGAGGGAGATCTTGGTGACTTGAGCCTTCCTCCTTCTACTCCTGAGCAGTATTTACGGAGAGTTCGGTTAGTTTGTAAAGTGTCTTGTTTTTGACATAGTATTCAACTATCAATTTAGGCAAGAGGCTCGGTCTCTGCCTGATGTGGTGTATTGGCAAGAGTGGTGCAAGCAGAACGTTGATTCAACTGTAGTGGCATCTCAAAGTCCAAGGGAAAAAACAAACTGCTTTCCTCAAGAGTTCGAATTTCTCAATAATAAGGATTACTTGGCTCATTTCAAGCAAGTTCGGGACAGTATTGCTATGATAGAGAGCGATTCGAATATGGTCGAATTACCGGAAGCCAGTGATGTGAAAGCTTGGGAATCACTTTGTTGGTCATATGATGGAAACAGACCGGAGCTATATTCTATTGATAGACTACCTTTGAATGAATTGAGTTGTCTGGATCATGTAAGTAGTCACTCTATGATTCTTCGCCATGTAATGTTGGATATAGCTGCGTTGTATTTCCCTAGTTCGTTTGTTTGAAAGTTGGTTTCGTAAAGATTCTTTTAAGAGTTCAGAGTCGTTCAAGGTAGTTGCTTTATCATTTCTAACAGCTTGTTCCAAATATGAATAATGGATAATATAAGGTGGAAGAAGAACTTTCGAGACTCGCTTGGCTATTTGGTATTCTTGCAGCGATAGGACCGTAAGTTTCCATGTAGATGCTTAGTTTCTTTCGTGAAGTATTGCATAGGCCATTAGATGGAGATACTGAAGCATCTATTCGTTCCATTCTAAGGCATCTTATCGTGAGAAAGCGGGGATATGAAAGTATGGAACAAACTGACAGTAACTTGATCAACATAGTGCGTACGTTGATTTCTGTTGTTTGTAACGAGTTTCATCAAGGGTATGGAATAATAGAATAGCTTCAGGAAACCTTTTTATAGGTTGGCAACTTGGAACAAAAAATAGGCTATCAAGACATTCATTTTTGCAAAGATAATACTCAAAAGAGAACATATACGTCTTAGTCTTCATGATATTCAAAAGGAGCCGGAGGCTGAGGTTCTTCTGACATTGGCTCTTGAGTGGGATTGCTTTCTGCCATATCGTCTTCTTGAACCACTGGGTAACCATACAGTTGATAACTAACAAATTCAACTTCAGAATGAGAGTCTTTAGGCTGCACAAGAAGGAAACCTGGATGTGCTATTGTAGTCAAACCTTTGAATGGCGAATTTGTTGGAATCCTAACGTAAGGAATTTGCTGAGGCAAAACTCGAGAGGGATTTTCCATTCTGTAACTAGTAGGTTCTTGGTATTGTTCCACTTTCAATTTACTCGAATCTTTTGCTTGCTCCTTACTTCTTTTCGTTTCCTCAGAGTCCAATTCCATGGGTGCTGTTGTTCCTGCATTTACTTTGGATTCCGTAGAAGTGGTTTTCTTCGTACGATCTCTGCGTCTTTGATGTGTAGAAACACTTAAAACTGCGCTTACGACAGGTTCTTCTTCCTTCTTTTGCTCTTGACCAGTTGCTTTCACATAGTCAAACATGGATGGCTTGGCTTCGCATAGAAATTCCATCTTGGGTAGTTTCAAGTCCTTGGTCAACGCTATAAGTGCTGCAGGACGAAAGCTTAAACTCAAAAAATGAGCAGCAGGATACCAGTGCCAGAATTGGCAGAACATGGTCATTCCCAGAATAGCTCTGCTTCTAAGATAACCTGACTGAGAAATAAACTCTATCGTGCAGTTTTTTCCTCCTGCATTTATTATGCCTGTTGCAAGTACCGCTCCAAATTTTGAAAGAATTTCTTCATGTTTATCGGAGATTGTGCGATCAAATAATCTTCTTATATCTGCAACTTTTGAATTCATCCCTTCTGACTGTTGCATCAAAACCATACTGAGTGCAATCAAGGCTGCCTGGCGAACAAAATCCACTGTATCTATAGAAAGATGCTCAAGAATTTCTATCGCATTGTGTGAACCAGTGCAAGCACATGCAATTCCAATGGCCATTGCAGCTCCTTTTAAAATGTGTTGAGTATAACAAGCATAGATGAAAATTCAATACTTACCATAACGCACGTGAGCGTGATAACTCTCCGATAATAATTTGACAATTTTCGGTACTTGTAGAGGTTGACGAATCAGGACAAACCCTAAAGATATAACTGCAGCTCGACGAACATCTTCATTTACATCTGAAACAGCTACATGAAGAAGTCTTCTGGTTGCTTTGTTCTCTCCTGTTCCACAATAAGCCAATCCAATAGTAAACATTGCACTATATCGCAATATCGGATCCTTTTCGTCACATAACTGGTCAATGAGAGTATCTGCATCCTCTTCACGACCATACATGATCAATGAGATGCACACTGCAAGTGCTCGCGTTATCTTTTCATGTTGTGTGTCATGTGCATATGCTAACATTTCTTCAATAGCACGAGAAGAACCACTACCGGCAAGTATCAAACCTATAGCAAAAGCAGCTGCTTGTCCAGCTACAGCAGAATCAGAATAAAGAACACCTTTAAGCTCTTCATATAATTCGTCATTCTCATCTCCGGTAGCCATTCCCATACATGCCAATCCGATACCAAGACAAGCACCATGTTGAATAACTTCATTGTTACCTGCTGAACGCAAAGCAGATAACAAATAACTACGACTACTAAGCCCCTTAGCCGTAACTGGGATATACTGTTGCGAACTGGGTTCTGTCAACTCGAAGCTACTTGCTGAAGCAACAATCAAGCCAAGAGCATATAATGCACCTCCTTCAGCATAGGCACTTGTTGAACCGCCTTCATTAGAAAGATAAGGAGATAAAAGTGTCAGAGCCGATGACGCCTGACGTGTATGAATAAGACCCAAACAAGCAGTTGCTGAGAACTTGGCCCAATTGGTCGCGCGTGAAAGCCATTCAATATTTTCACGAAGGAATGCATCATTCTTCGTTCCTGCGTTCATAAAACCATTTGCCAATACCAATCCAGTGTGATTAACTGAACTTCTTGCGTCCAAAGATTGCTTCACCTTTTTTAAGACATTGTTCTCCGAATGATTTTTGGTGTACAGAAATTCCAAATATAAAGCTGACGGAACAGTGCCATTCAAAATAGAACGTATCGTTTGAAATAGCGAGTTATCACCAACCTTCTCGTCAGAAAACTGTAAAGAAAACTCCTCGTATAACTTTCTTGAAAAATGGGGAGAGTCACTGTCGAACAAGTCAAGAGCTATCTGAAGACACGAAAGGTGACACTGCTCATTCTCTTCCTTTAATAATCTGACTAAAATCTCTGCTACCCTTTTTGCATCTTCTAAAAAGCCAAGACATTTACAGATGGAAACATAATCTGGAGTCGGCTGTTTTTCATAAAGCTCTACAAGAGCATATAACACTTCTGTGCGGTAAGCCTTCGAGGCAACAAGTCCTTGAGAGCACCGAAAGCAATAATCAAGGATAAGAGGCACTCTTAGGGGATCCGTCTCCGTTGCTACTGCATCTTTTAACTTATCTAGCCTCCTACACTCAATTGCAATTCCCACGGCCTCAAAAGTTTCATTCTTCTTCAAGCAGTCGTCGAACACATCCTCCACAACCCGTTCTAATACAGGAAAGTTGGCTTCTTTCACAGTGGAAGAGGAAGCTTGGTTGCTTTCTACACTTGAATGAGTGAAGGATGGCAAGTGCTCCTTTTCTCTAGGGCCACTTCCCGACTTCAACTCCACGTACAAATCGATACAACGAGAACGAAGAGTTTGAGAAAACTCTGTTTCTTCCGTAACATCAAACTTGTCTCCAGCCATGAGCGCATACTCCAGTGCTTGATCGATATCTCCCAAATAAAACAGCACCTTTGCAGCAACGAGAGCCGCCAGTTCTGGTTCTGGGAACGAGGGTGATTCACTCAAAGCTTGTATTTTGGGAACATACGAAGAAATTTCTGGCCAAGAGTAATCGACAACTGAGTTTAAAACACGCAAGGCATGAACTTGCAATAAAGGCTCTGACTCACTCAACTCGTTGAGTGCTGAACTCGCAGAATTGACTACTAACACACTCATTGCTTTGGGCTAAACCAAAATTTCCAAAATTACAAATCTTTTCCGGCTCACTGTTGTTTATCAATCGTGCTTGAACAACTGTTTTTAGCTAGCTCAGTGTAAGTAACAAACTAACCATTGCCATCTGCTAAAGTAACATTAAAATTTGTGATGTTTTCATTCATAGAAAAAAAAAGATCGAGGAATTTGTTTTATTGAAATTGGTCCGAGCTGGTTGGAAGTTACTCTAGATCAGTTTTTACTAAACGTTTTAGTACCGTACCCATGTTTGACAGATTGAGGAAAAGAAAAGACAACTTAAGAGAAGAAAAAAGGACCATTTCTCGTGTGCAAAGGGAAACCGAAAGAGAAAGACAAAGACTTGAACGAGAGGAAAAGAAAATAAAGGAAGATATCGTTAAACTTTTCAAAAAGGTAACTATAGTTTGTAGTCTCAGTGTGAGGGTGTGTTCTAAGTTGTTTGAAGGGTCAAAAAGATGCTGTCAAAACTTTGTCCAAGTCACTTATGAATAATCGTCAACAGCAAGAGAGACTCTACAAACAGCGGTCCCAGTTGAGTGAAGTAAGCACTTCCATGGTTGTTGCAAAACAAACTGGGAAAATGGCGCAAAGTTTTGGTCAAGTTTCAAGTGTTTTATCCAAATATAACGACTCAGCAAGAGTTGGTGACTTTATGAAAACTATGAATGAATACGAAAAGCAAAATTATACCCTTTCTGCCAAACAAGAATATATGAGTGATGCTATCGACTCTGCGTTAGATGTAGACGTACAAGAAGAGAGCGAAGAAGTACTGAACGCTGTTCTTGATGAACTCAACCTTAACTATGCTTCTCGAATGGAAGCTGTACCCAAAGTGGTGCCAAAAGAGAGACAAAACGCTATGCTCTCAGAAAGGAAAGCTGTGGAAGAAGGAGATAATAATATAGAAGATAGGTTAGCTTCTTTGAGAACTCCTTGAAATGTACAGCCTTTTCAACTTTAAATTTTCAATTATTATTGAATTCTTATCGAAATTATATAAAAATGATATAGCTCAAAGTTACTGGCAGGTTAGAGCTCAATTTCGACTTGTTGAAAAGTTTATTTGTATCACATGAGGAGAAACAAGTAGTGTCACATATGTTATGTTTAAACAAAGCATTGTCTAGAAACTTTTCAAAGAACGATGTATAATTCCCAGACATTCATTTAGCTGCTGCTCTGTGATAATCAAAGGCGGTGCAAATCTTATATGCTCTTCGTGAGTAGGCTTTGCCAGAAGTCCATTTTCCATGAATCTCAGACATAACTCATGCGCAGTTTTTCCGCCTTTCGAATGAACTGTTATGGCATTCAACAAGCCTTTTCCTCTCACATCCGCTATACAAGCCATTCCTAATGATTGCAATGACTCTCTAAATAAACTTCCCATTTTGTAAGCATTTTCTACAAGTCCTTCATCCTTGATGACTGATAGTGCTGCAATAGCTACCTTGGCCGCAACAGGATTTCCACCATAAGTGGAACCATGCTCTCCAGGGTGGATGCATAACATTATTTCATCGCTAGCAAGAACTGCCGAGACAGGGTAAACCCCACCTGACAGTGCCTTTCCAAGAATGAGAATGTCTGGTTTCACATTTTCATAGTCACAGCACAAAAGTTTTCCCGTTCTTCCAATCCCAGTTTGAACCTCATCCGCGATAAGAAGAACATTCTTCTGTTTGCAAATGGAAGACGCAGCACGAAGATAGCCGTCATTTGGCACTATCACACCTGCCTCTCCTTGAATAGGTTCAACCATAAAAGCACAAACGTTTGGGTCTTCAGTGGCCTTTTCGAGGGCTGCTATATCGTTGTATGGAATCACTTCGAAGCCAGGCATGTAAGGGCCAAAATGATTTTTACAACTAGAGTCTGTTGAAGTTGAGACTGCTGCAAGTGTTCTTCCCCAGAAATTACCACTTGCAAAAATAACCTTTGAAACATCAGCAACTGATAGCTTATTCTGTTTACAGCCTATTTCTAATTACCTTTGCTCTTTGGTCTTGTATTCCTTTTACCTCATAAGCCCACTTTCGAGCCAATTTAATTGCCGTCTCTCCACCTTCCACGCCTGTATTCATTGGCAGTACTCTATCATAATGAAACATTCGGCAAATAAACTCTTCAAACTCTCCAAGTGCATCGTTGTAAAACGCTCTTGAGGTGAGAGCTAAACGCGATACTTGCTCCTTCAATGCTTCTACTATACGTGGGTGACAATGACCCTGATTCACAGCAGAATAGGCACTCAGAAAATCATAAAATCTCTTTCCCTCTACGTCCCAGACGTGAACGCCTTGTCCCTTTGAAAGCACAACTGGGAGTGGCTCATAGTTCAAAGCGCCATGCTTCTTTTCACGCTGAATGAAAGCTGTAGTTTTTGACTCTGCATAAGAAGCCACTTCTGTAACGCCTCTTTTCTGTGCACTTGTGGATAAGAGTCTCAAACCAGAAGCTAAAAACTTCTTTCCCAATGCCATTGTCAGAGATAGTTGACCAATTGTCTTCCTCTAGACACCAAGCTTTGAACAAATCTTTATTATAACATCTCAATATTTGCTTTCTGACTATGCTTTTTTTACATATGGAGTCCAGTCTTTTTATACTTTGAACTCTTCTGAAATTATCCATTCAGTATATCTCAACATTATTACTTGTTTTTGTCTACAAGATCCAACCAATAGTACATTTTGCGCTTCGTTGTGTTCCTCTTGAATGGAGGAGAGTGAAGAGATTCACGCTTTAAACCGTATCAAAAGGAAGATACGTGAAATAAAGGACTGGCCAAAGACAGGTGAGATCAGTAGTTTCAACATAGCTTACTTTGTTGAAAGCAGTTTGAAGGAGTTACTTTTCGAGACGTTTGTCCACTATTTGAGGACCCAAAAGCTTTCCACGACGCTATTGATCTTTTGCGTGACAGATATTCTTCGTATCAGTTTGACGTTGTTGCAGGTAAATCGCATATTTTGCTCTAAATATTTTTGGTGAAAAATAGACAAGGAGTGGAAGCAAGAGGTTTCGTTATAGGGGCAGCTTTAGCATATAGTTTAGGTAAAGGTTTTCTTCCTCTTCGAAAGGAAGGAAAACTGCCAGGACCAAACCTATCAAAAGCTTACCAACTCGAATATGGCTCCTCGACGCTGGAAGTGCAAAACTTTTGCCCAAGAAGGGGACTTCGTGTCGTTGTTGTCGATGATTTACTGGCTAAAGGAGGAACTTTAGAAGCTGCCTGTTTCCTGATTGGTAAGATTTAATTTTTTTTCAGAACATGAGTTGTTAACTTTTGAAGAATCTTGTGGAGGGACAGTGGTGGAGGCTTCGGTTTTAGTTGAACTATCAAGTCTGCGAGGCAAGGAAGTCTTAGAAGTGAGAGGTTGGAAAGTATTTTCACTTCTTAAATACGATGAAGCCTAGCAACTGTTATCGTTATGTTTTTGTATTTGTTAAACATATTTTGAATTTTTTCTGAAGACAGTATATCGTAGGCAAAGGGTATATTACAGGAAACTGCAAGTGAAGTATAAAAGGAGTAACATTGTAGTTAAGTTTCACTTGCTACTTACATGAATGAATGGAAAGCATCCAGCTTTATCAATAGTGGAGGGTTTCACACAAATTCTCAGTTGCTAAACACAAGACAGAAATTTCTAAAAAGAAATGGTGACAAAAAATCTCCAGGGTTCTAAAGAAATATCTGAATGCCTATCCATATCTGAGATGTAGTTCAAGCTAAACTGAGACTTTTGTATTATTTTTCATAATACATCTTAAAACATCGAACATTAGTCTTCGCTAGTTCACCATGATGTTAACTTGTTGCCTCTTCCACTTCAAAATTATCTTGAACATAATCAAAAATTGATGGGAATGGAGTTTGTAGGGAGTCCCTGTCTTTGGTGAATTTTCCCCAAAAATTCACGAGCACCGAATTAGAACTTGGACACGTGAACGTCCCTGGAAAATTTCTTTGGCTTATTTTGGCAACCGTGTGCGAAACTCTGTAGAATTCTAAACTGACTTGTCTGTTTTTACTCTCAAATAGGGTTGTTTCTTTATTTGCTTTGTATAGTGCTACTGAAGTATTCCCACCGAATGTATAAGACATTTAGTGAAACTGGTTCTTTCCTCTCTTGCAGAGTTGCCAGTATCTTTTGTTGTTTACTTGTATACTTTCTGGTGTTTGCGTGGGCAGATATTGAGTTGAGAATGCTGGACAAGAGTTCCGTGCTCTATATCAATAAGGAAAGAAAGCCAAGTTTCATTCGTAATAGGGACGGTAGTCAAGCACTTTCACTTCCTCTTCATCCACGTGTATCTACGAAAGTTGAAAATTTTATTTTTGACTCTCAAACTAGGTCGACAAAGTTTGACCTGAGAGATCTTTTTAGACAATTGAATACAAGTCCCACTTTAAAGAGTGCCGATATTGAGCTGGGTTCCAATGAAAGATATTTTGAAGAATATTTGCATGGAAGCTATACGGTAGCGTTTCTTATTTTGTTATATTGTAACGTAATTTATTTGATTGATACTAGTTTGGGGAGTATTATGTTGAGGTCGGTATAGGAGAGAATGCGACGGTGTATTTACAGTTAGATACTGGAAGCTCCAACTTGATAGTCAACACAAATAACTGTAGCGACTGCAATGACGCTCCTTCAATAACAGTCTCGTCGTTTTCGCAAGTATCTTGTTCTTCTAGTTCTTGTAGTAGTAATTTTTGTGCTCCATCTCCGTATACTCAGGCTTGTGGTTTCTATATTCAATATGGCAGTGGTTTAGCAGAAGGCGCTCTGTTAAAAGGTGACGTTGAAATTGCAAATATCACCGCTCAAGATATTGTTTTTGGTGGAATTCTAAAAGAGTCTAAAGGTACTTGAACTTTTTTTTGATAAAGTCTTTACTGCCTTTTTTACTCGAGTAGACTTCGAACCTACAAAAGTTAGCGGAATTTTGGGAATGGCGTATAACTCTTTGGCCTGTCAACCAACTTGTGTAAACACTTTATTTGATGAACTTTACGAACAAGAAATCATAAAGCATCGAATTTTCACTGTGCTGTTGAATCCTAGTAATGGTGTACTGGTACTTGGTGGTGCAGGAAACTTTGAAACCAATGAATCAAATGGAGTCCCCATTTTACAAGAAAAGTAAGTGACAAAACCTTTCTTTGAGCTTTATTATCTAATGTTGGTGAATCAGTGGTGAATACACGTACTATATAGTAGTAAGTAACCCAGTTTCCTCTCAAATCTTCCTCATAGTGATATTGTGCATTTAAAGGGTTTGAAGAGCATTAGTGTTGGTGCAGAAAAAGTTTGGAATTCATCTAGTGAAGAGAAAGCAATAGTTGATACTGGTACTACTCTTCTTTATGTAACAAGCGATATGTTTTCACAACTTGTTTCCTTTTTTGAATCTTACAGTTCGACAAACCGAGAATACTGGTCAAAACTAGTAAGTGATAGATATGCCTTTTTGTATTTAGCTTAGCATCTTCCTGGTAGAAATCGAATCCTTCAACGAATACTTACTTTCCCGAGAATTCTTCTTACATTTCTAGTCTTCCAAACATCAGCTTTTCTCTAAGCAATGATGTTACTTTAGAGGTTTCCTCTAGTCAATATATCTTGTGCAGTAACAAAGGATGTGCATTTGCAATCGGTGTAGGACCATCTTCGTTTCCCAATATAATTTTTGGCGATATGCTTTTGCAAAACTACTATGTAATATTTGATCAAGAGTCAAATGTGTTGGTATTTGGACCATCGGTTGCCGTCTCTTCCTTGAATTTGTCAAACATGCCAGGTGTGGGCGATATTAGCTTGTCAAGTGGCTCATCAGGTTCATCGACGATTCCTACATATGGCATAGTGCTCATAGTAGTCGCAGCAATAGCTGTCGCTGGTGTTGTTGGTATTGGAGTTGCACTTATAGTGAGAAGAAAAAGAAGACAACGTATTCTTGAATCCCCTCAATATGCAGCTGGCGTTTATGGAATGCGCATCTGACACTATGACACTTAAATATGTATTGAATATTCAATTTTTGTTGTTACAAATAAATCTTCTTGAGTGCAAAGACCATCCAACACGAAGAATTCTTATTTCGTCTTCTTTTGAAAGGATGTCAATGAACACAACGTTTGGAGACATTGTTATTATGAAAAGCAGTTTGTCATTTACTATAATAGTCTTTTGTAAAATAACTCATTATAATTCTTTATGCATCCCAAAAAGAGCATGAAAAGAAGGAAAAAGAAAATTCATTCCAAAAAATCAAATTTAGAAATGGCGGTAAACAACGAAAACTGGGATTGTATGCTTTTGCGAGTAAAAAGACTAAGCAAAGAGGCTGTGGTACCCCAGCGAGGTTCAAAACTCGCTGCAGGATATGACATTTGTTCATCAGAAGACTGTATTGTTCCAGCTCGAAGTCGATACTGTGTTAAAACTGACCTGGCAGTGGCGATACCTTCAGGTCACTACGGAAGAGTTGGTAAGCTATGAAGGACCATCCAGTTGTTCTATATTCGCTTCCTACAAAGCTCCTAGATCAGGATTAGCACTCAAGCACGGAATAGACGTTGGAGCAGGTGTTATAGATGAAGACTATCGTGGAAGTCTTGGAATCATTTTATTTAACCACTCTGATCAGGATTTTCACAGTAAGTTTGAGTTTGGACTGAAATTTTTCCGTGACTGTTGCTCTAGTATCAAAGGGAAACAGAATAGCTCAACTCATCTTGGAAAAAATATCGACACCTGAAGTTGTTGAAGTGAATAGTCTAGATAATACTGGTAGAGGTTCGAACGGGTTTGGCTCAACTGGTTGCTAAAGCTTGGAAATGCCGTAAACATTTATTTGCCCATTCCACAATAAAAGCAAATACTTGTTTCGATCGTCGTCTCCAATGGGTCCTAATAAGAAAAGTATTCAGAAAAAGACTAACAAGAAAGTAAAACCCAAAAAAGTTGCAAAAGGAGTTGCGAGGTTATCAACTCATAAAAACAACAAAGTGAAGGGAAAACGAGAAACCCCAAATGAACGTTCTGATAGAGCTGAACGTGCTAACAAAATTTTGAAAGTTACGGAATCGAAGAAGATATGGGAAAAGTTGAGGCTTCGAAAACTTGACCCGAAAGAACGACAAAACCAGATTGAGAAAATTCTTAATCTTTGGAAAGATAACTTGAAGAAAGCTTGTCTGCGTCCCGACACTTGTCGAGTTATTCAAAGTGTCGTTAAGTATGGGAGTGACCAACAGAAGTCATTTTTGGTCCGTGGCCTCGTTAAGGATGTTATAGAACTCTCAAAAGACCGTTATGGTCACTTTATTGTCCTTAAACTTTTTCGATACTGTTCTAATGAGCAGATTGGTGAGATTCTGGATTCTTTTCGTGGTCAACTAGTATCCCTATTGAAGAATAGATTTTCTTCGGATGTTGTTGATTTCTTTTTTCAAGCTGTGGCAAATGCTAAACAAAAGAAAATTTTAATGCGGGAACTGTATTGTGCGAACGAACGTCAGATTTTGACCAGTATGGGAGATTCATTGAAAGATGTTTTTTCTCTCAAGTCGTTTCTCGTTAAGATAGGCAGAGAATTTCATGAAACGATTTTCAGTTCAATTATAAGTTTATTGGATAGTTTTTCAAACAATGCTAAACTGATGCAATGTGCACTTGTGCATCACTTGGCAAAGGAATGTTTTGAAGAAGTGAACGGAAATACGCGGAAAGTACTTGCTTCTTCACTTATTTCACATGGCTCTGTGATGTTGCATACTCGTGAAGGTTCTCAAGTTGTCATAGAATGCATCAAACTGGCCGATGCTAAAGAAAAGAAGCAACTGTCGAAGAGTTTGAAAGCGGATATTGTAAAAGTTGGAGTAAACGAATGCGGACACAAAGTACTTTTGTCTCTAATTCATTTCACAGACGATACCGCAATGCTGGAAAGTGTGATATTTCGAGAGATTATTCGGAATGCGAAGAATCTGCTGACTGACAAATATGGCCGTTTACCTATTTTGCATTTACTTTGTCCATCCTCGCGACGATATTTTAATCCTTTAGCTTACTCATTTCTTAGTGATGACCTGAATGGAACTGAAGTGAAAAAAGACTTTGAAACAAGAAGACAGGAGCTTTTGAATCTGATTAGGTATCCTTTGGAAGATGCCTTGCAGAAGAATCTGCTATCGTTTGTTTGTAATAGTTTTGCATATGTGGTTGTATTGGAGTATGTATTATATATTTTTCGAAAGGGTGAGAATATTTCAAATTGGCTTGAAGCTATTGAGAATATCTATTGTTTGCAACTCGAAAACAAGATGCAAGAGAATAGTTCGACTGTGAAAAGTGATTCTTTGACTGTAGAAACAAGATTCCCTGCTCGTATTTTGCGCATTCTTTGTAAAACTCTAAATACTTCAGAGGTATATCAACACATATTGGAAAGAATTGGAAAGTACAAAGACATTGTACAAGATGTAGAAGAACGACGTCTAGCCTCAACTATTGATTCTTTCAACGAATTATCATGAATTGGTATATATTGAATATGTTGGCAAGTGTTGAGAATTCAGTTGCAGAGACCGAGATGATTTGAATGAGAAGAATGGCCCATCAGGAATCGCATAGGAATGGATGGTTAAAGAATTGTCAATAAAGATGACCGTCAACTTCTTTGGAAATAACTTGTTTCAACAGTTGTCACAGACTGTAGCAAATGGTTTTTATTTAGTTGGGTTATCGCTACAGAGGATAGGCTCATATATTGTCAACTTTGGAAACGACTGTATTTATGAGGAAACTTTGGTTCATTCCAGACCTCTCAACTTTGCTGCTTCTGTTTCAGGCCAAGTCATTTCCATACCCTGGTTACTAGTTGTTGTAGCCCTTTCAACTCTTTTCAATTGGGTTTCTCGAGTCGTTAGAGTCGTTTTCAAATTGCTATCAATTACTTTCAACGGAGAAAGCGCGGGTTTCCTCGGACTTTCTGCAACTCGAAAGATTCCTCCCAGGATAAATATTTCTGCTGGAGAAAAGATAGAAATGCCGAAATATTTGTTAGGAAAGAAAGGAATGGTGGTGGATACTGAACGAAAACTCATACACTGTTATGCTCCAGCGAGCGGTGCATTTCTTGGATCCGTTTCGATGATGGATGAAAAACAAGTCAACGATGCTGTGTTGAAGGCAAAAGAAGCTCAAGAAAAATGGAAAATGGTTTCTTTTAGTGAAAGAAGAAAAGTTTTACGGTGCCTAAAGAAATATATTGTGAAGTATCAAGATGATATCGTTTGGATGTCTTGTTTGGATACAGGGAAAACAAGAGTTGATGCAGTTCTTGGAGAAATCATAACTACACTTGAGAAGATTCGTTGGTTATGTGCAGAAGGTGAAGCAGTTTTATCTACAGAAAGGCGCTCTGTGGGTCCACTTACTTTACATAAAACTGCTCGAGTGGAATATCATCCCTTGGGAGTGATTGGAGCTATTGCACCTTGGAACTATCCCTTTCACAATATGTATAATCCGCTTCTTGCAGCTTTATTTTCTGGTAATGCTTTTGTAATTAAGCCTTCTGAATATAGTTGCTGGAGTTCTCTGTATTTTGCCAAAATTATCCGCAGTGTTTTGGACTTTTGTGGATATCCTTCGGATCTTGTTCAAATTTTATGTGGAGATAATAGCACAGGCGAAGCACTAACCCGTTGTCCGTTTGTTGGAAAAATATTTTTTACTGGTTCTACTAAAGTAGGAAGACTTGTGGCTAAGCAAGCAGCAGAACAGTTGAAACCTGTTGTTTTGGAGCTCGGAGGAAAGGATCCATTCATCATTCTACAAGATGCTGACCAGGAACAAGCAATCGAATTACTAATGAGAGGAGTATTTCAGAATTCAGGTCAAAACTGCGTCGGAGTTGAAAGAGTTTTTGTCCATCGTGACATTTTTGAACACTTTGAAAGCAGGATTGTGTCATTAGTCAGCAAATTGACAGTAGGAAACGATTTAGCTGACGAAAATGCTTGCGTGGATCTTGGTGCTATGACAATGGGTCCAATAGCTATTCAAAACATTCAGTCCCTTATTCAAGATGCGTTAGATCAAGGTGCACAGATCCTTCATGGAAGCTTATCGAAGCTGTCGGATAAAGATTCATACTTGATGAGTCCAATCGTTTTAACTCATGTTTCTAAAGATATGAGAATTATGCAAGAAGAAGTGTTTGGTCCAGTTATTGTTTTGATTTCCTTTGAGGATGACAGTGAGTTGGTCGAGTTGGTTAATCTTTGTCCCTTCGGTTTAGGCTCTTCGGTCTTTTCACGAGATTATAATCGTGCCAATCGAATCGCAGCCGAGTTACAATGTGGCATGTGTAATATTAATGACTTTGGTGTGAACTATCTTTGCCAGAGTTTGCCGTTTGGTGGTACTAAGGCTTCGGGTTCCGATCGCTTTTCGGGAGCTGAAGGTCTTCGAGGCTGTTGTTTAGTAAAAGCAGTTACTTGTGATCGTATTTCAGGAGTGCGAACCAGAATTCCGAAACCTTTGAGGTATCCCGTTAAGAAGAATGGATATCATTTTTCGAAATCCTTGGTCGAAGTTTTATATGAAGATAGTCAGCTTCAACGTATGCGAGCAGTATGGCAGTTGATAAGAACTGCTTTAAGTGGATAAGTAACCAAAGCCTAATAAGTAACAACATTCCTGAGAATATTTAGTCGACTTATTTCTATTATCCGTTTTCAAATCGACCGGTTTTTTATTCAACTTCATCCAAATAGTCTTTTACTTCCAAAGGAGACAATACCTTAAACTTCTGGTTGTCCGTTACTTGTCCAATTTCAATATTATGTTCCGTAATCTGTCCTTCAAATCCTTCCTTCAAAGTTAAGATTGCCGTATGTACGGCATCTTCGATCTCCATATCATCGCTATAGCGCTTTTCAAGAAATGTCTTTGCGTTAACCATATTCTTCCCTATCGCTGAAGCTTTCCACGCAAAAAAGGACCCACTAGGATCTACCTGATAAAGATGTGGTCCTTGTTCATCGTAACCTGCAATCAATAAGCTAACTCCGAAAGGTCTAACTCCTCCTGACTGTGTAAATTCTTGCATTACAAAAGCTGTTTCTCGAACAAGTTGAACAACAGGCATCGGTTCTTTATAGGTTTGGTAGTAAGTCTGCGCAAACTTTCGAGCCTTGCGCAACAAAACCCTTGAATCAGGGCCCATGCCAGAATAGACCATTCCTGTAGTGTCCGAAAGAAAAGCAATTTTTTCCAAAGTATGACTTTCCATAAGAATGGAAGGCATGCGTTTCTCAGTTGCGATCACAACTCCGTTTTTTGCTGAGTGAACGTGAATAGGGTTGAGCTTTACCCAAAGGCAAGATAATACATACCACGAATCCCCAGTGAAGTGGCACCTGCAGCAACTGCATTCAACGCATATTCTATTTGCACTAGCTTTCCACTAGGACTAAAAGTGGTGAGAGAAAATGAATAATCCGAGTCTCCCATAAAGTCTTTTTAATAATATGCTAAAATTACAGTTTGGACAAATTCTTTTGAATCATTCATTCATTCAATCGATATTTACATCATATGGAACAATAAGCCCATCTTTTAAGCCACATATTCAAAAGTATCTGCGGCATCATCCACTTTAACTATATAGTCCTTCTCAACCAGAGATTCCAAATTGAGCTTAATATCTGAAACAGCTGCCTTAAATCGATGACTCAGCAAGGAAACAGTTTCACCTATCAAAAATGATAAATTGGCTCGACGATAACGTTTCATGATACGGACAAGACACGCCTGAATCTACAAAAGGCTTAAACAAACTATCTAAAAGAATAATCAAGACCAAATACCTGTAACCGACGATCCTCTTCCATCTTCCTCCTACTATTCTCTACATCAGAGCTTTCCTTGTTCATCTCGGGTTCTAAGAGATTGGCAAGTTTCATCTTTCTTTTCCTTGGAGAGAATTCATCGTTCAAAGAAACTATAATATCATCTATTCTATTCGACTGGCTAGAATCTGCTATCAACTCATAGTCATTACTAGAGACACGCAAAATGCCACAGCCAATTAGAATCTTCAGCGATAGTTTCACTTCTTCAGTCTCCAAACCCGTAGCGTCATGCAATTCAGAAAATGTGCTTGTGATACGATCGTTATACTTTAGAAGAATAAGAGCTTGTGGAAAGGACACCTGCAATTCACACCAGGATTTTGAACTGGGTTTGTGCGACCATAGATTGGCTCGAAGATCAACTTTTGAAAGAGAATGAAGCCACATAAGTCTTCTACCTTCAAATTTTTCAGAGTAATATTCTGAGAATGCTTCAACAGCCTTAGAAAACATGCTTGGCAGCGAATGTATATCACTATAACTCATGCTGTATTCCTTACAGCTGTTCTTTGAGGTAGAAGGATCAATAGGCCAAGAACCAGCTGTCAATACCATAACAGAAAATTCAAAACCTAAAGGAATTCCTCCATATGGCGAAGAACGAAAAGAAATAACCTCTTCTCGACTTGTTTGACAATCAGTAAACATTCTTTGTAGCTGTGAAACATAGTCTTGGCCACATGTCTCTCTTAGGCGTGCTAACATCGCTTCCTCAGCATCTGTCGAAGCAGAAGTTCCCTAAAAATGAAATGAATATTCAACTTCAACGAATTTCACGGCTTACATAAATTAAACGTCTCGCTAACTTCACTGAATATAGGCGCTGAAACAGGTCCTTCTCTTCTAAAAGTCTGAAAAGACGAGTCACTTTGACCAATCTGTTTTCACGTTCTTCTTCTGTAAAGTCCAGATCACTTTCAGGCCGTTCTAACATCTACAAAACGTCAACCGAATTTCACAGCGAAGAGATGAAAACTTACTTTATGACAGAATCGAGCAAGTAAATGAGGAGCACAAGAAACGCTGTTAAAGAACTTGTTGCAGCCTTGTTCTAGAGCCAAAATAAAGCCTTCGTCATTCATAAAGGCTTCTTCTACAAGCTTCCTAGAATGTATATATATATTCCATGCGGCATTCACGAAGGACTCTGCTTCTTGTTCTGCAAATGCATCATATTCCATCATAGATTTCTCAAGACTACTCATATGTTCCTTGCAATCTTTTCCATTATCCTGCTTTCCTGATAATAGCGGCGACGTTGGCATCATATTGCTCTCTGTTCGTTCCTTAAAAGGCCCAAGACTTTCACTTCCCCAATCAATCAATATGGTTTTCAAACTGTCCTGAACAGGCTTTAATGCCCCAGGGACCCTTGAAAGTAGTCTATATACAAGTCGCAATTCTTCTTCTTGGCTATCTCTTAAATACATGTCGCTCAATGAGTAAAATATATCCAAATGTTTCACTATAAGAGCATCTTCACAACGGTTTCTTAAAAGAGCCATGGAAGAAGAATGACAGAATTGTTCTGACAACCGTTGTTCTTCATTTAAACAAATTTCGACTTGCCTTAAAAAGTCTTTTTCACTTGAAATCGAGAATGAGAAGATTTCATTTTCATCTTTGTCAAACTCACCTATAACTTGCCTTTAACTCGGTTCCTAGCTTATGATAATACCGCGAGGTTTCCTCTAGGAAAGGTTTCTCGAACTTGTTTCTATAAATAGACAATGCAAGGTCCTCCTCCTCTGAGTCCTCTTCTTGAACGATGGCTTCTACAGTACCCATACGTAGGAGACTGTGTACGACAGTTTGTACAACATGAACATCAAGCTTCTTTTGGCGCAGATAATAAACATACGAGAGTGTGTTTCTGACAATCCATTCCCTGAGATGTCGGAAAAGGTGGTCCTTCCAAGTTAAAACACCCAAAGTATATATGTCATACACCCCTCTAGTTTCAAGTATGCCTCCTTTTTTCCTTTCTGTTATCCAACTACGTTCCAAATATGAAAAAATAAATGTAGCTGCTTGTAAACCAGCACAGAAACTTTCCCAGAGCACAGTATATTTTCTAAGTTGCACGAAGTTATCATTCTCAAGCTCCAATAAGGTTGAGACATAACTCAAGTTTTCTTTGCTTTCTGTATACTTCTCTGTACTTTGCTCTCCAGGATAACTTTCTTTCCTTTGTTTTCTCAAACACTTATATGCTATATAAGACTCGCTATTCGTAAACTCTTGGAATATTTCCTTGGTATACTCCAGAAAAGTCTTCTTTAACCATTTGTACAGTTCCTCAGCTCTCGGTCTGTCAGGGTCACAACACAAAGCATAAACCAAGGAATGATATTTGGTAAGGTTCTCTGTTTGAACAAAGTGGTTTCCGTCCCGAAGGCAAGAAGTAGTCGCTTTTCTAAGTTCTTCAAAGCTACTCTTTTCAGTTCTTTTGTTTGCTCGCATTTGATCACAACATTAAACATCCATTTTTTATAAATTTCTCTGAGACTAGTCTTTAACTATTCACATCACTATAGTTTCTTTATAGAGAAAGCTTCCAAATGCATACAATCTTTTTGAGAGAAAAAGAATAAAATGTTTATTATCCTAACTGAGCTGACCATATTATTACAAGGGTCTTATCATTTCCAAAACTTTCGTTCCATATATAGCAAACCAAAATGTTTCAATATAAATATAACGATTTTACTGTAGTGTGTCAAATGTACGTTGTACGGCAAGTTTAGGAAGGATATGAATGTAAGGTTAGAACGTTTCACATCTCAAACGACAGATTTGCTCTTCGATGATGGTCTTCCACGTAATTTCGGTATTGGCTTCGAGTCGAGAAGCCATAAATTCCTTCCACGTACAGTCGATATAAATTTGTTTTTGGTAACTGACACAATACACAAGTCTTATCCGTCGCAGCTATGAAAGGTATATATAACCTTAAAGTAATAGCCAAGTCTAATATTGAGACTAGGAATATTCAAATGTTCTCTTATTCTATTGACAGTCGCTCTCCTGATGGTTACCAGCTCTGCTCTTCCTCCTATAGACGATAACTTGGCAAGAGAAATACGTAAAGCTCTGCAATGGAACAGAGATTTCCTCAGACAATTCTCTTCTGGATCGCCTTCAGCAACAGAGGCCCCGATCCCGACAGAAATACCGATTCCAACTGAAACTCCAGCTCCAACAACAACACCTATTCCTACAACTATATCAACTACTACCACTTCAGCTGTTCCAACATTAGTAGGAACTTCAAGTGACCCAATCGTGACGGAAATTCCGACAGCACCACCTTCCGGATTTCCTCTTCCCTCTGGTTCTGTTCGCAAAGCCTTTTCTAAAGCAGAAGAAGGAAGCCTGGTCAAGTTGTTACGACAGCTTTTAGCAACAGCAACTCCAGTAGCAACAGAAGCACCGTTGCCGACGGAAGCACCTGTTCCAACAGAAGCACCTGTTACAGTAATTCCAGAGGGTACTGCAGTACCTATTGGAACTCCTGTCGTTTCCTTAATTCCTTCGTCCAGATTAGCTTTGAGAAATTCTTTTCTCTCTGAACAGCTTGCCGCTCGCTTTCGCGAATTGGTTGGACCAGTCCAAATATAGAATCTAAAAGCAAGCGGGATCGGCTAAAATGCATAAGGTTTTGTAATATTTACATGTTTGTGTTGTAGCAACCAAAGCGTTGTGCTCTCAATAAATAAAGCAGCCGCATTTCATAGTTGAAGAGATTTGGATGTCTCAGGCCAAGAATTTTTGCTTTCAATGTCTTTGTAGTTACCGTGAGAAGGCAGAGACTTATTTTTTGAAAACATGTAAGAGAAAGTTCCATATCAGCAATAGTAACTGCTGCGGAAACTTCTATTCAGATAAAATACGTTCCTGGCCAACTCCAAAAGGAGTCACTTGGAGCCCACTATCTTCGCGTTTTCGAGTAAGAGGGTGGAGAAAGTTCGCTTCATCTGTTGGTGTCGTACGCCTATTGTCTCTTCTTCACGATACTTCTCAAACAGAAGGTCGAGATCAGAGTTCTTATAATAGTATCGAGACACCTCCCATTCAAGAAGTCCTTCAGCGACCCGTTCGAGTACGATTTGCTCCTTCTCCTACTGGTCAGTTACACGTAGGAGGAGCAAGAACAGCACTGTTTAACTGGCTACACGCAAGGAAGCATAGTGGCATATTTATGCTGAGAATAGAAGACACGGACCTGAGTCGCTCAACCAGGGAGAACGAAGAATCGTTACTGCGCGACCTTAGATGGTTGGGACTGGACTGGGATTATGGTCCAGAAGGAGTCACGAACAATAGTAATCTGGAAGAATTGAAAAAACTTGGGCCTCTGAGGCAGTCAGAAAGAGGATTCATTTATAAAAAGTACGTTGAAAAGCTGCACTCGGAAGGCTTTGTATATCCTTGCTTTTGTTCAGAAGAAGAATTGGAAAGACAAAGGATAGAGATGGAAGCAAGTGGTCAAACACCTAAGTACGCTGGAACATGTCGTCATTTAACTCCAACAGAGATTGAAAAGCAAATAGCAGCTGGAGTTCCTTATGTTTTTCGTTTCAAGGTACCCAAAGATACCAAAATAGTACTTCATGATATTGTTCGTGGTGATGTTGTTTGGGATGCGGAAGCTACTTTCGGTGATTTCATCGTCATGAGAAGTAATGGTGTACCAGTTTATAACTTTTGTGTAGCTATAGACGACGCCCTGATGGAAATTTCTACGGTGATCAGAGCAGAAGAACATTTGACAAATACCGTTCGTCAGATTCTCGTCTTGCACGCATTAGGTTTCCCGTTGCCAAGTTATGCTCATTGTTCACTTATACTTGGGGAGGATAGAACGAAGTTAAGTAAGAGACATGGGGCAACTTCCGTGAATCAGTTTCGATCAGAGGTAGAAATTATTGTTTCTGTGCTTATTTTAAGTTTCTAAACGCCGCTCAAAGGGATACCTTCCAGAAGCTTTGATAAACTATTTGGCTTTACTTGGTTGGCACGATGGAACGGAACAAGAGTTTTATTCTCGAGAAGAATTGACAAAATCTTTTAGTTTGTCAAGATTGTCAAAGGCTCCTGCCGTTTTTGATATCGAAAAGCTGCGCTGGATGAATGCGAGATATTTGCGTTCGTTACCTATTGAGAAATTGAGAACTGTAATAAGTGAACGTCTAAAATTAGCACACCTGTTGTATTCTCATGTGGATAGTTCTGATTCTTTGACTGAAATGATTGCTGAAGTGACTCGAGATAGCGTTGAGTTAACTTCAGATTATGAGTATCAGGTGACTAGAATATTTTCCTATCCACTTGAAGAAACTGTGCAGTCTGGTGAAGCTGCAGAATTATTGACAAAGGAAGGCGGTTTCTATGTAAGTGGAGTCCATTTAGTTTAGCACATTTTTGACTTCTTTTAGGAGTTGTCTGAAGTTATTGTTCGCTCCTTTAAAGATGGCACTTTTCCATGTGGTGAGAATGAGAATCATCGTGTCTTGTGGAAGGAGTGGATCAAGTGCGTTAGTAAAGTATGGAACTTTCATGAAAGAGTTTTTTCAGTCATTTGAAATTTTTGGGTTAGGAAACAAAACGTAAAGGAAAGCATTTGTTTCATCCAGTTCGTTTAGCTTTAACAGGAAAGATGAGTGGACCTGATGTTGGAGATGTAATACGAATTTTGTCACTAGCCAAAGGCAAAAGTGATAAGTTTGTGCCCTTAGAACAAAGGATAAGGATCCTAGAGAGTTTTCTTGCAAGAATGCAACAGTTGTAGTTTTCTGATCATCAAAAAGGAAATTTTCGAGAACTGGTAATCTTTCTCTGAAGAGCTTCATTATCGAATAGGTTGTGCAAATGAGAGCGATTATTCAACTCGGCAAATAAACTGTGAGGACTTTTGTCAAGCTTATTCCTACTAAAGAACACAACTTTAAGTTGGACTCCTTCCAATTCAAATATATCAAATGTAAGGAGTATTCTATAACCAGATTCACTCAAAAAATTTATTGGATAACATATCAAGTTAGACTATTGAGGTAGCTAGTTAATATCAACGTATACTAATCAACAGTCTCCAGAAAGTCGAGTTACTATAAGCGCCATTATTTATTCTGATGGATACACATTTTATATCAACTCTTTCAAAACAAGTTTCTTTGAAAAATCCAACTTCACTGTTCGAGTTGCATCGACACTACTGACGTTTTAGTACTGCATTGAAGATGCTGTCAGACGTTTACAGTTTTGCGAGAGAAATATTATGAAAACTTATTGGCTTTGTGAAAGCTACTACAGAAAGGACAAGGCCACCACTGCAAAATATATTTGTCAGACAAAAATCGATCTCCAACAACCTGCCCCACTGGTATGACAACTATACAGCGATTTCCACTTCGTTTTGAGTCTCAGGAATATAAGATGAAGTTAAACTACAGAAACGAAACTTCCCAAAAAATTTTTTAGAGAGCAAAAGTAAGGCATTGAAGAACGAATAGCTCAACAACGAATACAAGTAAAATAGTCTCTGAAACAGAAACCCCTTGAGTTGTCTGTTTACATACAATTTTCCAAAGTTGCAAATATTTTACAGGAAAGGCGACAAATACAACATATCTAACCATAGCCAAAGTCTGTCAGGAGGCAATACTTGTAGACAGTCATTCCTTCTGCAGAGTGGGAAAAGTAGTTTTGGAATTTTTCGTACATCGAAATGGAGGAGACAGATAGTGTGGAAGATAGTGTTTTTTCGAGTCACCTTACCAACAACGTCGAGGACTCTGCGAAAAGTTCACTAACAATGCGTTCAAGAAACAGACCTATTACAGGCTTCCACCGAGAGCCTCAATATTGTGGAGCAGTACACAGCGTAGGTTTTGCCGAAGAAGCAAATCATCGCTTTCGACCTACTATGGAAGTAGGCAACTATTTCAGCTTTCGTTCTAGTCTTATTTTCTGTAGGACGCCCATGTTGTTGTGGATGAGTTTGCTGGGAACAACAAGGATGCTTTCTTTGGAGTCTATGATGGACACGGGGGACGTGCAGCCGTTGAGGTCATAGAGATGATTTTGCACAAAGTATGTTGTCCGTATACCCCAACTTGCGTTGTTCTTATTGTTAATTAGTTTCTGGAAGAAGAATTAGAGAAGACAAAAGGTGCAGATCCAGCAGGTGCCTTGGCAAAAGCTTATTTAAGAGCCGACAAAATTCTCGAGGAAAAACATTTTCTTTATGTTGGCGCTACTGCAGTGACTTGTTATATCAAGTCTTATCCAGAGAGAAGGGTTCTTTTTTGTGCAAATGTAGGTGATTCTAGAGCTGTCTTGAGGTATTTGAGCACGTTTGACTCTTTGATATTGAGTTTTGACGATAACCAGTCGCAATGGCAAGGCAACGAGACTTTCATATGATCATAAAGCTTCGGATGCGTTGGAAGTGGATAGAATAACAAAGGATGGTGGTTTTATTATTATGAAGAGAGTGAATGGCGTACTTTCCGTTTCTCGGGCTCTAGGCGACCACGCTATGAAGTCGGTTGTCATAGGGGAGCCTCACGTAACCTCCGAAACTTTAACTGCAGACGATAAATTTCTTATTCTTGCATGTGATGGTTTATGGGACGTTGTAGAGGATCAGGAAGTTGTCAACTTTGTACAGCATTTGCACGTAAACGGCTTAGATGTCCAAAGTATTAGTGAACGTCTTGTACGACTTGCCCTTGACAGAGGAAGTACAGACAATATCTCAGTTATGGTGATAGATCTCTCCTAATCTTTTCTCTTCTCTTTGCTCGTCGACATTTGGCATACAGACTTCACTATTTTCAGTTTGTTTCTGTGCAAGGATTTGGAAGCCATTGGACTGTAAATAAAGGATTAGACGAAATGTGTTTATTCTTGGAAACAATCCTTTTCCTCTTTAAAAGAAGGCATCAGCTTGTACGTGAATGATAAGCTTTTTAAGACAAGCAATTCCAATCATTTCGAATAATACATTCACTACATGAGAATGGTTGGGTCGGGTATATCTGTGGTGACATTTTTATGAGGAAGTACACTGGCTCCATTGACATAAATTTCATCTGATACACTAACGTCTTCGCCAAGAACTGTGTTGTTCTCTATGCGAACCCATTCACCAATCGTACATTGCCAACCGATAATAGAATCGGAAATCCACGAATGAGACTTGACACGAGTTCCAGGAAGAAGAGTAGTTCTGATTAAGCGAACGCCATCTTCTACGATACAATCTCTTCCAATAACACAGTCGGGACCTAAACGGCAGTTCTGACCAATCTTTGCTGAAGGGTCTACTAAGACATTACCAATGAACTCAGGACCGTACATAATATTCTCAGGCTCTTTGTTACGTATGTTGGAGAGATAAAGACACATTCCAGTTAAGTAATCCTTTGGTTGTCCAATATCAGCCCAAAACGAATCCAGCTCCACTGCATACAGTAGGCCTTCTGCAGCCAGTTCGGGAAACACTTCCTTCTCTATGGAAGTAGCTCTCAATAGCAACTTTCGCAAAATGACAGGATGAAATAAATATGCTCCAGCATTTATTCTGTTGCCGACAAACTTCGGAGGCTTCTCAACAAAACGTTCAATCTTCCCATCTTTATCAAAAAGAACAACGCCATATTTGCTGGGCTCTTCAACCTGAGTAACTAGAATTGTGCCTATACCACCATGCTTACGATGGAAATCTAACATTTTCTGGAATGGATAGTCACAAATAATATCTGAGTTTAGAACAAAGAATGGTTCTCCATCGTTAAGCAACGACTCTGCCAGTTTGATAGGACCAGCTGTACCAAGAGGTTCAGTTTCTCGAGAACAAGTTATTTTGATTCCCAGCTTTATGGACTTAACACAACTTCTTGAAAGTGTGTCGTTTTCTTACCTTTTGTTGTTCCGACTCCAAAAAGTCTTGCATGGCCTGAGGCTGATAGCTTACTGCTAGAACAACTTCATTGACACCAACTGCTGCAAGAGCCTCAATCTGGTGAAAAACCATTGGTTTGTTGCAAAACTCTACCAAAGGCTTTGGATAGGAAAGAGTAAGGGGGCGAAGACGAGTGCCATAACCACCAACCAAAATAAGCGCCTTCATAATCCAAATTTCAAATTGAAAACATTTTTCTAGTCACAAATTGTTCTATTGATAATTCTAGCACTTCATGAAAAGGTTATTTCATTCAGTTGTGCTTGTTCTATTATTGTCTCTTCTTTATGAACACTACTTTCCTAATTATTGGAAAGTCCAAGTTACTTATCCTGAATGTATGCCTCTAAGAAAAAGAAATCTACCGCTTCTTGTTGTGGTTCCCTTCACAAAGTTTGATTGGAACTATCTTGAGAATAACTTGAGACTTTATGCTTCCTATCCTCCATGTTCTTGTAACTTCGATGGGACAGTAGACATTCTATTTTGGTTTCACAGGAACTGGACGGAATGGGATAGAAATGGGACAGCTAGCAACCTTCTGTTTGAGTCTGAGCCCCTACAATCTTGCTTTCGATCTATTTTGATAGATTCTGCCAACCTTGAGCCAAATGAAGATCTTTACTACTATTCATTTCTCAAACTTTCTCATATTTCTCCTGGAACATGCAACATGTTTTATCCCCTTTTCAAAAAGAATTTCATTCGAAACGGATATGATTATTTGTTTATCATGGAACCAGACGTTTCTCCTATTCGTCCCTTTTGGTTAGAAGCTGTATATAATGAGACAAAAGGAAAAGAATTCTACCACAAGGGTTCCATTGCTCAATATGCAAAGGTAAAAAAATTAATTCATTTGTCATTATGGCTAATCAACTCCAAAATAGCGAATCATTACTCAACACGATTATCATATCAATGGAAACGCCTTGTATCGTGTTGGCGACCCTTGTTTTGATAACATATTGGAAACTGCTCAAATGGAGTATAAAGATGCTCCTTTTGATGGAGCTTTACATGCTTTGAGAATGAACAAACGTTATCATTCGTGGATGAGATATTATAGTCATTTATTTGTATATTCCGACTTCATTCTGAATTTTGGAGACAACCCCTTTTCGGAGCAACTTGTTTTAAATAAGTGGCCAAACACATTTCTTGTGCATGGCAAACGTCGTTGGAATATTTCTTCCCAGTAACAATATGTCAGAGATGACAAATTTTCTACTTGCAGAAAATTTCAGATTTCTTCAATCTGTTAGCGTTGAAATTGAAGTCTCCTCGAAGTTTTTGCTACAATATCTGAAGACACTTTCTTTTGAAGGAAACTTGTATTTATAATATTCTGGCAACAGGTTGCAGTCTTTCAGTTCATGAAGAATTATAGGAACAAAATGCTGTTCTGTGGAATAAGTACAAAATTAAAATTGATAAATTGGATAAGTTATCAACTGGACAATGTTACCCGTTGCAATGTGCTGTTAGAAAAAGAAGAGTGTTTTGATACTTTATCAAAATGATATTCACAGTTCTATACAGTAATCATTCTCTAATAATTACGAAGGCAGAGCCATAAACTGTCGATACAATTGTGAAATTAGGGAGATTGTAATATGTCTGCGTTCGGCTCGTATTATTTCTTCATACTCAGTTTGGGAAAGACAAATACTTTGAAAAGGAAACGGGCCAAGTTATCGAGGAAAGCAGGATTCGATTGTTTTCCAGGCTTGTCTTGCTCAACTGAGAAGTTTGGTGCATTGGACCGTTCACTGGCTGCAGAGAGAGTCGAACAAGCGACTGAACTTATGAATCAAATCCTACAGGCTGACGGTTTTGGTGCAGATAACGTTGCCAAGGTGAATGAGGAATTTTATAAAGCTATCAATCGACGTGATTTTGAAACTCTTCAATCTTTATGGCTTTTTTCGGATCAAATAAGTTGTGCACACATATTGTGTGAGGACCTCGTCACTGGATATGATAGAGTGCTTGAATCTTGGTCTGCTTATTTACAGAGCATGACAACACAAGTGGAAGTTAAGAACGAAAGAATTTATATTCGTGGAACCGTTGCGTGGGTCACACATGAAGCCGTCGCTACTCCGAAAGACACAGACGTTCAGAGCGACTATCTTAGGGTTGACTTTCTGGCTACCAATATTTTACAGTGGACAAATAATTCTTGGCTTTTTGTACATCACCATGCGTCTCCACTATGAAATAGTTGTTTGAAAGGAGAGATTATTACTTACACCCTTCAGTTTCCAGGTCTTGTTGTTTCATTTGTAGAGCAGTAAGCAAATTAAGTTGCAAGTTTAATGTAGTTGTCAAAATTTATGTAAGAGCATCTCTACAGCATGAACGGGACTTGGTAAACATAGATACTTTTATTGTATACGATGATGTTCCAACCATAGTTTAAATTGTCATGTCGATTATGGAATAGAGATCTTTGTTTTGTGATATGTCTTCTTCCGATGCCGTGCCTTCTTCAAACGATGTTTTTGGGAAAGACTCAGACGAGGAGCCTGGTACTTCTGGTATTGAGGTGAGACAACTTTCAGTAGCGGAAGCAGAATACGAAATTGCAGGTGCCGAGGACGACGAGAGCTCTGACGAGGATAGTGAGAGAAACTTGAGGCGAGCGCTCCCTAGAATTCGACCTTCCTTACTAGAAGGAGAAGAAGAGCAGCCCTCGTTTTCTTTAGCGGTAGGTTTACTGGTTTTATACGAATATTTTGTATTACAACTGTCTGCAGGACGAAACCAACGCTGGCCCTGTTACTGCCTTCAACCTTGAAGAGGAGTTAGATGAAGGCTATGTTGACAAAGAAGGCAACTTTGTGGGTTTTTATTTTGAAAACAGAGTTCAGAACCTCGAGGGTGTAGGTTAGTTGCTTTTTTGGTTGTTTTGTTGTTTCCTATGAAAAATATTCTGTAGTTTCTTCTTCAGACGAGGAAGAAGAATCGAAGAGGGAAAAAAGGAAACCAATAAGACGTCCTAGAGTAGAGCGCGACGATTGGGCAGACGCCATCGAGGTTTTGAAGCCTACGTATGCAATGCAAGCGTCTAATTCAAAGGAAGAATTGAAGTCTTTGGAGGATTCGGATATGGTGGATGATGATTCCCCTGAGAGAACAAAAGAGTTATATGCAAAGCTGGCAAGGCTTTTACACTCAGGTGAAAGCATATTGCGAGCTTTGAAAAGATTAGCGGGAAGTAGAAAGGATGCGAGTGCTAAACGTGAGTTTAACGAAGTCACAGAACTCGCCGATTCTTTGCTGAATAGAGGCGAGTACAGCATTTATGAAGAAACGAGAGAGAGTTGCTTGGAGAAGGGAGGGCTAGGAGAGTTTGGTAATAGCTGTTCTTCTTCAAAGGAAACAAGAAAGAGGAAAAGAGATGGTGAACCTTTGAATGATTTACACACGTCGCCACGAGACCAGTCAAAACTGCATTGGGAACTCAAGTGGTCTCATGACCCTTCTAAAGTTTATGGACCGTTCTCTACAGAGCAGCTTAGGAATTGGCAGGCTTGGGGTTATTTTAATGAGGCAGAAGCGTTTGTAAGAGACACTGATGTCGACAGTTCATTTCATATTGCTTCATCGATTGATTTTTCCAAGTATGGAGAGTAAACTATTTAAAACTGATTATTTGCAATGATATTAGCTTAATGCATGTTGGACAATTGAATTATACCACAAGGCATTATTTTTCAAGAGTATTTTACAATTCTTGAAGGACAATCTTATTCATAGTCACAATATGTGTTGAAACTTTTGATCGAAATAATTTCTAAAGATATGTTCAGGTGCATAGTGCTGACAAACTTGAAACATAAGATGACCTGTATCGACATCCAGCTTCAAAGTTGCCAAGTGATCCGCACGCGTAGGACCATAATTGATAATGCAAATTGGCAATGATAACTCACTGGAGGCACGTTGCACTAAACCATAAGCTGAGAAAGTGGACAACGAAGAACCCAAAACGAGAATAGCATCCGACTGTTCGATAAACTGACGAGCTCTCAAAGCATTTTCCTTAGGAACATTACCACCAAAAAAGACCACATCCGGCTTTAGAATACTATTCCGACCACAGCGAAAACAAAAAGGAGGATAAAATGTATTCACAAGTTCCTCTGTGACTGCATAATCTCCATCAGGACGTTCAAAGATACTTCGTTCCTGCTGTTCCTCGGACTCAGGGTTCCACTCCATATTCAGTTCTCTCATTTGTAGTTGAATGACGTCTCTTCCAATTTTCAAACCACATTCTAAACACATAACTCTGTGAATATTGCCATGAAGCTCCACAATACGAGAATCATTCACACCACCTGCTGAAAGAAGTTCATCAACGTTTTGTGATATATTACCACTAAGCAGACCCAACTGGTCAAGAACAGCTAAAGATACGTGCGTCTTCCCTGGTTTTGCCTTTGAAAGACGTTCGTATCCAACATAAGAACGAGCCCAATATCTCCTTCTATATGCAGCACTCGAAACGAATTGGTCGTGAGTGATTGGTTTGTGAGGAGGACGCCCAGGAGAACGATAATCAGGGATACCACTTTCTGTACTAATTCCAGCTCCAGATATTACACAAACTTTACCATGACTTGCACGACGTTTGAAACTTTTCTCCAAAAATTGAAGAACTGCTAGTCTATCATACTTGTCTGGGCTCTTCAAACCACTAGGGTATACGGACTCCAAAATATCACCTTCTTTGGTAGAGTGACAACCAGTCGAATATGATTTTCTCAGAAAAGTTAACAAATTTCTCCAAGTTTCGTGATATTTGGCAATAAGCTTACGTCTGCACAATGTCTGTTGAAGACAATGTCCAACAAAGCACCAAATAATCATTTTTCAAGTTACAATTGCGAATTGTTATTCAGTTGATATGGTTGGTTTTGGTTTGCCTTTTCTCTTTTTGACTAGTTTATTTCTTTTCACTAGGCAAGAAGATACGATTCAAGAACCACTATATTTTCTCCAGAAGGGAGACTTTATCAGGTTGAGTATGCAATGGAAGCTATTAGTCACGCAGGAGCTGCCGTGGGTGTATTATCACAGGAAGGAGTGGTCCTTGCAGCAGAAAAGAAAATCATTTCCAAACTACTCGAAACGGCAAAGAGTACTGAAAAAATGTATGCAATAGATCAACACGTAGCTTGTGCAGTGGCTGTAAGGAATACTTTGGGAAAGTTTGAGAAATCTTAAGAAAGTTTTTCACATAGGGAATAACAGCAGATGCTAATATTTTGATAGGTCGTGCAAGAATCACAGCACAGAGATACTTCTATACATATCAAGAGCCTATTCCAGTTGAACAGTTGGTCCAAAGATTGTGTGACTTGAAACAAGGCTATACGCAGTTTGGAGGTTTGAGACCTTTTGGAGTGTCCTTTCTTTTTGCTGGTTGGGATCGCCACCACGGTAAGCTTTACGAGTAGTTCAATAATTATCAGGTTGATTGTATTAGGTTTTCAACTTTATCAGTCCGATCCAAGTGGTAACTATGGTGGTTGGAAGGCCACAGCTATTGGTGCAAATAGCACAGCTGCACAGTCGATATTGAAAACGGACTACCAAGACGACATCTCTTTAAAAGACGCTTTGAAGTTAACTGTCAAAGTAAGTTTGGACTTGGTGCTCGGCATCAAAGACCAATTTTCCTTCAGGTTTTAGGAAAGACAATGGACAGTGCACAATTGACTAGCGAGAAACTGGAGTTTGCGACTTTGTCATTCGTTAAGCCTGAACTTATCGGTTTTCATCAGCTTTCAAGCGAAGAGTTGAATTCTCTGTTGCAGGAATGTGGCTATGTTGCCTCAAGTTCGGAAGAGGCGTAATTTTTTGATATAAAATACGCGTCCATAATAAAGTAAGCTGTTTATTTTGACTTTGTCTCTATTTCCCAATAAAGAACGAAGGTTTTCGGTGTGGAATCTTCTTTCCTGGAAATCTTCTCCAGTATGCTTCCTATAGGTACGTGAGTATTGGTTTTCTCCAACGTCCTCGTGGTTGCAAGTTTTACCTTTTTCTTTTGTTCTGTGACTGTCCAGTACAAAAGACCACTGTAAACTCCCTACGTCTTCTTTACCTTTCCTCTAACAACAATAGAAGAACTTACTGCTATATTCCAAAGTAGAAGTTTTCCCCAAGGCTCCTTATTATCATATCGTTCGAGGGCTTGAAACAAGTTTCTACATAAGCTCATCTTCCAAAAGGAATCAATGTTCAAATCAATTATGCTAAAAAAGCAAGACATGCATTCTTTTATGATTCAGTCTTTAATAGAAGCTCTTATCAATATTTTATGCTTCCTTTTACACTAAATATACTCTCAAGGTTTTCCATTTCCACCACTAAACATGTCGGCATGCTGCTCATTGGCTCCATTCGCTTCATAGGGAGGATCTTTCCAAACTCCATCTTGCTTTAATAAGTTAATTAGCTCTTTCACTCCATATTCTTCCTTCACCACACGGATTTCTTCTTTTCCACGATAAAGAGAAATATAACCACGCGTCTTTCCAACATATCCATAATCTGCATCCGCCATCTCTCCCGGGCCATTCACAATGCATCCCATTACGGCTATGCTCAATCCTGGCATATGCTTTGTAGCTTCCCTTACCTATATGAAATAATTAAGAAGCAATACAAAGAATCAAGCCTCATACCTGATGAAGAACATCTTCAATATGAAATAAAGTCCTACCACAAGATGGACATGCCACATATTCCACCATTGTTCTCCGCAAACCAAGTCCTTGTAGAATACCATAACATACAGAAATCTCTTTTACAGGATCTTCAGTCAATGAAACGCGAATAGTGTCTCCAATTCCTTCCGCTAAAAGAGTACCAATGCCTAAAGTCGACTTTATACGACCGTATTCCCCGTCTCCTGCTTCCGTAACTCCCAAATGAAAAGGATAATGAAAACCTTCCTCATCCATTCTCTTGGCTAATAAACGATAAGCTGCTAACATAACTGGAACTTTGGAAGCCTTCATGGAGATAACCAGGTTGTGAAAATCAAGTTCTTCACAAACACGAATACATTCTAAAGCACTCTCTACCATGCCTTGTGGGGTATCTCCAAATGTAAAAAGCATCCGTTCTGAAAGCGATCCATGATTAACTCCAATACGCATTGCTTTGCCTTGGTCTCTTAGTGTCACGATTAAAGGCTTCAAAGTTTCTTTCAACTTGTCCTTCATGCTTTGAAATTCCTTCTTAGTATACTCCGTTCTGTTTGGGTCTCTTTTCTCAAAAACATAAAGACCAGGATTGATACGAACCTTCTCAACATGTTTTGCTACTTCTAAAGCTATTTTTAAACCATTGTGATGAACGTCAGCTACTAGAGGAACGTCTTGATAAGTCTCCTTCAACTTTTGTTTGATAAAACCAACTGCGTAAGCATGTGCCAAGCTAGGAACAGTAAGTCTCACTATCTCACAACCTGCTTCGTGCAAATTACGAATAGCGGTTACGCAACGGTCAATCTGCAGAGTATCTTCGTTAATCATGCTTTGAACAACTACAGGAGAACCACCTCCTATACAAACATCACCCACCCAAACAGGCCTAGTTTTCCTTCTGGGAATGGAACCTTCCATATCCCAATTATTCCATCCAACTTGGTCTTTGAAGTAATCCTTGGGTAGGCTTTTTGTGTTGTTGGTGACAACACGGTCCTGGTCTCTATGCACTGTCATTCCAAGAGAACAGCCCAGACAAGACCTTCTATGTAACTTTTTGAACAAGAGCCTTGACGTTTCCCTAACAATTTGTTTACTTGTGAAATTCTTTCTACTGGATGCTCCCGGATGCAAGTTAGAAACACAAAAGAATAAAGCAGGCATCTCTGAGATTTCACACAATCACTAATTTTCGATTCAATTGTCGTTATCGTTGTCTTAGCTTTTGTAATTGGCAATTGTATGAAGTGGAGGAAGCAAATCATTCGAGCTACTCTTAACGGAAATTTGCTCGTACAAATCATTGATAATCTGAGACCTTCTTTCCAAGTTTTCAACTCTGCGGTTATATAGATTCTCCAAAGCTTCCTTTGTTTCTTCCAAGTTTTTTGCCCACAGTTCGAGTTCTTTTCGTTGCTGTTCTATACTTTGTTTCTCAGCATTCAGTCGCTCTTCACGCCACCGAAGAACAAGTTCCTTGTTACTATTCTGACTTTTTAGGGTTTCTAATGGGAGCGAACCATCGCAATGTTGACTTGCATTTTCTATCTCTGTGGAGGAATATGTCATTTGGGGAACTTGCTTTGCTAAAACTGTTCCTACTTCTAAAAGCTCTTTCAACGGAGTAAATCCTTTCCATTTTTGTAAGAATGAATAGCAATTCCACGCTATTACTGAACCATCGGGAATAGGTACGTAGACTTCGTGCTTCTCATGATTGTAGTAAAGGCTAACTGTATCGCAAATTGGGAAATATGTTTGTTGCGTATCATTATAACTTGTTTCCGCATTTCTGTCTTTTTCATGAAAAGTAGAATTCTTCATGGAAGAGGAATTTGGAGCATGAAAAGTTATTTGTGCCAAACACTGACCATGAAACAAGTTCCAAAGAAAACCGCCCAATGAAGTAGTTAGAGTCAGTAGAAGATTCTTTTCAATAAATATGAAATCTCTGGGAATTTGCAGACTACTCAAGAGTAGTACGCAGTTACCAGAAGAATAGTCCCAAAGACGAATGGTTTCATCTGTGCTTCCACTGATAACGAAATGTAAGCCTTGCAGATAAAATGAAACTACTGTAATAGGAGCAGTATGGCCCAAAAGAACACAACATTCTCGCATATTCTCCCAAATACGAATACTGCCGTCAGTACTGCCGGTCACAAACTGAGTCCCATCAGGTGAAATATTGCAACAAGTCATCTTTGACTTGTATATTTGAAGCACTTTTTCTAACAATATTGTGGATCTTAACGTCTTCATATTGGTTTCGCAAGAAAAGCGACTCAAGTTCCAAACTTTGATAGTACCATCATCTGAACAAGAAACAATGATCGGATATTCATTGAGAGTACTCTTTAAACAGCGTACACGTGCTTGATGAGCACGATTGCTATTATCGACGAGACTACAAAAGTAGACAGAAGGATTGTCAAGATCCCATAACAATATTTCTCCGCTTTCATATCCAACGACTGCAATATTGTCAAAGCTTTCAATCTTCCCTACTGAAGTAGCCGAGAATTTGCCATACGAAATTTCATAACAAAACTTGCTCGTGTTGATGTTATACACGTAAACACAGCCTTGTATCGGCGACAGGGTTACAACTCTATTCCCAATCAACACAACTTGGGAACAAATATTTTCTGCGAATTCGTCCACAGTTTCATCACAATCATAAGATCGTCTTAGAAGGTTCCAAGAAGAAGGCTGTTCCGATAAACAAACAGTTTCAATTGGAAAAGACTTGACAGCCCTAAAGCAAGTCATACGTTGATCGACTTGATAATCATAAATGAATGAGCCGATTGGGGAGGAATTACTTTACGTCATTAGGATAGCAAACTCAAGGCTCAATGGTAAGAATCTCAACGAAAGCCAGAAGGAACAAAATGAATCCTTTCGAAAAGAAATCCAAGAAACGGACGAATGTAAGTATTCTGCTTCATTTCTCTTTTCCCTTTCTCAGTTTCAACAGGCAGTCGCAAAGTTCCGAAATAAGAGACCCCTTGATGGAGGCAAAAAGAAACGATTTCAGCTGCTGAACTCAAGTGATACAGAATTTGATATCACATATGACAATGATGCGTTAGGCCAGTTAAGTAATAAGGAGGCAGTTGATCAAACCACTGGTTCTGAGTTCGCACAAGATACGCTCTACAGAACCAAAAAGGAAGTAATGGCAGAAGTTATCTCCAAAAGTAAACAATTTAAGGCTGAGAAAAAGCAAGAAAAATATATTGTTGAAACTCTTATTGAAGATATCGACGCAGAATTTATGCAAGTACTACCAACCCTTCCTAAAAAGAACTTGTTCAAAGAGCCCATAAGGACCTTGTCTTTGAAAGATTCTCAAGTAGATGGGAATAAGAATCCGTTTGAAAGGACGAGAGAACTTCATACGGTAGGAAGTACAAGAGAGGATTCAATTTCAGAATTGAATGATACAGATCTTACTGGAAATCTATCCTTGTTGAAGAAGAGGAAAGAACGCACTGGGAATTATGAAAATGTGAAGGTTACTGCAGGAATGTCTTATTCGACAGCTTCGGGACAAACTATGAATAACACCGATTCTTCTGCTGAACAAGACACTAATGAAACCAAAGATAGAGGCTTTCCGAAGGCATATGTTCCAGAGATTTTTGAAGAGTTTCTGAATCGATTATTACCAAATGATATTCTTCAAGAACAATATTTAGATACTTTGGTGACCCAGGCAGTCGAAAGGCACAACGATGGAAGCTCTGAGCGGTTATTGACATTCATATTTCATGCTTTGGAAGTGGTTGTTCAACGAGACAATCGTCCTGATGATCTAACCAGAACTCTGGATACAACCAAAGCACTAGTTCAAAAGATTAGAATGTTACTTTCTTATGAAAATAATCACCAACTTGGAGACTTTGTAGATAGAGTAAAGGCGAAGCTTTCTGAACCACTTTTGGTTGCGACAAGTGCCCAAGAAGACAGGCAGTCCATTTTGGACGGAATAGATGGAGTTATTGATCTCAGCTGCAAGTTAGACTCAAACTTATTTTTGCTTCTATTCTCAGTTTCTAGATTGTCATCATTGAAGAATACTATTTCGCCCACAATCAGTAATCTTATATTTTTAATAGGTCAATGGTTAACAAGAATGAAAGTTTCGTGTCTGCACCAAATTAGGAAGGGCTTGAGCTTGATTCAACTGTTCCTTCCTCATATTGAAGCGTCAGAGTGTTTTGTTCCTGAAATGATAACATACTGCTTTTCCACTTTAAGTTTGTTTGTCAGAGAAGATTCAGTTATCAGAGACACTCTTAGTCTTTACAATTTTTCTCAATCAGAGTCATTACAGCGTATGATCAGACAGACCATTGTAAATGACTCTAAGCAATTGTGGGTTGAAGAAGAAGGCAAGACAGATGTCATCTTTCGTGTATTCGCATGCAATGGTGTTTCATGTAAAAGTAACGAATCCGAAGATTGGAGAGAACTTTCCAAAATGCTTTGTGATCTATTTGTAACTTGTCGTGATATAATAATTAGACTTTGCAGAATATTTAAATCGTTTGATGCATTCCACGGACTCATTTTGCCTTTCATGAAAGGGTTGCATGAGATATCGGAAGATGAGGAAATATGGCCTGCTTTAAGAATAGATTCTGAGAGCTTTGCTTCAAGTCTGAAAGAAATGATTCATGTAACTGAAGAGAGAGGCCTAAAACCCTTACAGTTGTACTACAAGAAATCGTCATCCTTACCAGTTGAGTACGAACCGAAACTGAAGGATAATATTCGTTGGCAAAATAGTCATCGCTTGAAGCAACACGTTAGGAAGGAGAAAAAGAAAACGATGAAATGGTTGCAATTAGAGACAAATAGACAACAACAAGAAAAGCTTTCGCAAAAGAAAAACGAAGATTTGTATAGAGCAAAACGGGCAAAAGAAGCTACTAGTTTTCTTCAACAGCAGCAAGAAAATTGGAACAAACAGGAGAAGAAATGGAAAAACGTTAAAAAGTCATCACTATGATATTATTAAAGTCGAAGGAGCTCATTGTTCAACAAGTAGAGTTTCATTTATGGCAATTCATGAACTCGACAATTTCTTCTTGTGAAACGTCAAGTGGAACAGAAACAGCCTTTGCTACGCGTGGTTTCTGTTTGGTTGATTGCAAAAAATCAATAAACTGATTGACAACACCCCAGTTATTCAAATACTGTGCAATAGCTTCCAAATGACACAAGTACTCGTGTTCGGTCAACGGAAAACTTTGTTGTTCCACATAGCTACAAAGGATCATAAAATAAATCAGAAAGTAATGAAATTCACTTACAGCCACATAATATTTGCAGTAAGTAAATATTTTCCAGAAAACCAGGGTGTCACTTTTAGCCTTATATCATAAGACAAACCATATCGTTGTAAGAGAAGCTCCCTCAATTGAACTCCATCAAGGGTCTTACGATAACTGTGCTTTGCTTCTCCCAAACTGCGTTCCAAGTTCTCTCTAAATCTTTCAACGTTATCTCTATTCTTTGCACAAGCAAGCAAAGATAGTTTGGGATAGGAACCTGAGCAGACCCACTTGCTAAAATGGCCATAAAAGCCTCTTCTCGAAAGAATAGTTTTTAAACGACCGGAAAGCAATCCAGTTGTAAGCCTTGTTGAACAACAAACTGTAACAAAGCAAAAATCTATGTGACGGTTACATTCTCTGCACAGATAAGTTGACATTCTTACAACCACAAACTCTCAATAACTCAATGTTGAATTGTTTGAGATTCCATCTTTGGAACGAGAATGGATGGAACAAATGGTTTCCAAGTCGTCATCTAGAGCACATCGTTTCACAGTCTCCAACGTTTCCTCAAACAATATAGTCAGAAAGAAGTCTCCCAAACCACAATAAAGTAGTCTCTTAAAAGTCAATTCAACGGGAAAGACACTCCTTCCCATTGTGCTTGTTGTTCTATCTTCAAAAGTTATAAAGCCTCTTGGTAAGAAATTCCCTGGTAAGCAGTGTGTCATGACAATGAAAGAAGAAAAATATGGCGACTTAAGAACGAGAGCAAGCTGACAAGGAAAAAGATATGACAGTTCGATATTATTTACATTTAATGATCGGAATATATCATAGCGTTGTTGTAAATGTATAAAAAAATTCCTTCCTAATATCCATACTAGGTCAAAGAACAAAGGAATTTTAGGTTAAAATGTTCCTGTACAGAGAAACTAAAACAATCTCATAAACCCAGCTTGGGGCGTGAAGCATGTTCCAAATACTTCAGATACGCAAACCAAACACTTCCTCCCAGCGCAAGGAAAATCCCAACAATATTCAGCAGACTAGCTCTATAATCACTCATTAGAAGCCCTACTAAGGTTTGTAGTATATTCTTCATTTGACCAGCTACTGATGTGACAAGAGCTGAGTTAACTTGGGTACATAAATACGTAAAATAATTCACAGCAAATGCTGATGTTGAGGTTGAAAAAAGAGCAAACCAGAAGCCTAGTGTCCGATAAGATTCCGTTTCCAAAAATATTCGGTACACTAAAGGTATTTCTGAAAGAGAAAAATGAGTCAACAGTTAAAAAGAACGCAACGACGTACCATCAGATAAAAGCAATAATAAAGTAACCAAAGGAAGTGCTATAAGTGAGGTTATATAGAACAGAGATAATGCATCAAGTTTCGCGTCTCTCGAGGCTCTCTTGATTGATACGAGGTTCGCACCTGTCAGAAAATTATTTAAGAATACCAAAAGATAACCTTGAAGGTTGAATGTGAGATCACCAAGACCCGCAATACAAGATCCCACGGCCATCATTAGGACAGCTCTCAAAAGAGAACCTTTAGGTTTCTTCTTTAGAAATAGAAACTCAAGAATCATCACGTTCAAAACTGAAAGTCTCCTAAAGGCCGAAAACATTGGAATATTCACCTTTCCTAGACCAGACAATCCGGATATAGCGTTTGCAACAAAGAATAAGCTTGACAACAACAGCGCCTTCAAATAATTCCAGTTAAGCGGGGTCAGCTCAATCACGGAAAACGCGTGAAGACAAGAAAGTAACAAAATTGAAAAACACAGCTGCAGAAACACAATACAAAGAGGAAAATTGAAATTATACTGTGAAAGTGTTGACTTGTTGACAAGAACTGCCCCCAAAGAAGAACCTGCGTAAAGTCCAGCAATCAAAAGTTTTCTTAATGGAGTTGAAAGCTCTCCTTTCGAGCTCCGGTTTCTCCACCAAGAGAAACGAGTTTCTATTTTGCTCCTAGTTTCCTCCTCATCCCGGGTAACTTCTTCTTTGCCTTTTAATGAAACTTCACTAGAGTCAAGTAAACTCCTTTGGTCTCCAATCAAAATAGAACGAAGCTTTGCACTTTCCTCAAAGAACCTGCCACTCCTTCTCTGTGGCGTTTCTTCTTGCTTTACGAGTACGTCATCGGAATGCATTGACAAGGAAAGAATTGAAAAGGCGCTTTCTCATTAATGCATTTTTCATTGATCAGAGAATGGGAAATGAATCCAGTGGGATAAACAATATGTGAGTGACTCACTTGATGCATAACAAGATCCGTATTATACCGAGGATGAACAGACACTATGTTGGCATTGTTCTGCCAAAATGACGTTCTCTTGAACACAGCTTTCACATCATGCAAAGCACCCTTCAAGCCAAATATTATATGAAATATACAAGGTATATTCTTTTTTCTGTAAAATAATGTCATTACGAGTGAATAAAGGCAGAGTTTCATTCTTATCAATCAATAAGATTTTATTCTCGGTGAACGCCAAATTCTTGTATATCAAGGATTCTCTTGAGAAGAAAATAGAATTTGGAGTCGTTCCTCGCTTTATCATTGACTATAGTTCGATTTCAGAAAAATTCTAATGTCTTTAAGAACCCCCTAATCTCGTTTTCTGCGTCCAATTTGGGCAACATATCCTTGACGGATAGGAGTCACTGAACGAGTTGCTCCACAACTCTCACACTGCAAGAAATATAAACGGGTATTGGCATCCCGCATTAATGTCGATTCTGGACTTCGACAAGACTTGCAGATCACATATTCTAAAATATATCTGCGAAGAACATTCTCGATTCCCTTTGGTTGAAAGCGACCCTTCAGAACAAGTCTGCCACCTTCCTGCAAATTTCCTGTAGTTCCCATTTCTGTACTCATGTAAGCAAGCAAATGTTCAGGTTGCCTGTGAATACTTTTACAGATGTCTCCAAAATTCATAAAAACAGTCTTCTTTGAGCCTTCTCTCGCAATTTGAGGAGGGCGCAAAGTGAACTTCTTTCTACTTTCCCCTGCCAAAGAAGGGTGCTTGCCGTGAAGGAAATCAAAGATACGTCGAAGCAACTCTTGATATGTGTAATCTCGGTCAGTCTTTGACCAAGGGCTCTCTTCAGTTGCGAGTTTCTCAAAGTCGTTACCTGTATTTTGTACTGAGAAGGCTCATTTTCAAATTCAACGAAAAAATAAATAAGGAAATATACCTTCAGGTTGCTCGTCACCAAACGTCACCTTCTTCTTCTTTTTCTTCTTCTTCCCAAAGTTAAGCTGCGCTGGAGCGTCTTGGTTGTCTTCTTCCTCCACTTCACTGTTATTTTCGTTGTCTTCTCTTCCATTTTCCCCGAGCGATAAGCCCTCCAAGTCTTCGGTCACACCTACTTCGGGAGTTTCTGGAGTGGCCTCACTGCTGACCTGCTTTGACTTTTTCTTCTTTTTCTTCTGAGTGGGATCGAAAAGTGTCGGCTACAATATATTTGTTTTTAAAACTGGAAAGTACAGTTTAAGGTTAACCTACCTGATTTTCAAAGCTTCCTTCCAGAGTCTGGTCATCCATCTTCCAATTGTCTTTCCAATACTGTGCAACTCTGGGCTACTTTGTTTATGATCGTTTGGGTACTGAATACGCATACAGCTCCCAGCGTTCAAGTTTTTAGTTCTCTATAACTCTTTAGGAAAGTCTAAAAGACAAGCAAAGGGTCCAATTATTCACCTGCTTTTTGGTGGTTGGCAATATCTCTATGAAAAACTTTTGAGACTCTGTGGAGACGCCGAGAAGTGAGAACCTACGTTATTATTGCTTTGTCAATCTTGTTTCTATTGGGAGAAGGAATCCTTCAAGTTTGGATATAATCTGGAGGTTAACTATGAACTCTTACAAGCAACGACAGTCGAAGACGGAGAGTGTTGGTGCTCATATTTCGGTGGCCCCTGCGGAACGAACCTCAACAGATAAGAGCAAGTTATCTGTCCTTGGACACACCGCCTTGCAGTTAGTGAATTCTCTTTATAGTTCCTTGTGTGAGTCAATTAATAGATTTTTGTTTTTGCACTGGTGGAGAAGGAAAAGCAGAGAGAATTCGCACATCACCACAGCAGGCAAGAGGTCAGCCAGAGACGTGACCAGTCCAGTACTCTTCTTTGTGAACATAAGAGTTATTTATAAGATACTTTTACCCTTCACTTTATTTCTTCCAATAGTTTCTTTATTGTTGGGTTTATTGAGAGAGTTATTATCCAGTGCGCTGAATAGTATTTTCCAAGGATTTCGACTCGTTTTGTTTTCTCATAACCATTTGCGTATGCTTTATTGTTCTTTATTCGACATATGGAATCCTGAACAGTCAGAAAAGGAGCAAATTTTTTATCATGGTAGGAAAACTTTAGTTCTAGATCTTGACGAGACTCTTGTACATTCTACAACTCGTCAAAATTCTCATTTTGATATTCGTCTGGAAGTCTCGGTTGATAACTGTCCTAGCATTTTTTACGTCAACAAACGTCCTTATTTGGATGTCTTTTTAAGGGTTGTGTCACAGTGGTATGATCTTGTCGTTTATACAGCTAGCCTTCAGAAATATGCTGATCCTCTTATTGATGCTCTTGATGTTCACGGAGTTATTCGAGAACGTTACTTTCGTGATCATTGCATTCAAGTTGGGAACAATTTTGTAAAAGACATATCCATTATTGAGCCGGATCTAAGAAAAATTGTTATTGTCGACAACTCACCTTCAGCATATGTCCTACATGAGGAAAATGCTATTCCTATAGGAACATGGTGGGACGATCCTTTGGATGAAGAACTTTTGAATTTGCTTCCTTTTTTACAGGCCCTATGTGTATTGGCTGATGTTCGTTCTATTCTGAGTCTCCGTGAAACGAAAGGCGTCCTTTTGCACCATTTAATCTCAAGTAGGCCCTATCACACTTTGTGACATTATATTAAATGACAAACAAATACTAGATTGCTGAATAGAAGTTTTATTCATTTCTTTCTACTCGAGACAATAGTAAACAATTTTACTTGGTTATGTTCCGACAAGAATGTTGCAATGATCTCCAAGTTCATTTTCTTTGGATGGTCTGTAAAATGTATGAATAACAGCCTTGGCGTTATTAGCAAGCCAACAACTTCTGATTGGCCTAGTTGATAGAGAACTATCAGAATAGCTGGTCAGTTCCAAATCCAACATTCCATAATAGTGGTATATTTATCCCTCATCTGAACAAGTACTCAACTTGAGACACAACACATTGTAGAAAGAATCCAAAAGAGATTTCAAGTGCATCTGGAACATGTGACGTTATAATAACCTATTATATCTCCAAGCCATCGTAAACTTTGTGTCAACTGTCCTGCAGTACATTTACAAAGTTGGGCAGAATATTCTTTGATGGTTCTCATAATTACTGATGCACAAACCTAAATTGTCCACTTTTACATTATCCTTTCAGTCGGATTTCTTTCTTATATGAGTTGGAACCGAAATTGAAAAACGAGGATACGAGGTGTTCAGATCATTCCCTACAAATTTGTCTTTGACCGATAAAGGATAATGTGCTTTTGAAAGTAAATCATCCTAGTGGGCATATTGTCTTCTCGCCAGTGTTGGTTGACATTAAGGCGGTCTTGATTCATAAACAAATTAACGGATTTTATACTTTCTATTGACAAATTCTTTGGAGCAAACTGCTTCGAGAGTAAACCTCATTTAGCTCATTAAGACAAGCTTCCCATCAGAATGCGCCGTTTCTTTCTCTCGGTACATTTCTACTCTTCAACTCTCCTCAAATCTTGCCAAAGAAGCACATGATCATGTCTTGCCATGGTTCTCAGCCACATAGGGATAGGAAGAGGAAAACGCTGAAAACCAAAAGAATAGTAAAGCCTGACTGCGGGAGTGTTGGTTTCGTCAACATGAAGAAATACATCGTCAATTTTCTCCAACCTGGCAATATCCAATACACCATTTAACAACCTTTTTGCAACACCCTTCCTTCGATATTCAGGTCTTACCGCCATACTAGAAACATAAACAACTCTCTTAAAGTTCGATGTTCGGACTCGCAGTCCACTTTCAGCATCATGAATAGAAACATCACATGTACCTAGAACAATTTCTTCCTCATGAATATCTACTTCCTTTGCCTCTTCTACAGAGGATCTGTTCTCATTATTAGTTGAAGTTCTTTTTACTACTACAAGGCAGCAAGTTCCAGGCCTCTTCAATCGCTCTAATATAGCATAATAAATATCCTGTTGTCTCTTTTCTTCTGTCAAATGCGTGGAAAAAGTTTCCTCGGGCGTAAAAGCTACTCTTCTTATCTCCGCCACTGCGACAAGTTCTTCAGGTTTTGCTTGACGCAGTTCCAACCAAACACGATTCGATCCTTCAATGGACTTTGAAGAGCGACCAGGATCATCTGTGCTAACAGTACTCACCGAACTGCAGCAAATTCTTTGCCAGCCGCTCTTCGACTGACGAATACTGGTTAACTTTGGGAAATGTATAAACAATACCTTTCTCTGAAAGTTCAGAGAATCCAACAGTCCCAGGCACCTTGGTTCCGGGTAGTCTCTATAATATGATGCCTTTTGCTTTGTTTGTAGACTCTGTGAAAACAGTTCACTTGTTCCCTTTATCCGAGTGGCGTGTAGCTGTCCTGTTTGATTCAATTGAAAATAAGCTTTACAGGAAAGATGTTCCTTTTGCATACAACATGACCAGGAAAAAGGTGCACTTGCTGAATATATCCAAGCAGTGTCATTCCTTAGGACACTATGAGCGCTGCAATATTGAACAGAGTTTGAGGCGTAGTTTGAACTCAACCGAGTGAATGAAAAAGAAGTATTGAGAAATCGTTTCTGCAAAGAAGGCACTAAGGGAACAAAGCAAATGCGACAAAATAGACTGTTTGGCACATGGTGCACTTCCATAGCCAAAAAAAAGTCACTGAGAAACCCAAAACTATGGGCAAATCTCTAATGCTTTATGAAGCTGCATTCATGGGACTATCCAACTTTTGAATATTTCGCCAAGTTCCATCCACATCTTCTTTCCACAAACTAACTGTACTATCTCCTGAAGACACTGCTAATACATTACCGATAAAAGACCAACTAACAGACCATACAGGAGCATCCATCTTAACCAATTCATAAGGAGACCACTCCAAACTACTTTCATCTTGTGTCCATATCACAACAGTCTTATCCTTCCATAATGTATTGAGTCATTTTTATAATTTACTTTCTCAAAGTGTAAACACGTACCTGACTGCAAGAGGCAATAGTATGCACACTTAGGCCAATACTTGGAGCCCAAGCGACACCTCTTACCCAATCCAAATGTTTGACAAGTGGATTTCCTTCCAATTTCCAAGATCCTGTATTGTCACAACACCATATCTTTATAAGATTGTCACAACCACCACTTGCCAATCGTTTCAGAGGAGGAGTACTTCTTTCATGTGAAAACAGTGCGCCTGGTTGGACGGCAGGAGCCCACGTGACGGCATTAGCACCAAGATTATGCGAAGGAAAACTGTTGTCAGCAGATTCAGACAAAAGCTTCTCCTCCCAGTTGCCATCTTCGTGTTGTGTCAAGACTGCTACATATCCATCACTAGAAGCGCAAGCAAAAGAAAGACCATACTCGTGAGGAGCAAAAGCAACCGAATTGATAGAAGCTCTACGTTGATCGTATCGAAAAAACTGTGACCAAGTCCCAGGTGCCTCTTCTATCCAGAGTACCACTGTCCCATCGTAGCTACATGAGGCAACAATGTTTCCAAACTTTGGGTGTGCCCAAGCCACTTGCCAAACTGGGCCTTCATGGCCTCTCAGTTCTGCTTCCAATACTTGTTGTTCTCCTTCCACTTTAAAGATTTTGACTATGGTGTCGGAGGAACAAGTTGCCACTCTTTTCCCATAGTAGTCAAATTGTGCGTCGTGCTAATAAAGCGTTGCGTTACTGCAAAGCTTTGGAAAAACAAAACTCTTTCTTACGATCATATCTGCGTGTGCCGTTTCTAATAACATGTGTGTGCTTTGTTCAAACTCCGACACTCTCAGCCAAAGTAATTTTCGATTTTGTCGAAACGATTTTCAGAATAACTTGTAAGAACTTGTGCTGTGCTCGAGACACTAGTGTTCATTGAACATGATACAAAAAATAATAACAGCAGTATCTTATTAGAATTGGTGAAAACCTAGAATTCTTTTCAAAAAAATCTTAGTTCAAGTCAGCAAAGTTGTAGAATAGATGGCAACCTTCCAACTTGCTCCACCAGCATTGTTACTAATGAATGTTCGCAGAGGCATATATTGTCTTGCTCTTATACAGTCACTGAATCCTGCTCAACTCTCAAGACTAAGCGTAAATGAGGTTGGAACCGGTTAAACGAACAGAAATTATTCAAATACAGAATAATTTGTGATTTATAGACACAAAAAGAGCTAAGTAAAGAAAGAATCCTATTCATGTACTAACCATAGTCTGCCATTTTCTAAACCTTCATCTATCAACTTAGAAACATGATATTATTGTTCTTTTTCTTCTCTATCTTTCCTTGTTCAAACATTTATGATCAAATAGTACTTTTGAAATACGAAAGTAATTCAAGCTGTCCAATACAGTGGAACCACTCTTTTAGTAGTCTAAAGAATTTCAAATGGAACCCTTTTCAAAGACAAATGTCAATTGGTCGTGGGGCATATCAATTCAGCATTTAGGGAAAGAAAGTTATGAAAATCTCAATTCGACGTCGTTTCGAAATGAATTACTATTCGAGGGGAAAGTCAACGATGACGAACGGAGGATCGTCTCGTATTACACTAACATTTCTTACCTATTCCTTGGGAAGTAGTGGATTCTTCCATAGTTTGGGATATAGAAATTCTCGCACCAAACGCGGTTGGATACATAAACGAGTAAGCAAGCAGGATAGTCCAAAAACTCTTGTCCCTGTTGTGGTGAGTACTTTCCACATATTTACTCATAAAGTTTCTCAAGATTTATAGGCAAGCACGACTGAAACACCAAAAAAGCTTTCTAAAGTTGAAAAGTATAAAAAGGACTCAAGTCACTTAAAGTTCCCTTTGCAACAAGACCTAGAGGATGATAATATATATGTCTCGGAAGAGTCGGTTCAACTTATCAAGTTTCATGGTTCTTACCAACAGGACAACAGAGAGCAACGAAAGAAAGGTGAACAGAAAAAGTACCAATTTATGTTGCGTCTGAAACTACCTTCGGGAGATATGCCTACCTCGTTGTACAGAGTATTGGATAACATATCAACAGAATTTGGAAACGACACTCTACGTGCAACGACGCGATCATCGTTCCAAATTCACGGTGTATTAAAGAAAGATTTGAAGACAGTATTTCAGAGCATTATTGAGGCAGGCGGCTCCACTTTGGGAGGCTGTGGTGATGTCAATAGAAACATTGTTACTACACCTGCACCTTTCCTAACACCAGACTATATAGAAGTTAGACGATTGGCTTATGTTTTGGCGGAAATATTAGCTCCACAAACTAGTTCTTATGCTGAGATATGGTTGGATGGTGAAAAGGCGGGTGAAATAGAATTCTGGAAACGAAACATGGATATGAAACAAGTTTCACAGCTGCGCTCGTTTGATAATGGACGAGGAATCGTTACTGGAGATCCGGTTGAACCTATTTATGGGGAGACTTATCTACCAAGGAAGTTCAAGATAGGAATAACAGTTCCTGGGGATAATTCCATCGACATATATATTCATGATGTTGGTATTGTTGTGGTATCGGAAGGGAATGAGATTATCGGATATAATATTACAGTTGGTGGAGGTTTAGGACGAACGCATAACAAAGAACAGACATTTCCAAGATTAGCTGATCATCTTGGGTTTGTTCGACGGGAGAAGATTTATGAGTTGATAAAGGCCATTGTTGCTGTTCAACGGGATTATGGGAACCGAGAATCTAGAATGTTGTCCCGAATGAAATATTTAGTTCATAATATGGGCATTGACGCGTTTCGGGAACTTGTCGAATCCTACTTTGGAGAAAGAATAGAGCCATGGAGACCTCTTGTTCTGTGGAAACATGAAGACTATTTGGGATGGTTTGAACAAGGAAATGGTAAGCTGTTTTTGGGGGTTCCTATTCTTAATGGAAGAATCAAAAACGATGCTTCAATGCGATTAAAGACTGCCTTGAGAGTGCTGGTAGATACGTTTCCAGAAGTTAGACTCAATGTTACTCCAGAGCAAAATCTGTTGGTTAAGGAAATCGAACCAAGTACGAAAGAACAAATTACGAATATTTTGAAAGAACATGGTGTGCCATTAGTGGAAGATATTAGTGTTATATTTCGGGACAGTATGGCATGTCCCGCTTTTCCATTGTGTCCACTAGCGGTGACTGAATCAGAGCGTGTTATGCCGAATATTGTGAAGCGCATTGAAACTTTATTTCATCATTGTGGTCTCAGCAAAGTGCCTCTTATTATTCGAATGACTGGTTGCCCGAATGGCTGTGCACGTCCTTACACTGCAGAGTTAGGTCTTGTTGGCCAAGGTCCTAATTCCTATCAGGTTTGGATAGGGGGATGTCCTAATCAGACCAGACTAGCGTTTGTGTACAAGGATAAAGTCAACGAATCAGAGTTGGAAGCTACTCTAGAGCCATTATTTGCATATTATCGGTTAGAAAAGCGCAGAGGAGAACGCTTTGGAAACTTTTGTTATCGAATGGGAAAAGACGCACTCGCAGAATATGCACAAAACTTTAACTCAGAAACGGTACGCTATTTTAAATCTCGTGTTTCTTTACGTCAGGAAACATATGAACATTTAAAAGAAGTAGCAAAATTTCGTCGTCTTCCTATTGCAAAAGTTGCTGAAGAAATTTTTTCCACTTTTTTGTCTTCACAGGACTCGGAAAGTAATGGTACGACGAAGTAGAGGATTATCGCGAGATGAAGTTACGAGAGACTGAAGTAGTATTGCAAGTGGTAAGTTTTATTTCACTTTCAGTAGCATTTTTGCTGTTAGTTTTGCTATGGAAGAGGATGAGAGACTTGTGGGCAGAAAGTTGTTTGAAACGAATAAAGAAAAACGTCGATTTCTTCACGGAGCATCAATTGGCATTGATTGCTCGTCGTGAAGACATTCTTATTGAACGATTGGGTTGTCCATACAAGTATGTACGGTCGTCTCTTGCAACAGGCTTTCTTGCAGTCTCGAAAGTACTTTTCAACAGAAATTAGTTCAAAGTCTCGATGCTTGCCTTGTGAAGGAATAGGAAGTATGAACAACACAAGACAACTTGGTACTTATCCCTAACCATCACATAGAAACTCTAGAAAGGGAGCAAGTGCAACAATTGCTTGACAAAGTGCAAGGTTGGAAAGTCTCTCCAGATAATAAGCAAATCTTCAAAAACTTGGAACTACCCGATTTTATGTCTGCTATTCGCTATTTTCAACAAATAGCAGATGTAGCCGAGGTAAGTCCCAACCTGGAAGTTTCGAAGCAGTCTTCAAGTGTTTTTAGGCAGAAGGACACCATCCAGATTTACACTTAACTGGTAAGTAACAACTGGTTAGCTTGATGTTTCGTTTAAACATCAGTATAGGTTATAACAAAGTTAGGATTGATCTCTCTACTCATGCTTTAAAGGGCTTGACAGAGAACGATTTTATTATGGCTATGAAGATTGACTCTCTAGGACGTTGAGTCTGGAAACTTTCATATTATAAAGTACTCGTTCTTATATTTCATTCGTTGAGTTGCTCCCAATGTGCCTTTTAAGATTTATTTTGGAAAACTTGAATCATCTTTTGAATATTTCTCTTTTTCATTTCTTCATGATCGACAATTGGCAAGGGATAATCTTTACCAAGGATGCAATTTACTTCCTTCTGTACTTTCAGAGGAGCCTTCCATGGCTCATAAATATATTTATTAGGCATATTTCTTAGTACAGGAAGAAAATATCGAATGTAGTTACCATGAGGATCGTACTTTTTAGGAAATGCGATAGGAGAATAGACTCGAAAATACCTCGTGAAGAAGGCGGAACATGACAACCACATCCAGTTCGCTGCATTTATACTCCAGTCTCCATCGATTAAATATTTTTCGAAAGTTTCTTTGCCTTTTTCCCTACAGAATTTGAATACAAAAATATGGCTTCTCAACAGTTCACCTACCAACTTATCCACAAGTCTCCCCTTGTAAGAAAACATGCAACGACATGACGAGTAAGATGGTGCAGCCAGCCCCATTGTTTGAGTTGAGTCATAGCAGCATCAATGAAAGGATAACCTGTTTGTGCTTGCTCCCAAGCTTGGAACCATTCTTGTCGATGTTCCCAAGGAATAGTCTTACATAATGGATTGCCTTGTATTTGATCAAAATGGGGAATCGTATAACCCAAAAGATAAAAATGTTCTCTCCAATACAATTGACCAATGAGACTTACGGGTGGCTTTGTCTTGACAGAGAAGGAATCTTCCACTCTCTTCAACTCCCAAAAGAATAGACGAACGGAAAGAGCTCCACATTTGATGTAGGGTGATAAAACAGTAGTGGATGGAGGATCGAGACTTACTGGTGAAGTATGAGGTTTCGAAAATCTTACTATCCATTTTCCTTGTTCTCTATTGAGAGCTTGTTGCATTCTTTCCAAGGCTTTAGATTCTCCTCCTTGAAAGGGACAAGGCGTTGGCTCAGTTATTAATTCGTAACCTGGAATCTCTTCTATTTCAGGTACCTTGGAAATACTAATAGAGCTAAGCAGCTCCTTCCTTAAAGGTGGAATGTTGCGAACAGTCTCTATGGGTTTTGGAGGTGGTCCAATTTGTTCTATGAACTTTAAGAAACTAGTCATTTGAGTAGGAGGACTGTTGCCATTCAACTTGGCCACAAGCATATCCAAATCGTACAAGGTATGACCACTCTCTACAAAACACTGGACTCCAAGTCCCTTCATGCGTTGCAATACCTTTTCATCTCTGTTTCTAGAATAGATATCCGAATCCTTTTCAAAACACAAATAGGAACATTTCCACGTTTTGCAACAGTTTTCAAGTACATTGACAGGCTCTCCATAAATAACAAGCAACTTGCTTTGGTATTTTCTCAACGAGTGATCCAGGTCTTTCATACACTCCAACATAAACCGAAAGCGTTGAAATCCAATTTTGTCAGGATTTATATAGTAAGGGTCTAATATAAAAAGTGGAAAAAGTTCGGATGCTAACTGAACTGCTCGTTGCAGAGTGGGATTGTCGTGTAATCTTAAAGATTTTCGAAACCATACTATAGTTGGACCTTTGATATGAGTTCCTGTATCCATATGAATATGTTTTTGTATAATGTGAGAAGCTAATAAAGTTCTTGCTCTTGGAGTGTTGCAACTAGGAGAGCAATCATTATGAAAAGCAAAAAGAATATTTCTTTGCCATTGCTTGAGGGAAGGAATGGCCATTTATGAATTTTCTTCTTTTGTTTTGAATCGAAGATAATTTTAATCTCTTCAAAGAGATTGCAGACAGCTTCACTAGTAAAATATTGCCTGGATCCTGCTGTTTTCAAAGCACTAGATATCAGGATACTACAGCAGACTAATTTTGTATCGCATCTATCCATATAGCAATGTTTGGAGAGAGATTTTTATCGAGATACCGTATTTCATGCAGAAAAACAGTGTAAAATAAGGAAATCCTTATCTTTGGTGATGATTTTTTAGTGATGAAACAATCTTTGAAAACCTGTATCGAACAATCTCACAGGAACTATTGAGACCTGGTGAAGTTAAGAAAGTCGTATCAAACCAACAATATATTGAACAAGTATATCATCTACAATAATTTCGAATGAAACTTGTACGAAACTAGTAACCAAGTGAAGTGCTTCCCAAAACAAGGAAAGCATATGAAAAGGGAGGTTCAAAATAAAGGGTTTTCATACTTTAAAAATATTTTCAGGTCCATGTGGCGAAAAAAGAGTTTGGAAGTCAACAACAGACTAAGTTTCTCCAAACTGGAACGAATGAAAACTTGTGTCACCAAAAATGAGTGCTAACTAGGTCGGAGGAGACTTAACGGACTCAAATGGAAGGATCCACAGAAGCTAGAGAGATTTTCCTTCCTAGATACTATTGATATTGGTATAGATCAACAAATTTTAAACACCATCTTCAACAGTTCTTTGGACTACACATATGGACAATATAAAATAACTTTTAGATGATCGGTTGTTTTTGCAATTTAGAGAAATGAGAGCAGTGATCCAGCGAGTCAACCAAGCTTCAGTCTCCGGAGGAGGAAAAGTTGCGTCCATTCAACAAGGTATTTTCTTCTTTCAGTATCGCTTTTTTATTTCTCTCTGAGAAGCATAAGGTCTTTGTGTACTATTGGGGATCGCTGCAGAAGACACAGTAAGACGGACGAATCTTTCTTGTTTTTGTAACACTTTGAGTTTATGTGTATTAGGAGGAAGATCTTGAATATATGTAAGTTACTTGTGTTGTTCTTAGTTGTAGTTCATATATTGTGTTTATTCAGTATTCAAAAAACGCTTCATCTTAAGGCATTTTCTGGTGAAAATGAGGAAGAAAGATGGAAGAGAAGTGTTGTAGACCTTCAAGGTGAAATATTATTGGGTATGCATGAAAAACTAACAGGAAGTATCCCTTACGTTTGTTTTCTACGTTGTTTCCATAGTTTCGCAGTTTACTTTGCACGCCGCGTTCAAGGGTCAGGGTAGGGTTTCTTTTCATCGTTCTATGCCTCCCGATAGAAGTAGAGAATTGTTCCATTTGGCAATCGACAAGTTTCAGGAAAACTACAGGCAAAACGCTGTGAAAGGTAAGAAGCAGCCAGAAGACCCAATTGACTTCCTCAAACTTTTCTCTCAGCTTGTGTATTTGGCTCGTATATGAATGTATCTTTAGTAAACGATGGACCTGTTACATTTATAATTGATTCCAAAAGTCCCAAAGTAAGTTACTAACAACTTTCATAGTCAAAAGAGAACATGGATATTTTAGGGACTTTGAATAAAAATATTTCTTTTTACAGTCATTGATGGGAAAACGTAAACAGGCAAAGTCACCGGCCAAAGCCAAAAGTCTTGTGGAAGAAACAGCTGAAGAAAACTTGACTTATGATCCTTCTACTTATGACTTTTTCTTTGAGTTAGATAGTGAATGGCCTTGTCTAACCTTTGACTTTTTGAGCGGAGAATCCAACGCGCAAACGACTCAACCATTCTCAGTAGGCTTCCTTAGTGGGACACAAGCTGATAAACCTCACAAAAACCAAATATTGTTTGCAAAGATATCAAATATATTCAAACGAAGACCTAAGACAGAGAGCGAGTCAGATGAAAGTGACGACGAGGATGAACAGGTAACCACTGGGCATTTTTGAAGTTGTACTGATGCAACGCGAAATACGTTTTAGGAACCTCACTTTTATAGTTATACACACAAGCATAGAGGAACGGTCAATCGGATTCGTGTAGCACCACAACAAGAGGCATCGTTAGCTGCGCTTTGGTCAGATACTGGAGTCTTTGAGTTCATTCAATATGGTTCGTTGTCAGCTCTGGAAAGCAGTGATAGAAAGGGCGATTTGATTCAGCTTCTTCAGAACTATGAAGACCCTATGGGAGAGGGTTTTTCTATTTCGTGGTCTCCTTTATCATTTGGCCATCTGGTTTGTGGGAATTGTGTAGGAAATATTCGCTGGTGGTTGCCTTCTAGTGAGACCGGTTCTTCCTTTGTTGTCAACACACAGCCGTTTGAAGGCCATCAAAACTCAGTAGAAGACCTACAGTGGAGTCCTGTGGAACCCACAGTCTTTGTAAGTAGTTCTGTGGATCAAAGTATTCGTTTCTGGGATACAAGATTGGGAAAACACTGTGCATTAGTTATGGAACGAGCACATGCGAGTGACATTAACGTTTTATCATGGAATCCAATAGATACTCATTTATTAGTGTCTGGTGGTGATGAAGGAATATTCCAAGTTTGGGATCTAAGAACACTTTCTACGGAGCAAGGTTCCCAAAACCCTACTAGTCCTGTTGCCAAGTTTGACTTTCACAAGAGTCCTATCGTTGCAATAGAGTGGTCACCTTTTGAGAGCTCATCTCTCGTTTGTGCAGCGGCCGATGGAAGAATAAGTTTTTGGGACCTTTCCCTTGAAGCCGACCAAGACGAAGAATCGGAACAAGCAATGAACTTGGATGAGAAATGGAAAGATGTTCCACCCCAACTACTGTTTCTGCATGAAGGACAGAAAGATCCCAAAGACGTCCATTGGCATCCTCAGATTCCTTCTTTTACTATGTCAACAGGTTTCAACGGTTTCCATATCTTCAAACCAGAAAATATATAATGTACCAATTCAATGGGACTTTCTATTAATCCCAATATTTGATTAAACCGTCCCAACTACATGTTGCAACTTTGCTAGGTTCAACAGGATGCCATGCACATCCTATAGTCACAGCATCATGAACTTTTAGTGTTCTGAGTATTCGATGTCGTTTCCAATCCCAAAAGAATAATTTGCCGCTACTATCTCCAGATATAACAAAGCGACCGTCCGGTGATATATCTGGTTGGCAAGCATATCCGGCAACAACATGACCTGCAAATCTCTTCCTATGATGAAATTTGAATGATTCACCTCGCACACTAAATGTAACTATCTGGTTGTCCAAACTCTGGTAACAGACCCATCTTCCAGAAGGATGCACAACAGAGGCGGGCATAGAATGCATTGAGGGATCAGAAATATACTTTACAACCACTGGTATTCCATATTCCCAAATTCTAAGAGTCTTATCATCTGAAGAGGAAACAAACCGTTTGTTCTCATCTATAAAGGTTATAGTGTTCACTGCGCCAAGATGTTGCTCATAACTTTGCACCATTTCACCACTACGACAGTCATATTGCAGTATTCTCTTATCTGAACAACCTACTAAAAACTCATTGCTCCCATCACTTCCCATATGAAATTTTACACAATATGGATTAGAAGCTAACGAAAAAGTCTGTAAACATGAACCCGTCTCGGTATCCCAAAGTCTTATAAAACGATCATAACCGGCACTTAGGAAGTGTTTCCCGTCGTGGTCGAAAATAATGTCTCGTACTGCCTTGGAGTGACCTAAGTAGGTTCTTACTACTTGATAGGATGAATAAACATCCCATAGTTTAACTTTTCCATCCATACTGGAAGATAACAAGAGATGACCAAAACCAGGGAAAAAACGAATACACGTCACGCCCTTTGTATGGCCAGTTAAAGTCGTAACTGCCTTCTTAGGAATAAAACAGTCGTGTTCTTTGTCCTTTTTCCATTCTGAAGGTGGTTCCATAAAAGATCTTCCTCTATAATCGTACATTTGCTTGAGATGGAAAATACTCTTGGTTTGACTAGCGTTATTCAAGGCTTCCTCTTCCTTTGACTCCCGTTCTGTATTACTATCCATCTTTCGACTTTGGTCCCCTTTCTTGGTCTTCTTGAGCTTCTTCTCTGTCTCTTCTTCCTCTCCCTTAGGTGTGGGGTCTAAGGCACCCCACCCTGTGCGGTCAAGTTCGTAACGCTTTCCAATCTTTCGATAAGGGTTATGTATTGGCGTTTCATTGCGATAAATTCCTATACTTGGGTCCCAAGCAACACCAGTACGCTCAAAAGAGTTTAACTGCTCTGTAAATGCAAACTCAGCGACTTCATATTTCTCAGTATGCCCCGTCGGTATATTAGCTCTTCTTAAATTAAGGGTTCTTTCTTCTTCAGTTGTTTTAGTCCAATACACAGGAGCCCACAGCTCTTGGAAGGTAGCGTTATGTTGCAGAACGCTAGTGGAAGGGTCAAAAGCACTTTCTGGTTGCAAAGCTTTCTTGTCAATTAGTGCTCGAGTAACCTCATCTACTTGAGGAGCAAGTTCTACCAGAAAAGTTTGGGGTTTTCTGACTTGGGACTCTTGAGAAGGTTGCTCTAAATCCTCTAACTTGCCATATTCTGCAAGGTATTCCATTTTTCAAAAGACGACGTAAATCAATCCATCAATAATATTTTGCAAAAGCAGAACTTACGAAATTTGGTTACTTGTCAGTCCATTGTTTCATGCTTTTGTCGAAAAACTCAGTGTTGAGTTTTGTGAACGAATTGAAAAGCCATATTCAATATAAATTGCTTATTATAAATACAATTTTTATTATGGCCAATCAGCTTCGTCAAACACAACTATCACAAAAGTCTACATGTCATATGTGTATTGCATTGCACAATTTTGTTGCAAAAAAAGTTGTTCCTTCTTTATAATTCTAAAATACTGAACCTGATTGACCCTCTATTAGTGTTTTCTCCCTGTAATATCTTATTTCTCATTGGGTTATGAAAATGGAACGAGAATATTCTCTACAAATAAAAATTCTTATGCTTTGAATCTATTCCCGAGTCTCTTATAATCTTGACGGGGAAAAGTCATTGAGTGCTTTAAGACAGATTCTGTTCATATATTTTCGGATAATGTTTATAAGACTGCCTCTGGTTGAACGCAGAACAATATATTTTATTGAGAAGTCATGTTGTAATTGCTGTAAAAAGAAGTATTTTCGATAGAATACGATATGCCGTTCAAGACTCTACAGACGTAAAGATGTGTCAAACTCAAAGAAGTCACCCTATCATAACTTCGATATTCTATAATCGTAATATACGCGAATTTATATCTAAGACTCACTTATACGCTCAGTTCCTTCCAAACTCTCTATGCTGTCCGCCACGTAGAGATTTTCAATCCAACGGCCCTGTTCAACGGCTATGTTCCGATTCTTCTCCAGAACCTCGTCGATTTCATTACAGCTTGTTGCTTTCCATCCTCTATACGGCCCAATATCACTAACACCAAGAATGTATTTCGTTTGTTCTTCAATGCTTTCTTCAGACCACCGCGTCAAATAGTTCTCTCTGATTTGATGCCACTCTCCAACAGCATAGGTACACAAGGCAGTTTTTAACTGCGTCCACTCATAAGAACCCCAAATCTTTTCTCTATCTAGTGAAAAAACTTTATTTTTTTTGTATACAGCAGGTTTGAAATAGCTAAGAAGTCAACATCACTATGAAATTAAACTGAATCTCAAACTTACTCTTGGTTAATAGTACCGTCAGGTAAGAGAATTTCCTGAGGACTTAGTAGTTTTCTTAGTATCCTGCTCCATTCATCCCGTGACTTTTCGTGGTCAGGAATACATGTTTTCTTCAAAACTTCCTTCATAAGAGTAGTCCAGGTCACGTATGCTGAAGAATCCCGACTCAACGCTCCAATTCAAAATACTTCTCGCGGGAGGATCATTTGAATTGTAATGTGTAGCTCATGATGCGCTTTAGTTTTTATTCAGAAGAAAATCGACTACTTGGGAAGTCTACCAGACAGTCTTATAGTAGGAACAAGGCTGACAGAAGAAGTCTCCCATTTCCAACAGAAGTTACTGTTTCAATAAAAGATGGTATAAGGAAAATGATATTCTAAAATTGTTATGCTTCGTCTAAGACTATTTATGTCTTCCAGATTCGTTAAAGAACCAGTTCTTATAGTCCAACTTAATGGAATACTTACGTATAAGGTTTTTCAAACAATCGTTGATTCAGACTGATTTAGATTTGATCTTGCTCTGTTGCGAAGTAATTCTTATCTGCTCTTCAGGAAATTATGATGTAAATACCTATCCATATTGCTCCTCAACAATCCATATAGTCACTAGACAATCATCATTTTAAAAGAATTACTAGCGAACGGCATCTTGTTCGAGACTTTTCAGATAGCATTCTTCTAACGTGCATTTTAAGATATTGAATCCGATTCTGCTTGTTGGTATCATATTCCAATAAGCTACAAAGCTATACGCGATGAAAGAGGCTTTTAAATATGCAGAGACATTCATTTTCAGCTATGGAGAAATGTTGCCGTAACCTCATTGTTTTGATTCATCAGAATCTACTCAATAGTAGTTCATCTCAGAACACGAACAAAGGTCGAATTGCAAATTCATCTACTTCATACAAGTCTTGCAGAGGTTCCTGAAGCTTCCCATCTGGTCAAGTTGGCTGGATTTATCCAAACCAAAATCCAAACAATTATGATCGAATATCGGATAGAATGAAACAACGTCTTCCTGAGCACCGCACAACTTTGTTATTGCATAGAAACCGAAAAAAGGACAAATTTTCTATTCAACTTTGGATACAGTACACCATGAAACAAAAACTTTTTGAGTCTTTTCGGATGGATAGAGAATAGCAACTGATTTTCCATTTTGGTTGCAAAATATTTTGTAACCTATTCGGAAATCCTTCTCGATTATGGAATTCTTCATACCTCAGAGCCAAAATACTTCTAAAGAAGTTGGCAGACAATACTGGATGCCAGAGGGATTTCGAACTTGGTATCATTGAAGCCCAGCAACTGAAAGTCAACCACGTTCTCATAATCACTCCTTTCAGTATTATTATCAAACTCTTTCTATATAATATTCTCAAGTCTATCATTGAAAAAATTTCTTTCCATCATTTCTATACCCATTTCATTTTGAAACTTTATTAACATAGTGGAGTACATTATCATCACCCATACAAAAGTTCTCTGTCTTGTTGGGATTTGCATCAACATTTTCTAAATTTGTTTCGCTACAGTATCGCATTCTATATGAATGTCCGTTTCCCAATGAAGGCATAGGAATGTGAATAAGGTGGACATACCATTGAGACTCTGATACACACCTCCAAGCCCCTATTTCCATTCCGACCTGGCAAAAATGACTGATTCAGTTTGAAGTGCTACGAAAGAAACTGAATTTGTAACATTACGATAATATTACGAGCGTAACTTAAAAATATACTGCTAAAGTTGTAGTACTGAATTTGTTCAAGAATCTTCTGACAAAGTCTGATAAAATAGTTTAATATGATATCAGATTTAGAAAACCACTTCCTTTACAAAATATTGAATTTCGAATATTTCTCTGACAACGTTCAATGAAGAACAACAAAGAGATATTCCTAAGTATTTCTGGAAAGAGATAAAACTATTTCTTGTAGGGTTGAAATGCCAATATTTCTCGAATGTGGATTATCCACAGATTTGAAAGCGTTCCTTAAATTCGATAAAATGTCTTTGCCAACAAAGTTTTCTACATCGGTTTCAGAAAGAATAACCAATTCACAGTTGTGAGGAATCACGAAATCTTCAACACTATCGTCAGATGAATAACAACGACTAGAATGATTCAAGTCCTCAGATACGTTGGTTGCTAACTGAGTACTCATAATAATCAACATACAATGCCATGTAGGATGACTAGTCAATACTTGATCATGCACTGGTTTTAAAAGCTTGTGAGCTTCTTCCAAAATTTCATTCCATCGAATACCATTACGACTCCATCGGCCTTTACAAGCAATACCCACAATCATCAAGTTCTTCTCATTCGTTCTTCCATGCAACTTGAATAATATATCTGGACTATGGGATGTTGAATGAAATGGAATATATATCTTTTCAAGTTCTAACATTTCTTCCACTATCCTTTCCCATTCATTGCTTCCAAATGTCATTCTCTCTGTTCCTGATACAGCTCTGGTATAATGTATAGATTTCATATAATAAGCAGCAGATTCGGAAGAAAATTGTAAATTCATTTCATTCCAAACACGAGACAATTGACCAAGAGTAGAAAACATTGAGCTGTTTGTAGGATGCCGAGAAAAATGTAAATAAAACAGTGTCGCAATAAGACCTTCCAAAATTCGACATTTCGACTCATAAAAGAATTCCATAGATTGAGACTTGAGGGTTTGTAAAAGTAACCATTCTAAACGATCATCCTTTAAGCCTTGGTCAATATATTCAATCAGTAACTTGGGTATCAACACTTCATAGCGTTCGTTGTGGTCTGGGTCTATAACCAATCGACGATAGAGACACATATCTGTAACTAGGTCAAACAAAAACACATCAGAATTTGAGCTTATTTGCACAGTTTCATCAAAATCAAATCGAATACGATACAAAGATAATAACGTAAGCATTCTTAACAAGCGTTTACGCTGCTCACTGAGACTTATCAGACGAGGTAAGAATGGCGCAACACAATAATTTGTTACTAGAAAGCTATTCATTATGATCAAGAAGGTTTCCTTAGATAATGAGAAATTGTTGTTGGATGATTTATACAGCAGAAGGTAACTGATTGCTCGAACAAGTAAACCAGGAACACCACCAGTCAATTCCAACAACAATTCTGCAAGTTCACTAGTTGAGAAGTCTTCGTGACAAAGAATTTCTGAAACCTTTGGGCTCCCAGGGAATAAAAAGGAAGAACTTTTCTCCAAATGTTCCACGATACTATGTTTCTCAAGCGGCGAAAGAGGAATAAACACTAACTGAACTCTTGAGACTGAAGCTACGTAATTATATATATTTAAGCCTTCACTTTTCCCAACAACTATAAAAAACAAGTCGGGTTCTTTGCATAATTGACTAATGATACCGAAAATGTCGTTGTAAGGTCGAACTCTACCTTTGTTGTTTTTCTTGAGTTGAAATTCGTTTCGCTTTTTGTCAAGGACACCAACTTCGTCAAATGCCACCAGGAGATATTGATCGGAAGGAATGTTTAAGATTGAACGGATTTTCTGAACCAAAGCATCAGTCCTAAGTTTTAGTTCCTTGAAACATTCGTCCGGGTCTGGTTGCGGAAGACCTGATTGCAGACAAGCAGCCTTTATTAACAAATAGTAGACTGCCCACTTTAGGTTGCGTTTTTTCTGGTTGTGTTGGCTCCAACTCCTTCAAATCCACAAAGAGCAATGAAGCCCTTTTCAGCTTCTCCAGGAAACCTCTTCGGTTGGCCTTCTCAGACTCACCAACGTAATCGAGACCTATCAGTGCACTTTCACCCATATTATTCACCAGTTCCAAGTAATTTTGTACGAATTTTGTCTTTCCACTTCCGAAGAGGTGGGGACCAAAGGGTATGACTGGTTTGAAATGGCGACCAAGTTTACGTAGAGTGTATAGCCTAAATAACTGCAGTGTTACTACACCAACATCTTGTTCTCGGTCTACTACAACCATGTCATACACGCTTTCTGCTTCAAGCTCACTAGACATATCGTAAGCTATGAAGTAAACTATGCGACAGTAAAATACAACAATGGTCGATCAATCTTCTTCCAACAGTCCAATGCTCTCAAACTCTTGAGAGCGACGAAAGTCTTTTGAAGCTTAGGACAAGTCTTGATAAGAACATGATTTGCCTTTTAGATAAAAACTATCTTTTTCATTTTTTTGTAATAAAGAGTGGATATTGGTTTCTGTGCAATTGTATATAAAAACAACTTCTCTGAGCTATTAGAAAATAGACCAGCTGAGGAACCTTCAACTTGAGGCGAACTATAAATAAAGTCTTTGACGAATACAAGACCTTGTATAAAACCCATTTGTCAACACTTTAAGACACTCTCCTGAGAAGTAACAAGAAGCAAATATGACCTGTCAAACTGTGACAGTGACATTTACAACAATAGGCTTATTTTGATTTTCGTGGTTAGTACCATATTAATACAATAATCCTCAGAGTGAAAGCAAATAAGTTGTAACCGAGTTTCAAACATACCAAAAAAAAGTTTATTTGCTCTTCAAAACAAATCACAAAGTGAAGGACTGAGTTAGAATCTATTGCCAACTTAAGAAACTGTTACGGATTCTATCAAGTAAATCTAATCCAAAATCCCAAAAAGTAGGATTATGAGAAACATGAAATGCTCTTTCAAGTCCATTCAAAATTTCGTCGTCAATCAGCATTTGGACATCTCTTTCACAAAGAATAACAAGTTCACAATTATCAGGTACTTTGAAAGAATCATTTCCAATAAACATTCCACTGGAGTAACAACGACTCTGACTACCCAACTCATTAGAAACATTCAATGATAACTTTGTACTAACGATAATAAGCATACAATGATGATAATCCATTGCACTGGATAAGACTTGATCATAAACAGGATCTAAAAATTTCTTGGCTTCATCTATAATATCTGACCAGCCAATTCCTTCCGACTTCCAGCGTCCTTTACAAGCAACTCCAACAGTAAGAACTTTGGGTTCCACAGGAGATTGTAATTTGAATATAATATCAGGACTATGAGAAGTAGCGTCCAAAGGAATGTAAATAGTCTCTAAATAAAGTGTCTCTCGAATAATCTTATTCCATTCAGTATTGGCAAAAGTTCTTCGACTCTTGTTCGATTCATTTCTTGTTTCTCTAGAACTAACGACAGACTTGATATAGTGAATAGGTGATATTGTACTGATTGGAAGTTTCATTTGTTTCCATATTGGAGACAATTGACACAACAATTCCCTCAACTCATTTCGATTCTTTGAAGACAACATCAAAACTAGTCGTAAAGCAACAATTCCTTCAAATACACGACACTTTGAATAGAAGAAACAATCTACTGGTTCTACATCAAGTGATCCAAGAAGTATCTTTTCCAAAGAAGATACGGAAGGGTCCTTCTTGAAGATTCCAACAAATACTTTTGGAATTAGGACTTGAAAAGTATTCTGGTCAATAGGATATCGATATAGTCCCATTTCTGTTACGGCATCATATAAAAAGGACTCCGAGGTCAATCTATCATCTACTTTAGACGGTATACGATAAAGAGCCATCATCAAAAGTAAATCAAAAACACTTTTTCTATCTTCGTCCAAATTCAATATTCGTTCCACAAATGGTCAGCACAAATCTCGA